CATGATCCCGTCCCGTTAGCTCCGCGTGCTATCGTTGCACCAAACTAACTTCAATACCTGATTACAACTGTGATTTAGAAAACATAGTAAGCGCTTGTAGCCTTTACTAGAAGTGCGTTAGTTGTAGCAAAAGTAGACTTACAAACTTCAACTTGTGTCTACACGATACGCGCCGCGCAAAAAAACCTCTGCAGAACCCCTGCCATAGTATGATTAGTGTATCCTGCTTGAAGTATTACATGTTATACGGTAACCCATGGCGCCACTATGAGCTTCATGAGCAGCGTTCGTTTTAGCTTTCCGGATGTTCCTGCTTTTCTGCTGAATGTTCTGGTCAATTTTGATCAATTGCACTCGAGATCCGTCTTAAGGATGGATAGCAGACTACACTTTGATCCTTTAACTACTTGACGTGCAGTCGTGCAGTCACGTGCTAGGTCCTCCTGCGCGCGGAGCTCTCGGATGCGTTGAAGCATCATCACAGCGGTAAGAGTAGGCCTTGTCCTGCCGCTAAATCGAAAGTGAGCAAGTTCCCGTTGGATCGGAGAGAAGCATGATCCCGTCCCGTTAGCTCCGCGTGCTATCGTTGCACCAAAGTAACTTCAATACCTGATTACAACTGTGATTTAGAAAACATAGTAAGCGCTTGTAGCCTTTACTAGAAGTGCGTTAGTTGTAGCAAAAGTAGACTTACAACCTTCAACTTGTGTCTACACGATACGTGCCGCGCAAAAAAAACCTCTGCAGAACCCCTGCCATAGTATGATTAGTGTATCCTGCTTGAAGTATTACATGTTATACGGTAACCCATGGCGCCACTATGAGCTTCATGAGCAGCGTTCGTTTTAGCTTTCCGGATGTTCCTGCTTTTCTGCTGAATGTTCTGGTCAATTTTGATCAATTGCACTCGAGATCCGTCTAAAGGATGGATAGCAGACTACACTTTGATCCTTTAACTACTTGACGTGCCGAGCAACTCGTAAACGCGACAATCATGCTAACAATATTTTATATTGTTTTATACAAGATCCAATTTATTTTTGGATGTTGCTCTTATGAGTGAGTTTCATGACCATCATTATGTTCGATGTGTATTGAGGCACAAGCAACATTCACTTTTGTCGTGAAATGATTGCGTCGGTTTAACGCAAACATAAATCTATTATGGTGCTATCATTTCAAAATTGGTGGGGGTTTTGGGATTCACCCAACAACTCTGGATTAAAATCCTGAGAACAAAGCGTCCAGGCCACTATAAAAGCAGGAACGGTGCCCCAAAGTTAAGCATTCCGGAGGAGAGGCTGTAATTATACATCTGAAGCCAATCCGATGTCTTGCACTAGTGGTCGGGGCGCTTGCCCTCCTCGGTGGACTAGTTCATCGATGGTAAACAAGGCAGAACACTGTGCACTAGTACAAAGTGAAATTGGGAGACTGAACACGCTTGATGGGATTGCTGCTCGAGATCGTGGCGCTGAGCATTCCAACTCAGAGCAACGTACACGAGTAGCCGACACAGATAAGAGGCTCGACAGTACTGGTTGGCTCGGCGCGGTTGGGGAACTGGGTGATGTTGGTGACCTCAGTGCTCCTGGTAGACGCAACGCTCTTGGACCAATTGTTGGACACGTGGTTTTGGATGTTCTTGACATGTTTGATGTTGTTGCTCAAGCTCGTGACACTGTGTAAGGCGGTGTTGTTCAAGAAGTACCACCACCGACCAGTAACTCGGATGGCTCAGGAGTCGTGACCCCACCGGTTAAGGGCCACGGAGTTCTCATTGGAACATAATGAATTCGTACAGGTAAATACGATAATCAAATTCTGGTAGTTATGTAAAATGTAGGTATTTGGAACACTAATCTGTGTGTAAAACATGCCGCAAACACAAACGCAGTTGGTTGTGAGAGTGAGGAACGCTTCGAAACCTAACGTAAAGTACAATACAACACACTCAATAAATCAAATGACAAAACAACAAAACATAAAAAAAAAACAATAAATAGGTGTCTACCGATGCATGCTCTTCCGCGGGCGCGCCTTCCCGTGTGCGCAATGTGAGTAGCCAATTCGAGGGTTTGATACCACTTGCAGGTTTGAGACCTTTAGGACTGACGCAGTACTGTTCTTTCGGCAGACATTTTTCGACAACCGATTGTAGTCTTTGTCCACATTACGAACATGTCAATTCCAGAAGGACTGGTACTTCGTGGATCAAGAGGATACCAAGCCGAACGGTATTCCCAAAAGGAACTCAAGCCGGAAGGGCAGAAACGATTAAGGGAACGAGTTTTCACTGTCTACCTTGAATGGCTTTCTGCAATGCGCGTTTTGCGCATTTACGAACCCTATCTGAACGGGTAGGTGTTCCCGATCGATGATATACTCACCGGCGACGACATTGAAGGTTTTGCGACAGAATACGAGCTCGAACGGCTGAAAATCAGGGCTCGTTGACAGGTACTACTGTAAAAGAATGCAGTACACCAACGTGTACCAGGTGCACCCGCCAATTATGCGGTAAGGCAGTCTTAAGAATACGCTTTGCCATCCAGCTTCCCATTGAGAGCAAGGGCGGGGAACTCCTTCGGCCAGTCTCCACCGCCCACCGGCTGCGTGGTAGCCAGTCGCTGAAGAACATAAGTCCTTAACGTCCGCCCCCAGTCCCGGGTACACATCGTTGCCTGAGACTCTTTCACCATCGTGTGGTATTGTCGACAATAAAAAAGCCGCCATCCTTAGTGCACCCTTACGGCTTACTCTAAAATCATACACGTCAATATACCACCGCGCCCTTGCTGAATTTGGTGTAGCACCCGAGAACCCACTCTCGGCTTTCAGAATCATAGGTTCGTATCATCCGTAAAATGTAGTTTATCCGCTGCGAGAATGTCACCGAACGTGTTTTTGCCAAATAAGAGTAAGCGAACTCCATCCACACATTTTTTTTACGTTTACCCATGCCGAATTCTGCGTTCTGCCAATAAATGGCACGTGTTTAGCTCATCTGCTTCAACGTCATCTCTATCAACTTGGATTTGAGTAGCGTAGCGTCCATGTCCAGAATCACGCACAAGCATCCCTTGTGCATGATCTGGAGTCCCAATATTTTGCCTGCAACTGTTTATTCATACCCGTCGCGGCAAAGCATGACTTTCCGTCCTGGAAACAACTGGCATATTTGCATTTTGTGTAACCACGAAATTCATGCAACCGGCGTAATTACACCTATCTTCAAACCCCACTCTATAGCGAGCCAAATCACCGAAAGGTGCGGTGTGTGTTAACATGTCCAATTTGTCAATGCTATTTATGTTAGGCACAGTCGAATCGCTCGTGATAATTAAAGCTGCTTGCTTTTTACGCACAGCAAATCGTACACGTTCGCTGTCGCTGGAGTTTCTACATCGGTTGCTTTAAATGCGTACATTTCAGTATCTTGGTTGCGTGCTCAAGGGACATAAAGGTTGAACTAACCCATGAATTGGTCTTAGCTGGGGTTTGTTTTGGCCGCAATGTCCGCTCGTTTTGGTAAGCCGCGTGGTAGTTACGTGCAGGTTAACGGAGCCGTCAAATCCCAAAAACGTCACATGACACCCGGCCGCTTACGTTGTCGCATTGACCAAGTACCTATGCCTGCCACATGAAGTCTGGCAGTTTACGTTGCAGTATAGCCCATCACTGATGCCCCCTCCTGCAACGGATCAAAATACGATACGACGCTTGGGCTCCACGGCCTCCTCTGGTCACAGCTACGGTCGGGCTCAGATGCGAGAAGATGGAAATGGTGAGTGAAGCACTATACGAAACGTTCACGAGAAACAAGAGAGGGCGGCACGAAAAGAAACGAAAATTAACTTGCAGAAATGCCGCATATCCGACCACCAGAAAAAGCTAACGACAAAATCTATCCGGGATGGTCTCAAAGAAGAGCGAGGTGTCGATTTTGCTCACATGCCCAAGAGCTGCCCCTTTCTCCATTTGCTGACATCTACAATAACGTATTAGCTATTGGTGAACTTAACGCGATGCTTCTGGATACGCGCACGTTTCTGCGATATACTAGGACATATGAAAAATAGGAGGAAGAGTTGCTCAATGTTGCGTATGCAACACTGACAACAACTTGCCGAGGTCGCAGCAAGGCTGGAGACGAAAAAATGGAATAGATTCCTTGCTTCCAGTAGCTCGCCGATGACATCCCCGTGTAGATAAACCGACCTTTCCCCATACCCACATCCATCGCCTACGCCGCCCTCGAATGATGACTACCAAACCGGGAAGTTTGTAGCTCTCCGAACCAAGCGAAAACTAACGAGGATCGGCTGCAGCACATCAACTATACCTGGCCGAATCATGCACGCAATGGGGACCAGGCTTCACTGCGATGACCGGCTCAAGAGCAAGAGGTTGGTCCAAACGAACTTCAAAGTCAACTGGCTCTTAATCATTACCTCAAGCACCACTACGTCGTAGAGGTTCGCTGTTTTTGTTTGGCGAAATGAGTAACATGAGAACACCCACAAAGCAGTAAGTACAAGGGGAGTGTGGCACCCTCTCGCCGCTCTCAAGAATGGAGTAGCTTTGACGAGTTCTACCCAGACCGGAGTTTACAATCCCAATTGTGTTGTATCTCATCGCCTACTGTTTCCTGCGGAATAGTCCACGCTGAAGGTTTGTGAGTAGTATAGTGTGGTTTGCGGCGACGCTGTCCGTGCAGGCTATGAAGACCTGTGCTAATTCGTACATGGTCTGACCAAGCTGCAGTAGTGTTTTAGATGTAGTAACAATTCCTATCTGTTCTTTCGTATGCACTAGCTTGGGCGTTTCTGCAGTGTTCTATAGATCACACCGCAGCGGTCAAGAATCGAGGCGGAATTGCCTCGATCCCCAGAAGTCCCTAGGTCTCATTAGGGTAACAAGAGCACTCAGGAATCACAAAATATGGAGAAACACGAAGAACAATGTTACCCCAGAATGGGCTCATCTTGCGCCCTCTTCTACGACGGTAGGTACGACGATTGTTTCTGGTACAATTGTTCAGTAGCGATGCGAGTATCACGAAGATATACAGTCATATGCAACCGTTCTGTGATGTTCCTCAGCTCCAGTTCCAATCCGATGTCCTGGATAGTGTCGAGTTGTGTGGCGCCAACGTTTTTCAGAGGTTCGACGAATATATTCTTCAGCGCCTTCACTCTACAGAAAGATGAGACGGGACAAATGCGAGCTTCAGTGCGATCATTACGGGTTCAGTTCGCACAAGAGGCGCAACAATAGGTTTAATTTGGTGCGTGGATGTTTCCAACACGTAGTGCTAATATGCGAGCGTGGTTTTCAAGAAAGTGGCATGATATAGTATAGAAGCATACACGTAAAACACAATGCCTCTAAGGCTTTCGAGTAGCGTACCGCTTCAGAAGGCCCGAATTGTTGCCGAAATGGCACGGCCATGTCTTTTTCATCCTCGCCCTTGAATTTGCTTCTTGTTACTGGTCTTCTGCTTCCTCTTTAATGTCGCCGTTGCGGCGCTTGGGGGGGGGGGGGGGTCTTGCCGGCTTCCACAGGAGCAGGACTTATATTCTTCGAACTGCCGCGCTGCTGCTCGAGCTTGACTTCACTTGGGACCGTGTTCACCTACTCAGACAGTTAAAGCATGTTTTTGTCACGCATATCCTGGTCGAACATACGCACGACACACCGTTACTCATAGGACACGCCTTAAAGAATGATATTCACCATATCAGCGCCCAGGATACCTTTGTTTTTGTTGCACAGCTTGCGCATCCTCGCTTACATTTTGGCAAGGCACTAGTCCGTGCTGGGCGTGTAGCTGTACGCTTAAATCTTCTTGCGTATAAAGGTCGAGTTGGAGGCATTGCGCTTGGTATTCTCGGTCTCAAACAGCACCCACATCTCGCGCTTCCTCCCTAGGGCAGATCTTCTCCGCATCTTCGGTCAGCACGCCGCGAAGTAGTGGGGCTTGGGTTGGAGCTTTCTTCTCGTCAATCCGGCTCCGCCCCGTCTTTGATGCCACCAAATACAAGTTCATCAAACCAAAAATATTTCAATCTGCAAACCAAACCAGGTCAATTCGTGACAGATAATTGCTTCATTATCACATGTGATAGCTCCGTCAGCCCTTGTTGCTCTTCCCAACAGCTTCTGCAGGTCGGCCGCGGTCACCGATTCCAAGGGCAGCATCGGGATGAAGTTCGTGTAGAGGTCTTCTTCTCCAGGAAGACTCGCCGGCTTGCTTCCTCTAGACTCCATGGCCGCAAAACCAATATGGGAGAGCGCCTCGACGACACGCGAAACCACGGCGACGGCCTTTAACTCCTTTCCCAGCTGGGTCAAGCTCCAACGCCAGCATGCTCAGCCTGGAATTGTCCTTTCCCAACTGCTACTAGCAGCGACTTGACCTGCCGCAATGAGCTTCGTCATACAAACATCTCAAAGGGAATATTTCTCCGCACCTTACCATGGCGCGCGAGATATTGCCGCCTCTGAAGCCATCTCCGCTATAGTTTATGGAATACATCAATGTCCGATTGTGCGTGAAAGCACACCGGTTGTCCGTAGACGAAGCCTTCAACTCTCAGTGCTTCTACCACGCTGTAAATACGTCATCAATGCTGGGGGAATACTCGAAACGTTGTCACCCTTGTGAAGGTTCAAGCAGCAGGTCCATACATATACCATAATCACCGCCCAATGTTCTTGTAGGTTTCATGTGAGTACATACATTCCAGACAACGCACTTGGGTATTATAGTAAATATTTTGATAATGGGCTTCAAAATATTTACTATAATTCTCATGTGTGGTGTTTGAGCATGTATGTATTAGCGTACGTAAGCGCGGGTCCCTATTCAACTACACAAATAAATGCGGGCATTGTTATCACACGAGTTAAACAAATGTTTATCGTTGAGGCTGTTCGTCTACTATCTTCCGTTACATCAGAGGTTAAGAACGCCAGGACGTTATTTTGTTTAGCTACCTTAATTTCGTAGACTTTCACATAAGCCAATAAAAGTGGGCTGTTCCGACGTAGTAGTTCAGATTACGTTCTCAGCCCAGTAAGCACTCCCATCTCTGTACACTGATGCGCGTAATCTTGACGAGCATGAAGAAGTTTGAATGATTTAGGAGAACTCGGGTTTTAATCAACCCCTCCATCTGCCCAATCGAGATGCCTTCCGAAAACGTTCATGCGCGGTCAACTATGATAATGGCTTCTTTGCCCGCGTTGTGTTGGTCGATTGCAGCTTGGCAAAATTCGGACGAGTGATGGTGTAGGAAGTACACCATCTAGCGTTTGTTCAGCGCCGGGTCACTCTCACGACTAGCTCATCTAGTCTTTTAGAATTTGACGTTTAACCCTTTCGCCGTAAAAGGATACAGAAAGCGCCCTTTAGATGATTTTCCAAAACACGGTAGAGTGTACCCCCTCTTAAAGGGCGCATCCTGTGCCCTTTTGCACAAGTTCAAGCTAGTAATCAACCTTCTTTTAAAACAAATCATAATCGGTACGCAGAGTAATCATCATGTAATCATTGTCTATACAATTCTAAGTCATACGCATACATTCTATGTATTCTGCAAATTACCGTAGATGGCATGTCCCATGAGACACACCGAAAAGGCTCCGTAACTTTGTAAAAGGACGCCTAGAGCGCCCTTTTAGAAGGAAATATCAATGAGTTGTATACTATAATTTATTGAGGATACTCGCGAAAGGGTTAAAACACCTCCATGAATACATTGTCATGTACGTTTCAAAGTCAGTTGTGTTTACTACTCCCAGAGACGCTGTTGCTAAGCTCAATCAACACGAACACCGACCACAACCCCGGCACACACATTCCTGCGTTTTGCTTCTCTTCCTTCGCACCCGAAGTTGTCGACACCACTCCCCTTTCGGCTCAAAGCGCACCGATAGAACGGACAAGACGCATTGTCCTGAGCCGCCCTGTTTACGTACATATCATTCTAACCAGAATTAACGATTGAAATGGAGTTTTTTGTGGTATCGTTGTGCGTTTGGAATTTCTACTTCGTTTAGAATGAACGCATCGCTGAGTTGTACAGTGTACCGAAACCTTTATGACTTGGCCAGCTAACCGTTCAATATTTTGTGTAATCAATGACAGTCACGTTTCATTCGCCTTGGTTACTAGTCCTACTCGACGGTTCTACTGGCTGCACTGGTTCAGTCGCTGCTCTCGCAGCAGTGCTTGAAACACAGTCATTTCGTCGGGTGGAATGTTCGTCACCGGCTCCCAGGTGGGAACCCAGACGACTAGCACCTGCAGACCTTCTTCGTTATTGTGTCGCTGTTCAAGCAGACGGCGGGAATCGTAGTCCACATCGGTCAGGCGGGTAAAGTGCCTTCGCGCCGCACTCAGTTTCCATCTCTTGGAAGTTGCACACGTTCTCTCGCTAAAAGGGAGCCCTCGACAACTTGCGCCAAAAGTTCACCTAGGAACTCGTGCAGAACGCTCCATGTGATGCGTCTGACAGGGATGCGGTCGAGGGTGCGGTCGCAATTTCGTCGATGTCACGCTCCTCCTCCATCACCGCACGAAGTACAGCTCCTCGGGCGTGGCGGTACGCCTCCGAGAAGATGTACTTCCCGCTGCGGCAAAGGTGTCGGCAACACATATGGCGGAACACCCTCCGGTGGTCAACGCAAAGAATATGCGCCATGTTAGGCAAAATAGACGAATGGTCGATACCTACCACCTACGTAAAGCCCTGCAATGTATTGGTTGGTTGTGAATATTGTGATTTTAGCGGGGTTTTGGTATTGCTCTTCACTATGTGCTTTTGTTTACCTCGAACTATTTACTATAATACTCAAACGGGATGTATGTAAATATTTTTTTACTGCGAGTGTACATGTAACAACGCGTCCTTAGTCCAGTTGAAAAAGATAGATGTAGTTTGTTACCACTCGAACTCTAGTTAAATTGTAGAAGTCTTTCGTCTACTTCCATCATCAACAGAAAAAGGGCAAATAACTAAAATATCATACTGAATTCCCTATGTTAAGACATACAACCAATGGGGGAATAGAGACGTGCGAATCCCTGTCCCGGCTAAATGGATGTACCAATTCAAAGAAAATACGATTTTTTGTGCCTTTCACGTATTTTGGCGGGTGAGCTGTTAATTCAGGCGGAATTAGAGTCATAAAAGGGCGATCAACGCTTATTTAGTGCTAATTCTGCCTAAGATTGTGAACGCTTCCCCTAACATCCGCGATCAGCATTTAAGAGCCAATCGACGGAGATACGACCAGAATGACATGGATTGGCGGGTAGGAAACCGCCAATCGCTCTGTTTCCGCCTAACGCAGGCTGGATTAGCTCATTCCGCCTTAACTCGGCCTCACCATCGCCGCTCCTAATTCGGCAACGAATGGGCGACCTGGAATTAACATGGGAATTAGCTAACTCGGAGCATAATTAAGGTCGATAAGGGATTAGAGTTATGCCAGAATTATCATGGCAGAATAAGTGAAAGGCACAATACTTAAAATAGCAATAATTTTTAGGAACTGCATGGATATTAAGAAAACGTATTTTACTTAACGGATGCTACGGCACGCAAAATATCATCGAAGTGGTCGTTCAAACTAAACTCACCAACTGCCGTATCTAATAAACCCGCACGAGTCGCTTCCTCGATAATGTCGTGAGCATCTTCAACCTCTACTTGCTCTTCTTCTTCGGCATTGTTGACGGATACAAAACCATACTTTTTAACCCCCCCCCATGATTGTGGCCAATGCAATATCGGACCATGCGCTGTGAATCCAGCCGCACATTCGGTATCGACCAGGGGGTCTAACTTGAACGCTTTGTCTGGCGTCCGGGCACGAAGTTGCTCGCGTAAATCTCGAATCCATAAATTTCGCAGTCTGTCTTTTAACACGCGGTATCCGGGCCTGCCCGCACCCCCTAGATGACAAGCCCTATGATCAAGAGCTCAGATCGAGCTGAAATTTGGCACACAGTGTGCTGAGACCATAGAAATATGTACTGTGAAGTTTCGCGTTCGGAGCGCGAGTAGAAGGTATGAATCCGCAAGGAACTATGAAATCTGCCAAAATGTGTAAATGGAATGTGCCTTTTCTGTTCATTATGGCTACATTATAGTCTGTTTTATGACCAAAAATGGATGGGTTATGGTCAAAATGTCATACATTGATTGCGATACCCGTCGACGAAGGGCATCACTGACGAGATACATATCAGGTCTCGTCTCTTTGATCCATCGTATCTCCTCCATTTTCGGTGCTGCGAGTCTACAAAGGCTACATCTACCATTTCTTGATCGGGTATTTCCTTTGAACTCTAAGCTAGACCAATTTAGGCTGATTTAAAAATGTTGGGAAATTACACTTGCCATCCAAAAAGGGCGAAAAGGTGCGGGTTGTTACAGAGACAGGGTGTTAAAGGGGCATTCCATGTTGCATCCGCAGGTTGTGCCACTGAGGGAGGGGTTTTGGAAACCGAGCAAACAAACGCAAAAGCTCACAACTGCAAGAGAGACCGACGGACCGCAGTGTGCGCGGAAGCCTGGCCGCCCAGGTGGCATTCGGGGGGACCTTCAGCACGGTGACGTCGGCAACTTTGGCGTACTCGACGACTTCATTGGGCCAATGCCCAATGAAGTTTTGGAGTAGCAAAAGTATCGGCTCTTTAGGGGCTGGTCGATATGCGAAATGATGTACTGTTTTTCCTTCCGCCCTGTGTCGCCCGGCAGCCGTGGCCGCCGTTTAGGACGTCTCTTCTGACCGGTAGTCATCTTGTGGCAGAATGAAATCGCTGGATGATCGCAGTTGTGTCGTGCTGTATGCCTTGACATAGGGCTCAGCATACATGCGCCAAAGCCCGTATGTATGCTGAGCATGTATTGGTGAATGGGGGGTTAACATAGGGAATTTGGTATGTACAAGTTACTTACTCCTATCATCGACTGCACACACGCTTATGCAAGATTCATCCTACGTTCTCTGTTCTTGGTTTCGTTAACTAGACGTAAGGTCTCACTACTGATGTTGTAGCCTATTATAACTCGCTAGCGAAAAATTAACAATCTGATGTAGCCAAGTTGACAGTAGTACTGATGACTGGAGGTTGAAGTTCGACTAGAAGTCTGGGGTCATCACGATCGTCGAGGCCGTAAATCCTGCCTGACCTATCACTTCAGCCATTCTCACTTTTCGTCCGACCAAGCCGGCGCGAGGTAACTGAGGCGCTCAACACTGCGCTCGAGGGCATGCAGTCCGTAACCGCTGATCCTCGCCCTATACCCGCTGACGAAATAGAGAAGGCACTCGCTACCGCTCGAGCGATCGCCAGGAGGGGGCAGAGTTCAGCATCGGTGGAGACGACGTCTTCTTCGAACTTCCCTGTGTCCGCGTCGATCCCAGCTCTACCTTAATGTCCAAGCCTTGTCACCGAAGACTCGACACTTTTGCAACTGGAGCACAAAGATTTTCTCGATGACACGGATCTCACGGGTGCTCCACCTCAGGGATTTGCCGTGCTTGAGGGTGATGTGAGTACCGACGAACTCATGGTGAGTCAGCAGACTTTCGACTTGGGTGACGACACGCTCATGACTAACCAGCAGACTGTGGACTTAAGTCATGGCAAGACAGCAGCCTACCGATAAAGAAGACGTGGACGAAGAAGTCGAGAATGGAAACGATGAACGCAACGGTCCTGCACCAGACAACCAATGCAGCGAACCTACACCACTACCAGCTGACTCTGAGGCAAGCTGTCGCGCTCAAATTCAAAATCTTGTACAACCGATTATGTCTGCACAAGGTTTCCTGAATAAGCTCATGGAGCAAGCGGAGATCATTCTTGTTCACGGTACAACCGACGTTGGATCTTACATGACTAGTTTTGTGTTGGTTGATCGCAGCTTGAACAAACTCGGAAATAGTGATGGCGTAGTAAGTCAGAGACAATTTCTTCACCTTCGGGTCCCGCACTCTTGCAAGCGGTTTGGCCAACCTTTCCCGGTTAGGAACTCGGAGCTCCAGGCAAGGAAGTGATAGTGATGTTCGACCTCGTCTGGACACTGGCTTGCGATTGAGCTGATGAAATTATTGATCGAAGCTGGCGTTCCGCTCAAGTATACAACACCGTCGTTGCACTGCAAGATTCCAACCATCGTGTATGACAATGGAAGCGTTTACAGTTGCCGTTGTTCGTCAATTTTGACTTTAGGGGCTGGGTAAGCAATGACGAGCATGCGGTCGAAGTTGAACACATAGTTGATGACTGCCTTACGGTTAATGTTAGTCCAGGCGTCGATGGTCAGCGTGCACGGCTTGTTGGCGATTCTCATCATAATCTTTGAGCGTGTCTCATCGTAGCAGGTATCGAAGAGTTTAGAAGTCATCGGCGGGCGTGCCGGGACGCCGTCCGACGGTGTCAATTGCTGCAGCGCATCATCCTAAGTATGGTGGCCAACCTCGGTAAAGGTACGACACAATGTCGTCTTCGATGAGTATGTGGTCTCATGCAGGGTTTTGAGGGTGTCCACTGCGTCTGATGTTCTGGCAGATCGGACAGCCGTAGTTGCGCTTGAAGAGGTTGTCGAGTCAGAATTCATCTTGGCTGAGGAGGCTAGGCGGGCAGGTGGGTGGGTGCACTTGAGGTCTGAGGTCAAAACCTGAAGCGACAGGTATTCAGACCCGTCCCTTTTCGTTAAACATGCAGGCATTTACCAACATGCTCGTATTTTTCTGTGGACCAGCCTAGAGGCTTCTTAAGCCAGCAAGTACATTACTGTACCCATCTTGTCTACCCATCCGCCTGTAAAAAGGTATTACCCGTCCCAACTTTTTTTAACAGAGATTATCACCACAAGATGGTATAAAAACGCCATTTCCTCTTAACGAGTTGCTCTATTTTATTGGCACCTCGGTTAATGGAGCTGCAAAAGCCCACAGCTAGAGTTCATGGCACATGAAGTCTAGTGACGAAGTTTGAGCAAGAAAGGTGTAGTAGTTCTCTTTCTACGGGGTCATAACCTAACATTGTGGCCATCTACTACAAAGGAATTATGAGCGCAGCGCCGTCGATAAAATGTACCTCACTTCCCGCTATTTTGATGGCGGTACTTAGCTAAATGATCATCAAGAAGCAAAGAAAAGCCGCACCGCTAATCACGAATGCGGATTTGTACCGGATTGGTACCTCCGTAAAACGTACGATGTATCGTCGATTGTGTTGTTAAATATTAGTACCCTGGATTAACGGCTAGCACAACTTGCATGGGCACGCTTGAAATGGCTACCCGTGCGCTCCGTGTAGGTGCTCATATCTCCGTAGGTGAGCTGTCTATCGGTCCTACGGACGGCTGCAGTCCTTACTAGTACTTGGCTGTGGTTTGACTCATTTTGGGGTCGATTCAGTAAAGTGCGGATTTAGTTGGTCTCAGATGTTCAGGGGTACCGTCGCATCTCGTGGCGAGATTCTCTGTTAAAAAAAGGTTTTTAACAACCGGATTATGCGTCAAGTACACCGGAAAAGGATAATTTGTGGGGGTCACTCAAATCTAAAAGATCCGCTACAGATAGAAAGGATAAAGCAAAGGGTCCAAGCGAAAGTTATAGACTCCAAAGCGCATTTGTCAGCACGGATGGCTCATAGTTCGCCATATTACTTCAGAAGTCTCCTCTCAAACTTGGCACCCATGACACCCCCACCTCCGCATGCATTCACATTCAGTTAGGTTTCTACCAATCAACAGTGCCGATACCAGGATAAATCAAAACGATTGTGGTATTTTATCCTATGTTTTGTAAGGTCCTTCAGAAACACAATCTAATTTGCCGAAAATAGGCATGATTACACTCGCCCGAAAATGGGCCCTGATGTTGTACTCGAGGATCTCTTGTGCTCGACTACTTGGTCGTACAGGAATGCTAGCGCTTGATATGTAGTGCATATCTATGCTCTACATGTTGGTAAAGTCCGCAATGCATTCTATTGTTCAGCGGATCTTTTATTTACATAAGGCTTGAGTGGTGTACTTAAGGAGGCAGAGTCCGGTTGTTATTGTGAAAACCGATTAGTTTGTCCTGCTGAATTAGCCGGTTAAACATCGCTCATAGCGGATTTGAAAACTAATAAATCGGGGATGTCTCAATTATAATCGGAGTATAAATCGCTTATTGGTCTCGTAATTATGTGCAGCCTAGCAATTTCGATCAACATGCATGTACCCACGGCCCGAGACTCGCTAAGTGCAGCGACAACACCGCGCTTAAACGCGTCACCTGCATATCTCAGTTACATGTATTATAGCGTGCAGCTTTTACTGCTTAGTTCTGATGTTAGTGTTGTAGCCTTGACTACCTACCCAAGAGCGACTGCAACGATTGTTGTCTGGCGGCTAATTTAGCCTTCAAGGAGCGAATGCCGGTTGCATTCCGTCTGAATAGCAAGCAAACCGGCCGGCTCTGGCTTAATCGGCCGATTAGCAAATGTAAATCCGACTCATATGCTCTGACTCTGTAAGTCGTCCTCCGTAGTAATCTTGAGTATAAATCGAGTTACCCAGTCTAACGTAGAATACCAAATAGTGTACGGTCTACTAATATTATAAAGTACCCTACAGAGGCACCTAGGGTACTATACTCGATGGTACTATATTCCCGGGATTGAAGAGGCTTCTTTGGACGATCACTGAAATACAGCAAGTGAACACGCAAGTAATTTTCACCATCAACGCCAGCAAGACGGATTAGCAGATTATGCTAGCTGCAGTAAATGCAGAGACTGGTCTTCGATCCATACTTCGTCAAAAGCATCAAGCAGTTCGTCGACAGAACCTTCACCGCTGTCGTACCCTCCAGCGGTTTGTTCGTCTCCAGTAGCCCCGGTCCATGCTTGACGGAACCTGGCTCCGTAGACGTCGTGCCCACTGATAAACCAGTCGCTGGGATCGTCGTAGAACGATGCTCTTGGCTACAACACTGTCAGGGACCTGACGCCACGCCGTCGCCACCCAAGCAACGATGGTTTCAATAGGTGGAGGTCGCGGGTTCCCACCTCGGGTGTAGCTAACCTGGTCAGATCGTTTCCAGGCGTCGATCAGGACAGACATGTTGTCCTTGAAGGATTTAAAAATCCCGACGTCTCCCGCTTGCAAGTATGGCGTGAGACCACCAGGGATCACAGTCATCTTGATAGACTTGTCAGCGCTGATTCACGATTTTGCCAATGTGGGCGCGCATAGAATCCCACACAACCCACTGGCCCTCGGACTGTGTGACGGACGGGAAGTGCCAGTCCAGCCACTGAAGTAGTAATTCTTGGTCAACCCAGGCGCGTGAAAGGAAACGTAGCAGCCGCCAAGGCGCTCCAGGGGACCTCTTGTCTTTCTCTCCCAGATCAGACAAGGGGGCAACTTCTTCCCAGAGGCCGTCACTGCCAGCGCAGCGGTGATCCGCATGGAGGCGAAGCCAGCCGACCGAATGATGACATGACGCCGCCCCACCTCGTCGACGGTACGATTGCGCGGGCCTTCGAAGTAAATAGCCGTCTCGTCCATGAGGATTGTCTTGTCTCGATTCATGGTGGGCTTATTCTCTTGCAGGAAGCGCATGAAGGCGAGGGCGCGATCGACAAGAACGTCATCCGACAGCGTTGTCAGATTGGTGCGACGGCGGAGGCGGAGGTTGTTTCTCTCCATGAACGCACTCACCCACTGGTCGGACGCAGCGAACCGAACAGGATGCTCTTCGTGCTCTTCTTCAGAGCGACTCTCACGAAAAAGCACCGCGCTTGAGCAGCAATCCAATCCCGCGACACCTTATCCTTGTTGAGCCGGTGGTCGTAGATCATGTCCACCAGCACGTCCTCGCTCACGCCAAGCACTGGACGACAACCTCCACCTTGCAGACGTTGGCGATTACCACTGGCGGCAAGAATCTCATCTCGCTGGCGCCACCACTTGCGAAAAGCCGCAGCGTTGATACGCCAGCCACACTGCCGGAAATGCGCTTCCGCCCGACTTGGCACTCCCCCCCCCCTCCGTGGCAATCCAGTCGATGGCCTGGCGTTTGATACTGAGCTCCACACTCTTTCGTCTTGCAGGTATCTTGGCGAATGATGCCGCTCGACGCCACCAAATCCGCATGAGTTACATTCAGCAAAACGAACGGCAGAGCATTGTCAACCTTGCTGCAGGTGCGTCCCGTGGCACAATGCAGTGCTACGGAGTGAATTATCCACAGCAACGCGTCAACTCGTAGTTTTGATGACACGGTACTTTATTTGTGGGGGACTATATTTGAGGGTACTGTATTCTTATACAGTACCCCCAGATAGGTCCTTGTATTCGCAGGGAACTCTAATACCATACCGTCAAAATTCCAACTGTCCGACCAAGGAGTTCAACCTGCACCGGTACTCGACCAAATCACTTTAATGACATCTATTACATATTTAGTGACCACACACACTATCCAGTAATATTTCCCTCTCATTCAGCCTTTCCAGCCAGACAACGCGCGGACGACGACGGCAGCGGAGACGCGGACGGTGCTCGGCCTCGGGCGGGGTGATGACCCCCCGAGGCCAGCAGCCCCAGGAGCAGGTCAGCGGTAGCGGCGACGTGCACTGCGGCATTGCGTTGCGCGGGGTGACGGTCGCCGAGACCAGCGGCAGCACGACGAGGCAGCAGCGGCGGCGACGCGGACTGCGGCTCGGTCTTCGAGCCAACAAGACAAGGTAAATAATGATGCGCTTTTGGTTGGGGGAATATCCACTTCTGACTTTAAGGTTTGTGCTGTGTTGTTTGTATTATAGTGTCAGTCAAGTGCGAGTAAATACACAAAGAGGTTCACCCATATTATGTTGTTGTCGTTCTCTATTTGATGGTGTTTACTTGCTTGATCAATGCGCTGCGAGGCCGCTTTAACTTTGCTTTTCTGGAGTCTGCTTCTGTGCTATGATTAATCTTGCTTGGGCTTCAGTCGAATGAACGACGGCAATGCCGAAGGCGGCGTTGGATCGGCAACAGAGCCACGATCAACGCGTTCATGGAACTGTGTGATAAGCTCGTCAAGCTTTCCAAGCTTCTGCATCTGACGAAGCGCCTTCAACGCTGTACCTGCTGCGACGGCGAAGGAGCCGTGCGACTTCAAGAAGGTGAGTGCGTTCTGTTGTGCTATATCGCCAAGCTCGAGCACTTCGCTTTTGTATGCAGCGACGAAGTGTCAAGCGCGAAACCTTCAGGTAAGAAGAGCATGAGATACCCTGCGATGTGCCTGTACTCGTACAACGCTGTCTTCTTTACACGCGAGGCTCCGCTGTAAACCACTCGAACCAGATCGCCGACAACGACTGGGCTCCTTCTTCTTCGGGCGTGTCGTCGTAGCTCCTACTGGCGGTGGTTGCTCGAAGGCAGGATGCGTGGCGTCGGCGTTTGCTGGTTGAGTTGCGGTTGTGCTGGTAAGTGTCTTGAGGTGTGCTTCAACAGCTAATATGCGCTCGTCGAGTCGTTTGTTCTGTAGGATTAAAACATCGATCTGCTCGGACTGGTGCTTGATGAGATCAATCAACGCAGGCGACAGCTCCTCACCACCACTAGCAGACGCCTTCGACTCAGGAGGCGTCGCGAATGCCTGGCTAATTGTCACGCTCCACGCGAGCAGCTCCGACTCACCGATGGCTCGTTGTGCTAGGAGCTCACGCATCTTCGTGATGAGCGGGCTGCTTGGGCAGAGCACTAACATGTCGGGGTAATGCATGAACAGGGTAGCCGTAAGGACATCAGCGACGTTGTCGTCAAGGTTCGATGAACTGAGGGAACATGCGCTGGCTTGGTGCCTTCTACATAACCAGCGCCACAGCCAAAGCTTGCAGAGGACATGTCAAGAAATTCGTTGGGTCCTTGAATAAGGAGATGCCTTGTAGTAAAGCTGTTTTAGCCCGCTTAAATCGAAGAAATAAGACTCCACCTAACATAAATGCACTCAGTGTTAAAATAATTCTGCTAAGAACATGATAAGTATTTACTTACCAGGCAAGATGGATAGCTGGCTCTTCTCGACTGTTTCCGCGTCCGAGCTTCGACCGTAAAGGTACCATATCATCACGACTAGTGCCGCGTCGAGTTATTCACTCTCCGTCGCTGCCGTTGAGTACAGTAGCGACACCATAGCTTCTAAGTCTTGTTTAGAGCACGGGGGTGCTTTCTTCTCGTCGCCGACCTCCTCTCGGTTACTACGATACTTACCCAGCCCTGATAGATTTTTTGGAGCTGAGATTTAACCAAAGCTCCTTGTAGCGGGTACTTATCTACTAGCCAATTCTTGACGTTGCCATAGTATGCTAGACACGTATTGGTCGCCCTTACCTTATCGGCTGACGTGGCTAACGAATATGCATACTTGTCTAGTATAATACGCAATACCTTACCTGTCTTATCCCCGTCGATAAGCCTGTGGGTGGCTTCGAGTGTCATGCTCTCCGCGGCCATGTACGTCGTGAACGAGTTGATCGCCGTCGTCCTGGCCTTCTTGCTGTTGGCAGGAGCAAGCGATGCGATCGACATGCTAGCCTATCTGCTCTTTTCACTCTGAACAAAAACATATGTACCGACCATTCGGGTTGGAAACTGAAGGATATTTTTGGGATATGCATTTATATAGACATTTGTATGGCATTAAAAATATTCTGACAAAATTCCAACCAAATATGGTTGGAACGGTTGGAAAAATGTCCTAGTTTAGAGGGGCTTCCGATTGGCCAACATTCATCGAACTTAAGGCATTCATTGGGTGAAAGTCGTCGAGTACGAGCGGTTTGGGATTACAAAAAAGAGTAGCGGTTGGAACAGAGTGAATATTACTCCATACCGGAAACTATTCGGTATTCTAGTTAATTAGGAGGTCGGATTTATCAAATCGGAGGCCGTCGGTCTTATTAGCCACTAAATCGGCGAATTAACAATCCAATAAGACATTCTAATCGGTTTTCACAATAACAGCACTGTTTCCAATGCAGATGATCCTCTTTGTAGTGATAGCCTCGGGAGACCACTTTTTATCACTACGCAGAGGCATGACTACAGCGTCGGACAGAATGTAACTGCCACCTTAGGATAACTCGCTAGGAAAATAGACGAGGTACAACTGTACAAAGTATTTCATGGTAAATTATAGTTCTGGCCAATTAACATCGACTTTGAGTTTGTGATATTCTAATATCATACAAAATCCAAGATATTACTTTACTAAGCAAATCATCCAAATAAATGTTTTAACCAATCATATCATCAAAACGAGAGCGGCCGTTTATTGGGTGTACAGCGACATGCTCTTCACCATCGCTCAGTGCTAGCAGTTACATTCTGTCCGACGCTGTATCTAGATCTGTACCATATTGGCGGTACTGTACATTGTCGTTCAAGGAACCAGGGCAGTGATATTGCCACCATTCAGGCACTTGGTGACCTTATATTGCACTCGATACGTGGTCGAAGCGCTAGATAAAGCAGTTGTTGCGCTGGACATTATAACATATACGTGATGAGACACTAGGCACTATTCAGATGGAACTGGGAGGACTGCACAGGCAGCTACAACACGAAATCTAGTCTAGCGCCCACGCAAAACGATAATGCACATCATGCAAAACTTTTAAGTTTATTAAAATAATATGTCCGCGAACTCGGAGAATCCAAGTCCATTCAAGGTCGCAAGCGACCCACGTCGGACAGGCTTTACGAAATGGACATTCTCATAGTTAACGGTCTCTTGATAGTGATAAAGCCCAATCTCGTATCACTAAGCACTATCCGGAGATTAGAGGATGTTTTGACTTGAATTTGAATGTCGTCGGTCATCGGGAGAGCTCACTACCGCTTCTAGTACTGCAGTCAATGATGTTCTGGTTGGTGGGGCACGAGCTTGAAGCGAGAGTCTGTCCAATCTTATTTTCTTAAATAAACTGTAGGAGACTGAGTCTGACGCTCCCGTATATAAGCTTGCTGACTGTGTTCCCTCCACTCTAAATCAGGGTACGAACGTATACGACGAGGCAACATCAGAGCCAATAAACTGTAGCATTTTAGCTAAAGCTGCACCCGTCGTCCTGTTGCTGAGCCAGATTAGCATTTCTCAGTTTGGAAAGTTCCCTCTAAATCGTGTACCTCTGATTTAATGACATATGGTCACTAAATTCCACATCTTGATGCAGTGAAATCTCAAATCCTATCTATGTCACAATTCATGAAATGTCAGTAAACACAGGATTTTTGGTCAAAAATGGCCCTGGGTGACTCAATCAGAATGTCAGCCCTAACTTTAAGCGTTCCTTCTAAACTGATATCAGGAAGTAAATGCGGGTATGGACCCTTGAAAAAGCTAAGTAAAAGTGAGTGCATCAATAGTACGCAAAATACACTTGCAGGTGAAAATAGATTGATACCAATTTGAGTCTTTCTGTTGCCCCCCTCCACTCTGCGCTTCGCGCTGCGTCAATGTCTACCAAGGCCCCGTTCAAGTTCGAAGAGTTTTATGAGGCATTTGGCAAGTCTGTACCATCTGGTGTCATCTTCGTCGACGGGCAAGTTCACATTGTGCCGCGCGAAAAGGAGGTGGTAGCAGCGCCGGTAGATCGCATTGGGACCAGCAACTCTGAGCCTGTTCTCCCAGCAATTAATCGTGAACGTTCAATACGAAAACACGCTAAGGGAAGACTCCTGGATAGTGCCGACCGACGTCGTCTACCCTGGCCCATCAGAGCGCTGCTGGAAGCACAAGAGCCCGATGGTAGCTGGGTCTACTCCAGCAACTTTGAGTTCATCATGAACGGCGCAGCTCCACCGCCAGTGGAGGGCATATCCGGCAAAATGTGGGCCACGGCAGTCGCCATCACGGTCTGGCGGCAGTTCCCAGAGTACTTTGAGCTGCTTGAAACGTACTATGAGAAGGCCATGCTTCACGCCGATGAAAATGTGCTTCGAATTGTGCGATCAGTGCTTCAGTTTGACGCCTTTGAAAAGGTACGTGGCTGCTCCCAAAGCTATGATTTGATTTTTCCTATCTAACATTCACCACGATGAACTCAGATTCGTCCTTTTAAGAGCGATGAGGCACGAGTGGTCCGCGAGCAGCTTGCCCGTGAAGCTGCCGCAAAGCGCGAGCTTGAGCTGAACGAAGAGCTAAAGATCGCGCGTATGCGCGAGGAGGCTATTCGAATCGGGAAGCTCAGCTTAGTTCATGCTCGCAGACTGCCAATGCCCACGCAACAGCTATTCGTCGCCGAGTTGGGGAGTGAAATTGCCACAGTGTTCTCCGCCTTACCCCCAACGTTGATGCAAGACCAAGACACTCGTCGCCACGATTCGTTCAGCGTTGGTCAGCTGGTTGAAAGCTGCCGCCGTCGTCGCAAGAATGGATCGGCCCTCGCGACTGCAAACTCATCACCTCGCTGGCACCTGTGCCGGATCAGTGCCGTTGACGAGGCAAGTCGCCTGGTCCAGTTGGACTTCCTCGATGGCGACTGCGAGCGTGAGAGAAGAGTTCCGATGAAATTCGTTCGTCCTACTGCTGCAGGCGCCCAAGAGGCTCGAGCAGCGCAGTTTGAAGCATTGCAAAGTTTCTGGAGCCAGCCTATCGTGTGTGAAGCGGAGATCGCTCGGCTAGAGGAAGCCCGTGCGGTTAAATTGACGCCGTTGCCATGGGACTGCAGGCACCACCTCGCTCTACAAGAAGCAGCGAGTCGCTACCACGAAGATGCAGTAACAGATGAAGTGGCTACTGACAAACCGGTCAGCAGCAGTCGGCGCCCTCGATCGTCGACACAGCGGCCCGGGTCTAGCGAGAGCACGCGGGGAAACTCGAGCCGCCCTGTGGACACGCTCTTTCAAGCTGCCGCACTCGTCTTGATGCGGTACGATCGGGCCTACGCTCGCGTGCAAGCGGCCATCGAGGCCGGCTCCAGGCGCTACGCGACGGCGGTTCTGTACCGCGAGCGCTTCCACGCCTTCGACGAGCTAGCAGATGCGCTCGTGGCGCTCGCGGAGAGCACTGTGGACGCGCTCGAGGCCATCTGGAGGTGGAAGCAGGACGGCCCGCCAGACGCGAGGCCCAAGACGTTCGTCTGGAAAGGAGACGGCTTCGTCGCCACGGTACGTGTTGCTCAGCCCACGTTGAAGTTGACGCGACAAGAGTATCTAACACATGTATCCTACTGAGTCGCAGCTCGTCAGGTCGCTGGACTTCCTGGGTGGCTACCGCGAGCTGGCCGAGTGGTACGGCGAGGAGTTCCCGCTGGACGGCAACCCCTTCATGCGCTCGTCGTCGCTGCTGGACCTGGCCGAGGAGCGCGGGCTGCAGCCCGCACAGCAACAGCAGCGGCGGCGGTCGAGCGCATTGCGCGCCGCTGTAAGTGGGGGCTGTCCCCATCCCGTGTCGTTCTTTTTTCTTGTTTGGTTCTAATTTTTCTCATCGGATACTGTACAGTTGAAGCTGCACAAGCGCTCGGACGACGACGACTTGGCCGGACCGAGTCCGACGTGGTGGCCGGAGGCTCGCTACCCCGGCGAGCTGCTGCGCCGCGTGGAGCAGGCCGAGCAGGTCAGTATGTGCATGCGCGTGCGCGAGGAAGCTTGGTGGTCTGACCCGCCGCTCGTTGACTCGCAGAGACTGCTGGCCGAGTTGATCTCCTCGCGCTGGCTCGAAAAAGAGAGGGCGGACCAAACCGTGGGACGATAAAAAAGTATTCGGTTCAACTGCCAAAAAATATCTAATGACGTTACACCTTTTTCTCTCTCTCTTTAGCAGTCGCGCCGCGAGTCTCGCTTGGCAGAGGTGGCGTCCGCGCCGCCGGCGGGGCGACGGCCGGCGTGGTAGGCCTCCATGCTGAGGCGGATGAACTCCTGCGTGTAGCTGCGGTCGGCCTTGACGGGGCCCTCGGCCGGCACATTGAAGAAAGTCCGGCCGCAAATCTCCCGCCGCGCGCTCGCCGGGTTGTTGTTGGCCCACATCGGCGCGTCTACGCGCGCCGTGACCTGCAGAAAAGATCGCGCAGCGGTTTGTTAGCCCGAGAAGGGTGAAGCACACGAGGGATCCTTGTGTCGGGTCGTGCGCACCGATCGGGCGGAGTACGGCTTGTCCTCGAATGGTTGTCCGTCGTACGCGACCTTGCGCTGGATGGCGCCCTTGGCCTCCACGGTGCTGGTGGGTTTGAACATGCCTGGCTGCTGCGAGCGCGTGGATCCATGGGCACTTCAGTGGAGAGAGAGACAAACAGACGGGCGGGAAGCCCTATTTTGCGGTAGATACTGTACTGCATGTAGACGCACCGTGTTGTGAGCTGCATGCCGCATGGGCGCCGCCGGCAGACCAGCTCTGGACGACGCGGCCGCCGCCGCCGCTGCGCGCCGCTCCTGGCGGGCCTTGGCGTGCTTGCACATGATGGCGGAGCGGAACGTGGTCAGCGGCAGCGTTGCGTCGAAGATCTCCTCCAGCTGCAGCAGCGTGAACGAAGCAGGCGTCAGCGGATCGTGCGGTCGTCAGGTCGACGCGAATCCTCCCAAGGACAGACACTTCAACCAAGAAAGACAGACCGAGTCGGGCGGGATGAGGCGGCTCGCGACGTCGTCGTACCTGCCTCGGGGCGGCGAGCTCTCGGCGGCGGCGGCAGCCGCGGTGGGGAGCTGCGGCTCCTGCACGAGCACGATGCTGTCGCCGTCGGTCTTGCCGGCGCCGATGGTGGCCAGCGACGGGAAGTAGCGCACCGAGCGGAAGTTCTCCACGTATGCGTCCTTGTACAGGCGCTTCTCGCGCTCGAACGCGACCAGCTCCGACTTGTCCACCATCCGCAAACGGGTTATTGCGAGGGCCAATGCGGCAATTCTGCTCGTGGCACGCGTTTTCGGCGCTCGCCGCGCTAAGATTAGATCCTGGCGCTCACTTGGCTACGGTGGACTTGCGGTGTTGTAGGGTCGCTAGATGGCGACATGCGCTACACTCGACGCGGGCCACGATGACTGCAGCCACCGAGAAGAGCCATGAACGGCGAACCACCACGACGACGCCAACGCAGCCAAAAAGATCGAGCTGCGCGGCCTGGCAGGACGAGGCGCAGGCCGGCTCACAGACGGCTCCGCCGTCTGCAACCCCGTTCGCATCGCGCAGCGGCTGTCGGCGGCAAATCGCGCGGCAAGCGCTGGCCGTGAACTGAACTCCAAGATCAGGGGATTTCACTAAGTCAGTAATGCGCGCGCGGGGGGGGCTTAACAATTGGCAATCGCTAATCACCGACTCCTTTTGTGGATTCCTCACCTTAGTACCTAGAAAAATGCTACCGACTGTTGCTTCATGCGAAGCTCCATTTTGTGCTGCGTTCCTGTTGGATGCACCAGGTTCTTGGCAGTGCTATTTTACAACTTGCTCAGAAAAAGCTCACAATCTCCTGCCACCTCCTTTCCTCGCGATCTAGGAGTGGGCTCACAAGCATCGATGTACAGTGCACTTCTCTGTACAATACGATGTACTAGAGAAATGATCAGCGATGCTTCATTTTAAATATGCGGGAGCGATGACCTGACCATTGGCTCAAACTTCTTCACCACCGAGAATCGAGAAAGTAAAGCATCTACGTCAAGACCGACCACTTCACCTTGACTTTTATAGATATGTAAGGATAGAAGCAGCTTGTTGGTTCATACCTGTTCGAGGCGTCTTTTAGATGATGTTGTTGTTGCGCGCGGTAACGGGTGCTGCTTTCGGACTTCAGGGCCACTACATTGCCTACCTCCCTCGACACTGTTTGATATGTTTTGCTCGTGACGGTGCCGACAAGTCCGCGTCTCGATCGTCCGTGGCAAGTTGTTGTCTCGGGTGAAAGTGCGTAGAAAGTAGTCAAGGTTTTGTGCTGCAGTAGCTTGTCAATTTCAGTACTTTGAGCTACTGACATATGAGAACTCCTTAAAGATACTCTTGCCCAGCTGTACGTCTTTTCGACTGCCAACCGAGCCCATCACGCGTCCTTTCTATATGTGTTTATCAGGTGCCGGACGGGCTCCGCCGAGCTGAGCTCGGCCCAAAGTCTCTCCACGCGAGAGTCTCAGCAGCGGGCCCTATCTACCCGCGGCGGGCGCCACCTGCCAAAATCTACCGAGGGGATATAAAACCCCCGCGTGCCGGACTTCTATGCGCAGATCCCTTCTTCAAACACTTTGCGCCGATCCTGTCGACTTGACGCAGAGCTCCGCCCGACCGACTCTTGGGCCGCGCGTGTGGTGGTACCTGCACCGCACCGACGACACGACCTGGATTGAGGAGGAATTGTGGAAGGAATTCCGCGCCGCTGGACACCGGGCGATGGAGGCGGCGCCCGCGGTGACGGAAGATGGCGAGGCCCCCGTCGACGACGACGACAGCCGCAGCAGTGCGCTGGTCGCCAGCTTAACTGCGATCTTCGCTTTACGACGCGCGACACGCATGATGTTGCCAACGTCGCGGCCCGGCTCTGGGCGGAAGAGCTTTCTCTCAGCAGCCCTAGCCCCACACCAGGAAAACTGAACTCGACTTGCGCTCAGTATGGGCCGAGCGCGAACGAACGCTGCACGAGGCAAGTGGAGCCAATACTCCAAGTAGATCTTGTCTGCCACACAAAGCTAAAAGCGCCGAGAGCGGAACAGGACGCCAGGCCGGCGAGAAGGAGGTTTCGCCCCAGACCCCGACGCCCAGGTAAGCCCCCGCCTAGTACTCGCTGTCTGCGGCTGCTGTCTGCCCTCCTGCCTGCCTGCATGTGCGCGCGCGCTGGCCCTTCCCCCACGCTGCTGCCGCGGCATGTGTGCAATGCAGGCCAGCTGGATGTGTTTCGGTTTGCGGTTGCGGGCGGAGGGAGGGAGGGAGTGGATCCATCCATCCATCCCGAAGCTCGCAGCAGCAGCAGCTCAGCTCGGCGCAGTCCGAGACCCTCCAAGATCCGCATTCTCACTCCACTCGCTCTTTGCAGCACAGACCTTCCTCTGGCGTTTCGTCTCCACCGACGTGACCGCCGTTAGCGACACAGCGATATATTTAGCCGCTCGGCATCAACTCAGACACAATGGACCGCGTCAAGCGAGAGGCCTACGGCGAGGACGGCCACGGCCACCGGCGCGAGGAAGAACACGTCGCCCCACTGACAAAGGTGCGTGCTCATCAACACACACCCCACACACTCACGACCAAGATCCATTTGAGGCTAACCTTGTTGTGCCAATCTTGCAGGAATCTGAGCCCTGGCGCGGCTCCTCTGGCTTCGGCCTCGCCAACATCCTCAACCGCAGCAGCTCCGGCGCCCCCACCAGCACCATGCCGCAGTTCAGCCTCCCGTCGCTCCACAGCTTCGGCAAGCCGCTGCTCACCAAGCCCGAGGTGTCGTTGGCCCCTCAGCACTACGAGGAGGAAAACCAGTACGTCGCTACTCGCCAGCAGCTCCAGCAACAGCAGCAGCAGCGCAGCGCCGACTCGTCTCCAGCTCGACAGACATCGCCCTCGCCCAACTCGAGACGAATTGCTCCGGCACCGGCAGATGAGGAAGAGGCGGAACAAGAAGCAGAAAACACACCAGCCAGCACCCGAAGCGGTGGCGCTGCCACTCAGTCGATCCGCGGCGGCCGCTGGACGGCTGACGAGCACGAACGCTTCCTCGAGGGATTCCGCATCCACGGACACAAGTGGAAGCGCGTGCAGCAAGTGGTTCGCACACGGTCAGTCACACAAGTGCGCACTCATGCACAAAAGTACCTGCTCAAGGTGGCCAAGCTCAAAGCTGAAAAGAAGCAAGGCGCCAAGACTGCAGAAATGACCACGCTTGCTGCCGAGCAACCTAGTACAGCTACTGCTGCAGCAGCTGCAGGCTCGGTGGATGGCAGCAACACAGCACCATCTACACCAGAACACGGCGCCAACAATGATAGCCCCCGCAAGACTCCCAGGAAGAAAGTGCGGCGGTTGGAGCACGGCAACTGCGACCCGGTGGACCAAGAGTACATCGCTGCCGCAGCAACAACCTTGTGCTTCCTCATGAGCCAGAAGATCGACTCGCTTTTCGACACAAGACACGAGCCCAAGCTGGACGCCAACAACGGGGACTATGAGCCCTACGACTGCTACGCATCACAGCCTGCTGCACAGCCAGACGCTGAGCGCAGTGGGTCCCGCAAGCGGTCGTACATGCACTTTATCACGGAACAGCAGGAAGACTACGCGTCCTACGACCCCGCCCACGGCGAGCCTTCGTCGTACACAATTGAAGGCAGCAAGCTCTGCTCGTAAACGGCGAGCTTGCATACGTCAGTTTCCAGACCCCCACGAAGATGATCGAGCAAAAAGTATCGCGCGGAAACTGACAGAGCGAAGTCAAGCCTAGCATAGTTTCGCGAGTTCCTCTTCTCACCAACGGAAGTGATCGCGTGTCTCCTTGTGAACGCTTGCTCAAGTGTATATATTCTTATGTATATATGGGGTTTCATCGCCGCCTGGTAGACGTCAAGACGGATGCGGAGGCAGGGAAGATCGGCGTTGGGTGACGCCGGTGGTATTTGTAAGTTTAGTCGCTATAGTATAGATCCCTGCTTTTGCTGCTCGGCGGTGGCAGACTGCCACTGGGTCCAGTAGACCTTCACCTCCTAGGCAAAGATGATAGCTCCACATTTTTCCTTCTAAAATATTTCTCCGTTACTGATATTGACGGTCTTAGCACGAAAGCTCAGGTGCTTCATGCAAGAGATCACCTGCAACTTATCCGCTTCCACTTCGCGCGCTGCTTCCTCATCACGTTTGCGCATCACTTGCTTCTGTTTAACAAGCAGGTCCTCAATATCCTGGCGATCCGACGCCATTTCTTCCGTCTCCACTCCATCGTTAAGTCTTACAGCCTGGTCCACAACATAGGAGCAAATAAACAATAAGGATTGCGTTTGTACGTCAATAAACGAACAGCGCTCCAACCTCCTGAAGAGCCTCCAGCGCCAGTTTCAGCTCCCCGAAATTTAGTTGGCAGCGTGCCAATGTGAGAAATCCGTCGCTCCATGTCGGCGCCAACTCGGTCGCTTTGCGCGCGAACTGGACGGCGTGGAAGTCCTCGAACACCGCCATGGAGGCCTGCGCCAGGAGCTCGTACAATGCCGCACTGCTCGGGTCCACGCCCAGAGCTTCTTGCCACCTGTCCATGGCCGCCCGGAACCTGCCAGCTTCCGCCAGCGTGTTGCCCTCGTCCTTCAGACGCTTCACCTTGGCTTGAACGTCCTCGAGCAGCTCCACTCGGCGCTTCACTCGGCTGGAAGGAGAGGCGTCTGGTGCTTCCTCTCGCAGAGCTTCCACACTGGAAAACACACCGCATACTGGCGCTGGTAAGACCTTCACGCTCTCAGCGGCGTCCTGGCAGCGTCGCTTCTTCGACGGCTTCAACGCGAACCGCACCGGCGCCGCCATCGGAGCAACTTTTGTGTGTTTTGACCATACAAAAATCAAGATTCGTTTTCTACCAGTAACTGCAATTTGATCGCGTCATCTGCTATATCGCACGTTCTTAACTTTTCGTTGCTGACGGTCGGTCTCCACATTTGACTGGCCTCGGCAATATCACCAGTGACAGCGAGTGCAGAAGACTTAGCCGGCCACCATGAAGCTCGACGTGACCGCCATGCGCTACCTGACTAAGGAGCACTTCCGCGTGCTGACGGCCATCGAGATGGGCATGAAGAATCACGAGGTGGTGCCCGTGGAGCTCATCGCCAGCATCGCCAAGCTGCGCCACGGCGGCGTGCAGAAAATCCTGTCGCACCTGCTGCGCAACAAGCTCATTGCGCACGACGGCAACGCGTACGATGGCTTCCGCCTCACGTACAACGGATACGACTACCTGGCGCTGCGCGTGTTCCTGCAGCGCGGCCACATCGTCGGACTGGGACGCCAAATCGGCGTCGGCAAGGAGTCGGACATCTACTTGGCCACGCAGGAGGACGGCACGGAGGTCGCCATCAAGTTCCACCGCCTTGGACGTACGTCGTTCCGCGCAGTTAAGTCCAAGCGTGACTACCTCAAGAACCGCAAGTCAGCCAGTTGGTTCTACATGTCGCGCCTCTCGGCCATGAAGGAGTACGCCTTCCTGAAGGTAAGGCGATGGAGAATTCAACGTGTTGGGGGTTCGTTGGTCCTGTAGCTCACTGCTGTTTTATTATATAGGCGCTGTACGACCGCGACTTCCCGACGCCGACGCCCATTGACTGCAACCGCCACGCTATCTGCATGAGCCTCGTGGAGGGCTACACGCTAAACCAAGTGCGTCGTCTGGCCAACTCCAAGGACGCGTACGACACGGCCATGTCGATCGTTGTGCGACTGGCGGAGTATGGACTGGTGCACTGTGACTTCAACGAGTTCAACATCATGATCGGAGAAGATGGCAAGATCACCATGATCGATTTCCCGCAGATGATTTCGACATCGCACCCGAACGCTTCCGAGTGAGTGCACTTTCGGTTTGTATGTCTCTTGGTGACGCATTGCTGACATTTTGTCATTTTTATAGGCTGTTCGATCGTGATGTTCACGGGCTGGTGAAGTTTTTTTCACGACTCCAAGCCGGTGCCTACACCCCTGATGTAAGTTGTGATCGAAGCAGTCAAGCTTGACGTTGTTATTGCTGAAATGATGCAATGCTGACCATAATTTTGTATTTGACTTTTCCAGCGTGTCCCGAAGCTGAAGGACATTGTGGCGGACGAGAACGTCCGTCTGGATGAAGATGTGGAGGCTAGTGGCTACGGAAAGGAGTTCGGCGAACAAGTGCACGACGTAAGAAACTTGATAACGCATCATTGTGGGCTGCGGACCGAGCTGACGAGTGTGGCTTTGTTTCTTCTTGCATTTGCAGCTCTCGATTTTCTCAGCCCACCAGGTTGTTGACGACAGTGACAGCGACGAGGATGACAGCGAAGAGGAAGGCGAGGGCGAGGAGGAAGACGCCGAAAACGAGCAGGTTCCCGATCTTGTCCAGGGAGTTGAAGCTACGACTCTGGATGGCGAGGGTGGTGAGTCTGGTGATGACAACGATGACGAAGGTGAAGAGGAGCAGGATGCGTTCGCCGTTGAGAACGAGATCATCAAGCAGCGGGTGCAGCGCGACCGACAGGCACGTCAAAAGGCAGGTGGTAAGCGGCGGTCGCGCAACTCGGCCAAGTTGAGCATTAAGGGCAAGCTCTACCACAAGAACGACTGGTAAGTCGGAGAGGGAGAGGATGGTGTAAAGCCGTTTGTTGCTTGTCATCTATTGTAGACTGCGGGTGCACTTGCCCTGCGTTTATTTCTTAGCAATACATTTCTTGGATGAAGCTCTTCATATTTGTATTATGGGGTCAAATAACAATTCGTTGGCGGCAAGACTCCTCGTTGCGTTGTATGGCGGTCGAACGGCTATTGAATAACACAGGATGCACTCTGCGCGGCCGCGTCTCCCATATCCTTGAGCACTTTTACTACAGCCTTATGCTTGCCGTCCATGGCGTAGTCGAAGGGCAACTTCCCGTTTGCGTCTTTCTTGAACGAATCCGCCTTGTTTTCCATCAGCAGCCTAACTATTTCCACTTTGCCGCCCTCGGCTGCGCCGTGGAGTGCCGTCATCCCCGTTGTCGTCTCTGCATTAATGTTTGCACCCTTCTGCAGCAAGACCAACGTGGCCTCTTTATGGCCGCTGATGGAGGCCCAATGCAGCGCCGTTCGACCGCTTTTATCCGCCTGCCAAGCCACAGCAACAAAATGACGGACAAACACACACCTTCACATCAATGTACTGCAACCAATGCCTCAACGCAACCAAAACTCGGGCGTACCCCGTCGATTTCTGCGCCTCTGTCCAACAGCAGTGTACACAACTCGGCGTGATTGCCTCCTGCCGCGCGGTGGAGCGCCCGTCGGTCTCCTGCGCCGGGTGCGTTGACGTCTACGGACTTTTCTTCCAGAATCTGCAGGCACGCGCCCTTGTCGCCATTGTGCGCTGCCTTGTGGAGCGGTGTGTCGGACGGCATAGCTCTATGGGGTGGCGGTGGTGGTGGTGTCTCTGTGTCTGGAAGTGGCCCACTTGGTCAACAGCAGGAGGTGACGGCCGCCTCTCGAGTCCTTGTATCGACGATCTAGGAAATAAAGCGCGCGGTCGTCGGCTCGAGCGCGCTGGCAGGCGTCGTAGCTCCCTCTGGTCGCGTCCTGCTGGCTGGAGACTGGGGCAACAGCACCTTAGCAGAACTTAGCTGGACTGCGCGTCGCAAGTAGCAGTTAGGGCCGCGATTGCCTCTCCGTCTTGTCAGAGGACGCGGGGACGGGAAGAGCTCCAGCTCCACGCCAAGCTATCTTTGGTCTTGGTTTCAAGCGCTATCAATAGCGACTGTAGCAGCTTGATCGACGCGACCTTTCAGTCTGATTCGCTGAAAATAGAACTTCAACTTAAGTGGTCGATGGGCAACTCACTGCACCGCGGCGCCAAAATGGACACGGCGACGATAGTGGTGGGAGTGGCGGGCGTGGAGGCTGATGCAAAGGAGGACGATACCACTGAGAAAGCGTCGCTGCCGCTGACGCAGTCGCCGTCGACGCGACGCCCGCTGCTCCCGATCTTGCCCCAGTATCCACCACCGGCTGGAGCGCTAGTCGTCGATAAGGAGGAGACTCGCCTAGGTGCGCGCAACAAGCTGCGTGCACAATTACAGAGGTCGCTAAGTAACATATTACGCTTGTGCGCAGTGTACTTGGCGCCGCTCATGACGACGTCAAAGGAGATCTACTTTGCCAAGCACAAGGAGTTGTTGAAGGGGAACAAAGATGTCGTGGTTAACACTGAAGAGCAAGAAGGAGTGGAGAGATCAAAAAAGCAAATGCTGGTGTCCTTAGAGAGACATTTGGCTCGCCTTCGCAAAGTAGGGCAGCAACCGGTGTCCCCGAACCAGCAGACTTCGAGCGTCTTTGACGTCCCATCCTTGGACGGCCAACCACGCGGTACCGTGCCGGTCGAAACTAGTTCGACTGCTGCGTCGGCGGATGGACAGTTAAAGAAAATGAAGCAAAGGGTGCGGTTGCTGCCCATTACCGATGATGATCGCACTGCCTTTTGGGAGACAATCAAGGGCTACGAACGAATGCGGGCGTACTACCACCAAACAGTGCTGGCTGGTGGGGCATCCACTCCGATGGGTTTCAACATGGAAGCCGCTTTTAAGAAAATGGTGCGAGGTGAAAGAGTTGTGATGATGTACTATTGACTCGGAATGGTGAGCTAACATTTTTTCGCCATGCCAACAGTTACTCGAAGAGAGACATCAGCTGTGGGCTAACACTCACGAAAGCCGCTTGGTAGAAAACAAAAGCAGAAAGGTGCAGGAGGATGAAAACTATGAGCGCAGAGTGATAGAAGCATCTTCCGAATTTCGCGCCCAACAGCGTCTGCAGAAGCGCATACGCGAACAACTAATGTGTGAGGCGCAGAATATGCAGCCGATTGTGATGCTGGGTGCATTTACCCAGAAAATGCTGAATTTGCTGGTGCTCCACTGGAGTCGTTGCCGTCTCGAAAGTCATCTCTCGCGCACTGTCCGAATCTGGAAGCAGCATCGGACAATCAAACGCACAAACTCGCGCGCGGCACATTTGCTAATCGAGTGGCTCCAGAAAAGTGTAGCTGTGAGAAGTGTAAGCTTTCGCGTATTTAAAGGGCTACGGATGTTCGTGCGTCGAGTGAAGCGGGTGCAAGGCCTTTGGCGGAAAAGGCAAGCCGTCCGAATGCTCAAGTTTCTCATTGTTGAGAAAGCATGGATCGATCTGGAGACTGTTTACGTGGATACCGCTATTGAAGAGTACGAAAACCAGCGCCTGGAGGTATGTTACTATGCCTGCTATGTTTTTGTATTCGAGGAACCTCAGTTGTGCTTTTTTCTATCGTTAGGCAGAGCAAAGTGGAGCTCCTAAAAAATGGTCAAAAGGTGGGCCCAGCCCCAAGAGCCGAAGAAAGCGCGAAGTATGGATGAGATTTGTTCCGGAGTCTGTCAGAACCGAAGTAATTCTCGAGTTCCTGCAAAAGGTTCAAAAGGAATACACAGAGAAGTTCCGAAATCAAGAGGATGATTTCTTCCCTCAGCTGGTTCAAACACTTAGAGGTGAGCACCCCAACCGAGCACGAACCTACATAAAAGCTGTGGCGACGAAGCACGCTCTATGTGGTAAAGTGGTCGAAACCTTGCTGCGCTACCCGGGAGCAGTAGGCGAAGGTGTAGTTGCGGTTGAGCCATTTGATGTTCATTTGGCACCGGTAAGTGAGTTGATAAAAGTAGGACGTTCCCGTTGCGGTAAGCGTCCAAATGCGAGGCCGCCCGTTCGATCCTAGCGACTGGTCGACCGGAAGCGCGTCGGGGATGCAAAATGACGAGCAAGTTCGGGGAGTGTTGGAAGCTAAAGCCAGCCAGGAAAGTGAAGAGTATAAGAAACAGCTAGCGCTGTTTCTCCAAAGACGGCAGAAGCTTCGACAAGCTTCTCCCGAGGCCAAAGGTGAACGTGCTTAAAAAGTAATAATGACTTGTGCAGCTCCTCTGACAACTCTCGAGTACAATGTAAATGCTTCAGTATTGAAATTGGAATCGCAGCAATCTCCAAGTTTACCATCCATCGAGTTGAAGCGTGCGGATGACCAACGAAATGCACGTTTACCTAAGCAATCGTTTGGATTAGTGGCTGTATCTTACAGCTTCAAAAACCTCCCGATGCTATCAGAGAGATCCAAAGATGTGGCGATGTCACTGTTCGACAGTCTCGTTGATCAGCACTTTAATCGATTTTCACGCAGGGGCTCAAGACTTCTGTTGAATCCCTCAGTGATTGAGTTCCAGGATACCATGAAAGAACTGAAGAAGATATGCTCCGAGGAACCGAACTCGTCGTTTTTCATGTGCCTGTCGGTAGGTCGACGTAAAAGATGTTCTTCATATTTTGCTTCAGCTCACGTGGTGTGTTCAATGCTCTCCAGACCCATGGAGCTCGAGTTACCCGTGGTACCAACGAGGGATCTTACGTGTTATTTAGTGAGACGAGGCTATCTTCTGAAGAGGAACTTGTGCTCACGGCCATACACGAACGCGAACTTGCTCAAATGATCCACGGTAAGCACATATTGTCAATAGAAATCATCAAATTATCGCCTTCGTAACAACGAATGTTCGTAGATATCCCATGCAAGAACAAATTTATTGCGCTAGAATTGTGCCAAACCCAAGAACCAAAAGACAAAATCGTCGACGACGCTGAGACGATTCGTCACCGCGTACATGAACAGTTTTTCTCACAGTTCTACAAGCAACTTGTGCAACTTCGTCTTCAGACATTGCTGGAGCGAGGCAGTCGATTGCCTTCCAACGAGGAGCTCAATGAGGACGCGGTACGATCAAACCCGAAGTTACCCAATCTTATATTGATGGAGTCCTGCGATGTAAAGAAGGAAGTCCCGGTCCGAGCCAACGAGGAACGCGTCAGCAACTTTTTGCTTCGATTTCGTGACGCGTTTCGTGGGGCAGCAATAACGCCAAAGCTGGATGAAGAGAATGGTTTTGATCAAGGCCCTCGGCATCCGCTGTTTGCGAAAGAAGTGCTCGAGTATGTTTGCAGTTCGATACGCGATGATGCCGCAAAGCACAATACGCAGGTCTATACCGAGTACAAGAGTCAAGTTCGAACGAGATATGAGCACGCCGCTGAATTCCAAGATATTACTCAGACACCTGGTGTTTTGGGCGCCGAGAACGCAATCGATTTTGGACTAGGAGAAATACCAGGTGCGTATAAGATAACTCCCGGACATGCTAATTGCTGGACTTAGATATCCGTCACTATTGTTGATATGTAGAGCCACCAACTATATCACCAACGTCTCCTGAATTCGTCTCATCCAGTCTAAACAGCATCACTTTAAAGTGGAACTACGTCGTGCCAAGCTCAAGCACAGAGCTTCCGACGGTGCTCGGATACCATATTCAGCGTCGCGGTCATGGGCGAGCGTGTGCAGATGAAGCGGGCGAAGCAAGTGAATGGAAGAGAGCTGCTGCTTTCCAAGTATTGAGCTACGAAGAAGTTGTGAGGAATGCTGCTATTCCTTCCACGACCGTCACAGTTTACGGACTGTCAACCGACACTGCATATTGCTTCCGGGCTCGAGCACGCACTGCCGGTGGCTGGGGGCCATTTTCCGCCTCTTCTTCAGGTTATCGTACACGATCCGCTACATCTACCATGGATCAGCACGAAACAATTCGGCTTGCTGCACTACGAGAGGGGGCAAAGGGCATTGCAAAACTCATGGAAAAACACAAGAACACCGGTGCCATGCAGCGATACGCCGCTGAAATTCTAGCCACGATGGCAATGAAAGGTAAAATTGCAGGTTTATATTGCTGTTCATTTCTTCAGTACGCTGATTGTGCGTACAATTGCTAGGCACTTCAGCAGCCCGAGGGCCGAATGGGGGATTGCAACCACTGGTACCATCCGATCTATCAGTTGTAATCGCCGTTCGAAACGCGATGCTAAAATTCAAGAAGGACATGCACCTCCAGCAACAAGGCTGCATTTTGTTCGGGCGGCTTGCAGGATCTAATGGTACGCCGTAGAATCTCACGTAACGACGAAGTCCGCCACATGCTAACTCCTTGTTATTCCAGCGACATGGAGAGCAGCACTTTTGTCGGTGGACAAGCCGTCGATAATGAGCATCGTTGAAAGTATCTCGAGTCGAGACGAACGTGACTTCAACAACGAACTCACTCGGTGCGCTACTTGGGCACTTCAACAACTACGAGTTGGTGCGATAACGTTGCGCCAGAAACCACGACGTGTACTTAGTGAGCATGCCGCTGCTACCCGACTCCAAGGCATGTATCGCTGTCGAAAGGCACGAGAAGGAGTACGGGCGCTCGCACGCTCTGTGTATGCCCAAGCGGTTGATCCAACCAGCGGCATGACGTACGTGTTCAACACGCGCACAGGAGCCACTTTCTGGGAACTCCCACAATTTGCCGCGTAGCTCAAGGCAAAGACATGGAAACTGAAGTGGAAACGAATGAATAGTATATTTCTCTATCTCGGAATCAGTGTGAGCCTGCTCATGGAGCGAAGCCAACGCACAGAAAACTTAGCGCCGGGCACGACGCTGGGCTCTTTGCTGTGCACGTTGGACGTGTTGTGCTTTCTTGCGCTTGCGAATACGCTCCTCACGTTTGGCAGCCTCGCGCTTCTGCTCCGCCGTTTTCTTCACCACCTGCTCCTTCTTCTTGAACCGCTCCTTGAGCTTTTCTTCCGCACGCTGCCACTTCGGCTTCTTCTTGCCTTCGCCGTCAGAATCGCCATCATCGTCCGAATCGTCCGCCTTACCGAGCAGTGCCATCTCGTACTCCTCCTCCGTGATCTTGCCCTTCTTCAATTTCTTGTATAGCTGCTCCTCCTCGGCCAGCTCGTCCCATTCTTCGACAATCTGCTGGTGCAGACCCTTCTTCTTCTCACGACGACGCGGGTGCTTCTGGTTCTCCTCTTCCAGCGGACGCTTGCGCTTCTTCTCACGCATCTCGGCGTTCTTCTTTTCACGTTCTTCATTCTCCTTCGCGATGGCAGCCAGCTTCTTCTGACGCTCCTTTTCGCGAGCCTTATCCTTGAACTTGATGTCCGTCGTCTTGATGTCAGTCTTCTCGAAGTTGATGCGGACGTTACGCAGTTCATTAATCTTCGGCAGCTGAAGAAGGCAAAAGCCGCGCGCCACGGCACCCAGATCAAGCTCCTTGAATCGGAAAATGAACTGGCACTGGTGCTCTTTGTAAGACCGCACGAATGCCATGAAGGCCTTGGTGCCCTTCTCTAGCAGGTCACGGTCTTCCAAAATGAACGACTTCACCTTGGGCAGCACGTCTTCCATAGTGTCGAGCGGGAGCGTCATCTCTTCGCATGGCACCTTTCGGATCTTCAGGAAGTTCACGTAGGCATCCTCGTTCGAAGACAGGAACGACAACGCGCACCCAGAGCGTCCAGCACGCGCCGTACGGCCCACACGATGCACGAAGAAGTTCGGGTCCTGCGGCGGGTCATACTGCACGATCCAGTCGACGTCCGGCAGATCAATACCGCGTGCAACAACGTCCGTGCACACGAGCAGTCCCGACTTGAGCGACGAGAAGAGATCATAGTTCGTCGTGCGCTTCTTCTGCGGCATTTTGCCGTGCAGAGCCACAACGGGCATGTCCTTGGTTCCCTTGAACAGCTCCTCCAACACGCGCGCGAAGAAATCCACGGATCCGCACGTCGAGAAAAACACAATGAGCTTCTCGCCCTTCTTAGAGTGGACAAAGTTGTGCAGCGCCGACAGTCGCTGGTCGTGGCCCACAAGGCAGTAGTAGTTCTGCAGCGTGGACGGCGTCACCTGCGTGTTGTTGGCCACCTGGACCGAGATCGTCGCCGGGTTTCGCAGACCCGCACGCGCCAGCGCCTTCACCTCCTGCGTCTGCGTGGCTGAGAACAGTCCCGTGCGTCTCTGCTTGGGCAGGTGCTCCAGGATCTTGTTCAGACTCACTTCGAAGCCCATGTCCAGCAGCGTGTCGGCCTCGTCCAGGATGAGCATCTCGAACTCGCGCGTCTCGACGCTGGAGCCGACGCAGCGGTTCAGCAGGTCCTCGGTTCGGCCAGGCGTGCCGATGACCACGGAGCACTTGCCCACGGCCCCACGGATCAGCGACAGGTCCTCGTCCACGCTGGTGCCGCCCACGAACAGCAGCAGCTGCACGCTGGGCAGCGCGTGGGCCACGAACTTCTCGGCGCACTCGAAGATCTGGCGCGCCAGCTCGCGCGTGGGCGAGATGACCATGGCCACGAGCTTGGTGACGTCGGCGTGGCGCGGCGCCGTGATGCTGCCGTCCGCCAGCTTGGTCTTGAGCAGCTGCACAATGGGCAGCACGAAGGCCAGCGTCTTGCCGCTGCCCGTGCACGCGTCCACGCACACGTCCTTGTTGGACAGGAACAGCGGCAGCGTGGCCGCCTGCACGGGCGTCATGTGCTCGAAGCCCAGCGCATCGGTCTCCGCCAGGATCTCGGGGCACAGCGCCGGCTGGAAGTCGTGGAACCGCATGACAGGCTGAAGTCGACTCGGTTGACTGGCTGGCTGGCTAATGGAGACCAGCGATTTCTAAGAAACGGGTGGCGTTTAGAAATAGAAATAGAAACGATTTCGACGGATGGTTAGAAAAACGTAGCCATTTTGGTTTACTTCGTTGCTGTTGCTAACGTTTTTTTGTTGTTGTTCCTTACTGCCACTTGCCACGGATCTGGTGCACGTTGTCTTGGACCTTGGTCAGCTCGGGTTTGAATTCAGCGATCGCGTCGATCATGGCACGGATGGCGGGCGTGACCTTGTCCTCGAACTCCAGTGCCTTGAGGTTCTCCTCGAGCTGCTCGATCCTCGACGCGCCGAGCAGCACAGTCGACACGTTGGGGTTGGCGACGCACCAAGCGATGGCCAGCTGTGGCAGCGTGCAGCCAACTTCTTTGGCAACTTCCTCGAGCTGAAGAGCCTTGGCCGTTTTCTCCTCCAGACCATTCGCAAGGACCTTGTTGAACCCGGGTACCGACATACGGGAGCCTTACGGTACAAATCAAAAGGGTTGCCACCATACACGCGCATTAGATTTTCGAGCAGTAACAAGATAACGTTATAACCTACAACTCGTACCTCGGGAATTCCATTCTTGTATTTGCCAGTAAGAACTCCCGCGGACAGCGCCGAAACAGCCGTCACGCCGTACTTGTATTTCTGTAGAAGTGAAAAGCAATGAGTTATGCAATCGCCAGAAACGAAGAAATTATTCACAAGCGACGCATACCTTGTACAGATTCACGAAGTCGTAGTCCACGCGAGAGCGGTCGAGGATGTTGTAACGGGTCTGGTCGCAAATCTGCAGTGGCAATAAATGTTAGAGTGCTCAAAGTCCATGCACGGAAAGCAAGAAGTCTAACGTACCGGGCGAATGAGGCCCAAGCGGTCTGCCACCTCACAGGCCTCAATAATCTCAGCCCCCGTCCACTCACTGGCGCCCCAGTAGAACGCCCAACCTTGCTCGATGACGTAGTTCATGCCGCGCACAATCTCCTCCATGGGCGTGTACGGGTCCTGACGATGGCAAAACAAAACGTCCACGTAGTCGAGGTCGAATCGCTTGAGCGAGCCCTTCATGCCTTCGATGATGTGCTTACGGCTGAGTCCCGTATCGTTCGGGCCACCGCCGCCGTGCGCCAATTTGGTGCCGAAGAAGAGCTTGGTGGTGAGCACCAGGTCCTCGCGGCTCCAGACCCCGCGATCGACTCCCGTCTTGACGATCTTGCCGATGAACTTTTCAGCCTCGCCGTCCGCGTACGTCTCGGCGGAGTCGAAGAAGTTGACGCCGCTCTTGAAGGCGCGCTCGAAGACGGCGTAGGACTTTTCAAAGTCCATTTGCATGTCGAACGTCACGAAGCTGCCGAAGCCGAACTTGGACACGAGCAGTCCGGAGTTGCCCAGGAAGCGGTACTTCATGTTGTTGGTAGGCTTGGAAGCAGCGGCCATGGGTAAAGCAATGCTGGAGGTTGTCGGTGCGTGTCTTGAACGTGGCAAATGGACTTGTGCGTCAGCAAAGCGTGCGCGAAGAAGTGATGCAGGCCCAGGAGGTCTTCAAGACGCTGGTGATGACGATCAAATGATTGTGATGTGCATTTTGACTGGAATTCTCAAAACACGCTGAAAAATCGTCACCCTCAGCTTGGCAGTATTCGTGCAGTTCTTTCGCCGCCCACCCAAGTAACAGCGCAGTGTTCCGATGCCAGCATTCGCCTGGTTCGTCACTTTCGCTTCAGCAAGCTCGTTCCGACCAGCCGAAGTTTCATGTGGTGGGAGCTCTGCTGTAGTGGTCACATGACCCGCGACTGAAATCTCTCCTGGTCCAGGATCTCCGGGTCGTCGACCTCGACTTCACCGCACAAATACTGTATGCATTGCATTGAGAACTTACTCTTTTACTCTTCCAATCCACCTCAATGATGCGGGGCTGCGCCAACGGGGATACCTTGGCTTGTGGCTCGTAAGCTGCGCCGCGGTCTCTGATTGGTCACTTCGTTTAACACTGCAGCCTGGCCGCTCGTTTGGGCCATCAATCTTCATCTTGCGAGCACCATGGCGGAGCAGCTCGCCATGCGCCTGGACGGCTTCGACCAGCCCACGGTCTGGCACGAGTTCACTCCGCTGGCCCTGGAGCACAAGGCCGTGAACCTGGGGCAGGGCTTCCCGGACTGGCGCTGCGAGGACTTCGTCAAGCAGGCGGCCAAGGACGCGCTAGACGCCGATTTCAACCAGTACGCGCGCCCGCAGGGCCACAAGAAGCTCGTCGAGGTGCTGGCCAAGAAGTACTCCAAGGAGCTGAACCGCGAGATCAACTGGACTAATGAGATCGCCGTTGGTGTGGGCGCCACCGAGACCATCTACGCCGCAGTCAACGCCTTCGTGCAGCCCGGGGACGAGGTCGTCGTGTTCGAGCCGGCCTTCGACATCTACACGGCCCAGGTGCAGATGGCCGGTGGCGTGTGCCGCTACGTGCCGCTGCACGTGCGCCAATGCGAGCGTACTGGAGCCAAGGAGTTCTACATCGACGAGCCGACGCTGGCCGCGGCCTTCTCGTCCAAGACGCGGGCGGTGCTGCTGAACAACCCGCACAACCCGACGGGCAAGGTGTTCACGAAGGAGGAGCTCGAGCTCATTGCCAAGTACGTGCGCCAGCACCCGCGTGTCATCGTCATCTCGGACGAAGTGTACGAGCACATTTTGTTCGATGGCAACGAGCACGTGCGGGTCGCCAACATCGAGGGCATGTGGGAGCGCACGCTCACGGTATCGAGCGCCGGCAAGACGTTCTCCGTCACGGGTTGGAAGGTCGGTTGGGCCATTGGACCGAGCAATCTGATCAAGGGCATCTACCTCGCCAACAACTGGATTCAGTTCAGCGTGTCAACACCCTTCCAGGAGGCCGTCGCCAACATGCTGGAGCAGGCGGAGAAGCCGTACCAGGGATTCCCGACCTTCTACGCCTTCGTCGCTGACCAGTACAAGCAGAAGCGCGACCGTCTTAGCCGTGCGCTGGTGGACGTGGGCATCATCCCTATCACGCCGGGTGGCGGTATCTTCCTGTACTCGGACATTTCAGTCGTGAAGGTTCCCGAGAGCTTCATCGAGCCCGGCATGTCATACGACTGGGCGTTCTGCCGTTGGCTCACTATCACCAAGGGTGTGACGGCGATCCCGAACACTGCGTTCTTCTGCCCCGAGAACAAGGCTGAGGGTAGCCAGTGGGCCCGCTTTGCCTATTGTAAGACCGATGAGGCGATTGAGGAGGCCATCAAGCGCCTTGCCAAGCTCCATGACCCGTAAGAGGCTGCTCAACGAGGTGTATGAAGCGAACGTGCTACCTGTAGCCTAGCGTTAGTTGGCAGGGTACTGTACCATGTTTGTGTAGCTTCCTCAAAAGATAAGCGATACCCGTCTATTTCGGCCTTCAGTGTCATTTTCATGTCGCCGACTGCGGAGCCATGTTTAGCGGATCACGCGAGCTATTTACGTTGCAGAGCATTCCGAGTGATGCACTGCCGCCGATTTGTTGCCCGCTTCATCGTCGAGTCCGCGCCCGCTTCACCGTGTCGCTGTTTGCTCTCACCACGGAGATGGCTACTTCAACACTCCACGTGCTGGCGCCTAGTGCGCTGCTTCTGCTGCTTCCCGACGTCCATGCGCAGTCGAGCTCGGCTTCCTCTGCGTCCGTGGTGGGAGATGTCTCCGAAGTGAGCACAACCAACATGACCGACACCTGCGGCCAGGACGAGTACTCCAACGACTGCTGGTACCCGGTGTCGTGCAAGGGATGCCTCGCCCGCACGGGCTGTGCCGTCGAGGTTTCAACCGGCCAGTGCGTGTCGAGCTCGAGTTCGGTCATCTTGGACGCGGATACCTCCAGCATTTCATACTTCCTCAGCGGCGAGGTCGAGTACTGCCGCGCCACCGACCCGGCCTGCTTCTCGTGCCGCCGGGGCAACGCTCCTGCGGTGTGCTTCGGCTCGAGCGATTGTGTGTGCGTGTCCCAATGTGAGCGGCTCTCGACGCAGGCCACCAAGTGCCTGCCCTCCTCGATGGGGGGCCTGAGCTCGGCGAGCCTCATCGCCGCGGTGGCCGTGATCCTGCCGCTGGTCACGTACCTCATCTTCAAGGGCAGTCCGTGCTCGTCGAGCTGCAGCATTAGTCGATGGTGGCGGCGCAGGAAAGACAAGACCAAGCGCAACCTTCCCGGCGGCCTCAAGCTCGACGCCTGGCGGAACCACCTCAACGAGCGCGCCGAGCCCGTGGACGAGCAGTTTGCCGATCTCGAGCTCCGTTCGTGCTTCGTACCCATGAACTCCGTCAGGCACCAGCCGCACAGCGCAGAGACCGGCGGCGTGCATGTTGAAGCTGGCACCGACACCGGCGACGTCGCGCGGGCCGTGGCGGCGACGGACCTGCCGCTCTCGCCGACAGCGCACCGAAGCACAGCAGCAGCAGCGGATCAGGAGAACGAGGACGGGCGGTGCGCTGCGACCGAGCTCGTGTAGTCCGCAGTGCATGAGAACATTCATCTACTGTCTTCAAGCTCATTTTGCTCAGCTGATGTTGAATTATGTGATGTTGCAAACGGGACGATTCTGATTATTAATCTGTCCGATTTATGTCCGACAGGCGCGTCACCGCTCAAGAACGACAGTTAGGAAGCCGCAATAAAATTGCTTATACACTATAGTGTAGGTCTACGCCACAAAGCTGTTCAGGTCGAGATGCCACTATACACTAGCGCATCCCACCGTCGTTTTCATGCGGCGCGTCACCGACCCGTTCTGCCTTCTGATTCGTTTAAGTCCGCGCGGAGATGGGTACAGCATCCCTTCAGGGTGCGGTCACGTTTGTATGCCGCCGGAGGATGCGTCTCGGCCAAAAAGGAAAGAAATCCACCACTTTCCAACTTGACAGAAGGGGAGACCGGTGACTTGGTACGCCGCGCTTGGTAATTGCTCGATGATCCGCTTCCGGACGATCGCCCCGCTCGCAGTCTCGCTGCTGCTGCTGCTGCTGTGCACGGCGCGCCCTGCGCTCGCCGACAGGTGCAGCCGCATCAGTGACGCCTACTCGCCATGCATGCTCTCGACGATGTGCTCCCGCTGCGTCGCCACCTCGGTGCGTTCATCTCTCTATGAGTGTGGCCCCAAAGGCTATTGTTCACCGCTAACCTCCCCCTTTATTTCGCTTGCAGGGCTGCGAGTACAACCTCATGAGCGGCACGTGCGCATCAGCCTCCAACGCGTCATCAGTGACGACCTACTGCAGCGACAGCGACAGCGTCTGCTCTTCGTGCACCGTGAGCGCCTCCAAGCCGACTTGCACGGGCGATGACGGCGCGTGCATCTGCCCCTCGCTCTGCGACATCGTGACGTCTTCCTCGAGCGACTGCAGCGGTAGTAGTAGCTCTACTGCCTCCACTACCACCACCACGGGCGATAGCGGCCAGAGCTTCAGCATGATGTACGTGGCTGTGGCGTTCGGGGCGCTGTGCATCATGGCGATGCTCTACATGCAGCGCAGATGCGCGGAACGCCGCGTGGAGCACCACATTAGCCTCGTGCGCCAGGAGATGGAGGCGAGACGCGAGCAGCGCCGACGAGAGCGCGAGATGCTCCGCGCGAGGCGCCCTGAGCTGGCGCTCAACTTGGAGACGTGGCGAGACCACGTCGAGCTGCACAAGCCCCAGATGTCCAAGGTCGAGCTCGAGACGTGCTACTACCTGATGATGCAGGATGACAAGAAGAAGGGCGGCAAGAAGGGCAGCGATCACTGGGACAGTGGATCGGAGGGAGGGGTGAAAGGCGGTGTTGGCGCAGTGGGCTCACCGATTGCGAGCGGTGTGTCGGATGTCGCGTCGCTTCACAGCCCCTTCCAAGCGACAGCTCCATACTTCGCCATGAGGGAGGAGTACCCGAGCAACACGACCACCGCCGGGTCCGACAGCGGGGACGAGGATGAAGAGAAGCCTGATGTGGCTATTGACGTGGACCAGCCCGCCGGCAGGAGGTAACTCCCTTATTGTAAACGTTTTTGGTGTGGCGTATCTCCCTTGGTGAGATTTTGATCGTGCCGGTAGGTGTATGGAGCACTCGCTTAGTCTAATATGAAAGTAAGACGCTGGAACACTGCAATATTTCAAGTGCTTCGATTGTTGTGGTCTTAAATCGTTAGGAGTGAGCTGGTGTTGTTGCAGCTGGCTGCACGCTACTGGTACATGTACATCGGTGCAACAGCGTTAATCTCTGATCAAGACATCACTCGGTTGAAGTTATCAAGCCGGCTCTTGGCTGCTTCAGTTTGTTGCTCGTCATTCGACGCTATGATGCTGACTGACTGCATTGATCGTCAGCAGTACATGTAGCGGCGAATTCTGAGGTGTAAGTTGCCGCGGACGGTAAACATTAGCTTCACTGTGAAGCCTTCACATAGCGGTGGTGGAAATGTTTTATTATGAAGGAGTTCATAGCGTAGAGCGAGACAGACCCTCACGCTACGACTCGTACGTAGTACATGTCATGAGTCACCGTCTTGCCTGGAGTCAAGTTTTGAGCACACCATGCTTACAAACCTTACAAAATTGTGCGTCCAGAGGGAGGCTTATCCCCGTACACTCAGCGACTTAGCCCCGTTAGCCCAGAGTTACGCTGTCAGAAGTGAGATAGCGCGAGGGCGTCGCTGGCATTGCATCTCCTCATCCTGCTTGAAGTTGCCTGCAGCTTTGAGCCGGTGCATCGTCCCAAAAAGACCAACTCTTTCTGGACTATACACTTATGTTGAAGTGGGAGGAGAGATATCCTCCAATGCAAGAGACACGAGACCGTCCTCCTCTCTTTGTCTCAAAAATGATGCTTGGACCTCCCTGCAACGGCGGGCAGTTGGGCATTTGCCAGAAGAGCAGCAGATCGCCATGGGCAGAATACGAGGCCTCTGCGCTGCAGTCTTCGTGTTTGTCGCCCTTCGGCAGGCGTCCGCAGTGCGGCTGGGCTTGACAATTCCCGAGTCGAGCACGTGCAGCCACATCAGCTCCGAGTACTCGGCCTGCAAGGTCCAGAGCATGTGCTCGCTGTGCGTCACAACCGGGGTGCGTTCCTTGCTACAATGCGTTGGAAATCCTGCAGCGTCTGACGTCAAAGCTATCACCAAATGCTGTCCGTTTAGGCGTGCGAGTTCGACGTCGGGAGCTTGTCGTGCGTGGCGAAGAGCACTGAGGCGATCGCGAATGGTACGGCGACGACGTACTGCAGCACCAACGACACGGCCTGCGCAACGTGCGACGTCACTGCGGCCGACCCGATCTGCACGGGCGAGGACGGATCGTGCGTCTGCCAGTCGCTGTGCTTGGTCGTCCAGCCAATTGATACAAGCAACTGCTCTAGTACCGAAGAAACCGCGATTGCGTACATTGGGATCGCCGTGGGCATGGTCGGCATCATGTTCTTCGCCTTCTTGGGGGTCAAGTGCAGAAGACGATATCTCCAACTTCTGAGGCAACGAGCCTTCGAGTCGCAGCACCGCCGCGAAAGCGAGCAGCTACGCATGCGGCAGCCTCAGCTGGCGCTCAACTTGGTCGGGTGGCGCGACACTGTCGAGATGAACAAACCAGAGCTGCACAAGCTTGGTGCGTGCTGCTACATTATCAAGGGGAAGACGGGGGATCCGACTGGTGCAGTGACCGCCATTTCGGTCGACGAAGCGGAGCCGAGCACGTCGATGGAGACCAGCTCCACGCTCAGTGAATCAGCAGTGGCGCCTTCCCCCACCGCTAGCGACCACAACGGCGAATGTGACTATAACGCCATGGGCGACAGCAGCGATAACAAGTCGAGATAGATTAATTGGACAGTGCGGTTTTGTGAATAGGTAAGCGCAGCAGTAGAGTTGAAGTCCAAGTCGAATAGCAATGTGGTGGTCAATGTTGCTTCAATTCTCGAAAGATACACGCATCAAGGTGTCGGACTTTTGCTTGGTCTATGGGGAACGACCGCTGCATTGACGGGGTGCTTGGTGGGCTACGTGTTCAGTACCTTCAGTCGCAAGTTGCAGTCGGCTGCTTGGATTGCTCGTCTGCAGGTTCTGCAGTGCAGAATGTACAACAAGAACATGCATGTACTTTGCCTCGTTCGTCGTGATCAGCGCAGCATTGTCGTTGACCACCAGCTCGCCGATCAAAGGACACCGTTTCATGGAGACCGAAATTGGTATGCTGCGGAATGGCGAAACGGTAGTAGCCACTACTACTTGATACTATCGCGCGCCAGCATTCATGGAGCCCTTGTCAGCAACAGGCGGGCGCGTAGTCCCCAAGCTGCATCTACTCAATGCCGGCACGGACACCGACAACCGATTCTCCAACAATGCTGCTTACGGTGGCTCAGTAAGTGAGCGTCTTCCGCATCGACCAACACGTCGATCGCTAGAGCCGTCAACAGCGGGGCGTGTGGGTAAGGTCATGCCCGCACGAGTGTCAGCAGCGTCGATGGAGTTCCTCGAGTCGCCCGTACTTCCGCCAATGAAGCTCCGACCAATGGCGGGGGTCACCCCAAGCAGTAGTTCATCGTCTCGGCCGGCACCTGAGGCCGACTCAATTGGTGCAAGCAAGAACCATCGAGACGACGAAGCTGAGTTTCACGTCTTACACCCAGCAATCGATGAACTCGCAGATGAACGCGGCGAGGACTTGGCACGTCTGTTGCTGAGTCGATGGTCGATCCACTCTGGCGAGGAGCAGTTCGCTTCTATCTCGCTCTTCTGCGAGATGAAGCTCAACGAAGCCAAGCGCATGGCGTCCTGGGCCGAGGCCCCCAATCGGTTTTACACAGTAGTGTGCTGCCAACTGCTGGAGAAGTACATCTCGCGGCTAGCAACGAGCAAAACCGTGCACAACGATGCAGACCCGGTGGCAGCTACTGTCGGCCAGAGCACTGCGTTCTTGCAACGAATCCACGCGGAGCTGGTGACCTCCATCTTCTTGCCGCCTACCCAAGCCCAAGTGCAGGATCATGCGGCTTCAGGAGGCAGGGTCGACTACGAACACCGCACACCCTACTTCACGGTACGCAGCAACTTTAACATCTTCCTTTCGTAGTGCCACCAACTCATTGTGTACGGCTCTCTAGGAATTCAAACGGCTGCGCCGCAAGACACAAGCGCTTGTTGCAACCGTCCGGGAGCGTGAAAGTGCACGCACAACACGCCAGCAGCTTCCGGCGAAAGTCAGCAAACTTGTGGCACATCTGGCCTGGCGCCGGGATCGACAAATTCTCGCTTTAACCTTCCGCGGGTGGGCCAACGCAATGGCTACTCAACGTCAGATTCGGGCGGTAGGTGTTGCATACCGTCGGATTCACTGAACTTGTGAACGCTCGGCTCACCTTTTGTACTCGAACATGGTTGTCATCAGCTCAAAATCCACGCTTTCCAGTCCATGCGCAAGATGAATCTCACTGCGTGGTTCCGTGTCTGGCGTATTGAAGCGTTGAGGCGAGCGTATCAGCGTGAGAGCGCAGACTATCAAGCCATGCTCTCGGTCACAGCCGCATCTCTCAGCAGGAAGGATATCGCGATTGCGGAGGCCGAAGCGAAGGTCACGTCCATGGCAAGGATCATCGACAGCTTGACCGAGTCCAACAAGCAGCTATCATACCAAGTCGACCAGTTGGAGAATCTTTCAGCTGCAGCTGCATTCGCCGGTGGTGGAGAGGGCGGTGATGACAACCGCCAAGGTTTCAGTGAAAGCGGCACGAGTAGACGGCGCGACAGCATTGATGGCAATGCATCCCATAGTCGCAGGCGAGAGGTCAACTACGAGCGTATTGACACCATGCTATCACAAGACGATGAGCGAATGGACCGGACCAACCGCATGTTGCTCGAGACCATGTTCGGAATGGCACGAATGGTCGAGACCTGCGCTATTCAGATGTCGAAGGACACCATGGACTCCCTTGAGTACCAACTCGACGGTAGTGTATTGCAACATCTCGCCGAGATGGTAAGTACCCCAACCGAGCGATCTGAAGATTCATCATTGTTTCTCACATGAGTTTGTGCCATAGATCCAAACGGAAAATGAACTAAAAGCGAAGGCCGACGCAGCTGACGGAACCTCGGGTCTTACTGCATTGCACGTGAGCAAACCTGGTGGCGGGCGCACTTCGACTGCAGTGACTTCGTCCTCCTCACTTGCTGCGGCTACAAAACCTGCGCGGGCCCGAGCCGTGACTGTCCGAGACCTGGCCCAAATGCCGATCGACACACTGCTGCTGTACTGGTTCCGTATGCACTTGAGCTTGTCGTCTTCCGTGGAGAAGCCAGGGGACCGCACTGTCAAGAACTTCACATCAGACCTCGCTGATGGACGCCGCTTTTCCTTCCTCCTCCATCGTCTCTTCCCTTCCTGGTTCGACGCCACGGTAGGCTGCCACTCTTCCCTCAAACTCGTCTGTTGTGTTGTGCTTGGTCTAATATCTGTGCTAGATGGTGCATGAGCTAGATGTCGACCAGAGACTTCAAAATATCGCCACTTTCCATGAACGCGTTCAACCATCATTGCCTCAAGTCGTCACCAGTGACAGCATCCACGCAGCGAGTGGCACCGAAAACATCGCCTTTGTCGCGATGCTCTTCGGAACTGCAGTGTACGTACAGTCACAATGAACTGCACAATGCCATTGCAGTGAACTAACTTGTGCTGAGTGGCATTGCTCCTCAATCCAGTGGCACCGTGCGCAAACTTAACATGGAGAAGCAGCGCGGGGACTTCCTCAACATCGTCACCACTTGGAGGCGAGTGCGTAGCTTACTTCTCGAAGTAAAGCGCATGAACGACAACTACGACGCCGGGATGGTTGCACACCTGCTCAAGGAAATGCGAACCTGTGAGATGCTGTTCAAGCAACTCCATTCCGAGCTCGATCACATCACTGTCACATCCAACGAAGCCTCCAGCACACTCTCGCAGATCGCTTACAAGGCACTATCGATAACCTGGTCATGCATCCGCGCTCGCGATACACATCCGAACGCTCCAGTGGGGCTTATCGACGAACGCACCCACGAACGCGTGCGTGAATTCTCTCGAGTCGATGCGTCTTGTATCCGCGATTTGCTGGTGCATGAAAGCGAGACCGCCTTCAGCCAGCTTCACATGTCGGCGGCTGCCTCCCTTCAGCGTCGCAAAAGCTCAGGCGCAACACCCGTGCTGGTTGCTGGCTCCGCGATGGCACCAGTCGTGCCAGAACGGGACGTTGATATCTCAACTGCTGCTGTGCGCCGCGCTCTGCTAGCGTACAGCAAGGACCTCAACGACATTTTCAAACACTACAGGTACGCACGCACCTGCTAACCGCACAATGTCTTGTACGCTAAGCTGGATTGCTTGTGGTGCTGTACAGTGCGAGCGGTGGGGCTGGTAGTCTTGCGGCAATGAGCTTGACAGAATTCAACAAGTTCATCAAGGACTGCTTCAATGGAGATAAGCACATCACGCAAGAAGTGGCCGAGAAGGTCTATAGGGCGGCACTCCAGCTCGATTTTGCCCCTACCAACGGCACGAATGAGGCTTCCTCTGCTCCAGTCGGGCCCTCAGCAGCACCGACAACTGCAACTTATCCGGGAACAGAGGCCGTGGATGAAGAAGAACCAGAGCTGTCCGGCCGACAGTTTGCGGATGCTATCGTGCGCTTAGCCGCGGTCAAGTATGCCCCGATGCCAGCGCCACGAGCAGCAGGAAGAGGGGCCCATGCTCGTGCAGCACCAGCACCGGCACTTCCTCTGGACGAACGGTTCCGCCTTCTCATGGAGCAGGACATCCTCCCACATGCACTGCGATCTCAACGTGAGCTGTTCCGTGCCGAGGTGGCCGAACCAAAGGTCCGCGAAGTTTTCCAGCGGCACAAGCCTGTACTCCAGCGCGTGTTTCGTTACTATGCGTCGATGCACGCTTTGCGGGAGCAGAACTCGACTCTTTCGCTGGCTGCTTTCATTGTCATGGCTCGAGACTGCAAGCTCATCGGGAGCTTTGTGACCGAACACACGCTCAAGCAGGTCCTCGTGAATCTGCAGCGTGACGACGGAAACTCCTCGTCACCTCCACCAACACCTGGAGCATTGAGCACGGAGGCCGAGCTCGAAATGCTGCGCGCAGACTTCAGCGACTTCCAAGAGGCACTCGCCGCTCTCACCGAGTACGTGGTATGCAACCCGTACGTCCCATTACACAAGCGTGTCGACCAGTTCCTCCAGGAAATGCTGCTTCCACGAGCTCGTCAGAAGAAAAAGACTGGCGAGTAAGCAGCTCGGCACTCGATCTCGGCTTCTCCTACGGTCACATTGTAACGTAATAGACGCGAAGTATCCTCACACAAACTCGTTGCACTCCAGTCACAAGTAAAAGGCGCCTCTCACAGCACGCCCTTTTTTCCATTGTCCATCCGGCGTTTAAATGCCTCGACGACGTTGTGCAGCAGCATGGCGATGGTCATGGGGCCCACACCTCCCGGGACAGGCGTAACAGCTCCAGTCACTTCACGCGCCTCCAGGAAATTAACGTCGCCAACGAGCTTGAAGCCGTCCGCGTTGGCCTCGCCATGGAACTCGTTATCCACGTCACGCACGAAGTTGATGCCGACATCAATCACCGTGGCGCCAGGTTTCAGCCATTCTCCACGCACAAGGTACGGTTGGCCACAGGCCGCCACGACCACGTCAGCCTGACGCACATAGCGCGGCAGATCCACCGTCTTGGAGTGGCACAGGATCGTCGTCGCGTCTCGCTTCTGGAGCAGCATGCTCACGGGGTTCCCCACCAAGTTGCTGCGCCCGATAATCACCGCCGTCTTCCCGCGCAGCGGGGTGTGCTGTTCGTCCAACAGCGCCAAGATCCCTTTGGCTGTGCACGGGATGAGATACGGGTATCGTCCTCGCATGGCCAGCTCGCCCGCGTTGAACGGATGCAGTCCGTCCACGTCCTTGTCGTGGTGGATGCGGTCGATGATCTGCTGCGCGTTGAGCTGCGTGCCTGGCAGCGGCAGCTGCAGCAGAATGCCGTCAATGGTCGGGTCCTCGTTCAGCTCCTCCACCTTCTGCACGATCGTGTCCTGTTCGGCAGGCAGAGCCAGCAGTTAGCAGTCGGTCGCCGCAGCGTCCACTGTGACTATGGATGGGATAATCAATACCTGGGAGACGCCTTCGTCGAAGAGGAAGTTCTCGGAGCGGATGCCCGTACGGCGGCAGGCTGAGGTCTTGTTGCGCACGTACAGCGCCGAGTCCTTGCGGTCGCCCACCATGATGAGCCCCAGAGCTGGCGCCTGTCAGAACGCGAGAAGGGGGCGGTCAGAGGAGATACAATTGCTGTGCCTTCATCGATAGGTATACGCACTCGTCCATGCTTGGCTGTGAGCGCTGCGACGTCGCCCTTGAGCGCCGCGCGCAGCGCCTTGGCGATGGCCTTGCCGTCGATGACCCGCGCCGCCATGAGCAATAGCTTTCGTGGCTCGACTTACTATCGTATCCACTTGGTACAGCGTACCACTTTGCTCTTTGCAGCAACATGCGCGCAACTCAAGATGCTTCTGCATCGATTTTTCCCAAAACCAGTACAAACCTGTTTATATGAGGCCCTGTCAATGACTCATATAAAATGGACTCAGTTAAAACAATTATGTGGTGCACGTAAAGAAATCGTGCATAGTTCGCTGCCGCTTTGCCTTCACTGTAGTCTCTCGAACCAAAGCGGTCACGGTCTGTAAAGCTCTTCGTTCTCTGTCAGTCTGCTCTCCGCATTGCAGCAGAAATGCAGCCAGCTCCATGCAGTGTCTCAGAGCAATGGCAGGTTGAACTGCGGGTTCCTGTTCCTCCTCTTCCTCCTAAGCGCTCCGCCAGCTCATGCGCCTTCAGCAGGAGCACGTCGTCCGCCATCGCCGTTTTAGCTTCGTTCTGAAAGAAAAATTCCCTCAGTTCCCGCTCGAACTGAGGGAATTTCACTCGGCGCCGCTTGGTCGCACTCAGGTCGACGTGGCTGAAGTAGGAAGAAGGCAGGTTGCGCAGTCGGGCGAGTGTGGCACGGCTGACCCGGGCCTTGAAGTTGCGTAGATCCACTCGGCGAGCATGGGGTTGTTCATGCCAGGATTCTGCTTGAGCTTTAGGTGCACTTGGAGCTTTTATTCTAGCGTCAGACAGGTGCGAGGAGACATGGCGAGCGAAGAAGGCTTGCGGTAGGCGTTGAGTGTTGAGCAGTGGTGCTTTGAAGAGTGTGTGGCCGTGAGCAGTGTGAATCAAATAAACAGGTGAGACCTAATTTGGTCCCCAAAAATGTGACTCATATACCTTGTATGCATATAAACAGAGATCATACAAAAACTAAGGGAAATATTTGGTAGCGACAAAGCCTGCATCAAATAAACGGCATGGCTCAAATAGAGAGGATCATATAAACAGGTTTGACTGTACCAGTCTGGGGTCCTAATCCCAGGACCAGTACCAGTCCCAAAACCAGCAGCAGTAGTAATCCGAAGTAGAGTGGACCACTTGCATTTGGGCCACAAGTACGCGAGGACGAGATGCTATCTTTATCGTTGGGGTCGATGCTTCCAACCATGGCCTTCACATCAACTTCCCCCCTCTGGAGCAAAAGATTCACCCTCCCTCGACCTGCTGCAGCTCCTGTTCTCTACACCCCAAGACCACCGTCGGCGTACCTCAACGCAACTCTACTAGGCAACACTCGCGTCAACTTTAACGCTTCCATAGACAAGCTTCCTGCTTTTGCAGCTTCGGTGCTTCCGAAGACAAGTTTCGTTAAGTTCCTACGAGAGAGTCACCGCACCGACCTCTTCTTGAACTTGGAAGAAAAAAAAATCTTCCAAGTTCAAGTTACTTGGCTCTGTCTGTACGAGCGTCACTGCACCGACCACCGTTGATAAGATTCCAGCGCGTTTCCTGCTACTCCGTGATAAGTCAGCACGAACCACAATGACATCGCCTACCCGAGCTCTTCTCGACATGGTGGACCTGCATGGTTCAAGCAAGAGATCTTGCAAACCTGAGGTACATCTACACTCGAATATACAATACATTCATAGCAAGATCAATGAAAAAAACCTTTGACTGCCAATGCAGGGGCACTCACTTTGAAGCAGTTATCTCACATTGTGTCGTTCATGACGTAGTCAGAGTTGACGATGTGCAGGTTATCACAGTCTCCGTAGATCGAGGTCGGTTCTCATCCACAGCTGAGCGTGGACGCGTAGAGTCACCTCACTCTGCACTGCAGCATCGCTGTCATGACCACTGGAGCCTTCATCTTGGTGGATTCCCACCTTCAGCCGAGCACGGCCGCTACACTGAATCGCTATCTTGATCTCTGGAGTCTTGATACAGTACATGGTACACGCAGAGCTCTCTGATGTTAGCAACGAGTCAGGCATTAAACTCATGCAACACTAGTCGCCAAGCTTACCGCCTTCTCGTTTGGCATCGGCGGTACACGCCAGTCGACGGCACGATGAGCCCCCGTGCCTTTGCACCAGCCTCGCACGCTACGACTACGCGTACCTGCACCGCAGTACTAAGAGATCCGGTCATCTCCTTCGCAGTAGCATGTACTCAAGTAGTCTGTCGTGCACGCGGTGCCCCAAAATGATGTATGGGGCTAGGGCTATAGAGCCAGCCACAGTTGCCGCACTCATGATTCTCGATCAACCCCAAATGCAAGTGGTCCACTCTACTTCGGATTACTACTGCTGGTTTTGGGACTGGTACTGGTCCTGGGATTAGGACCCCAGACTGGTACTGGTTTTGGGAAAAGCTCCTTCTGCATTACATTTGATCACTTCGCTAAGTATCCAACATGGCCCAGCAGCTGCTGCAGGCGGCACGGACGGCGGCGGTGTGCATGCAGGCGGAGCTGCAGGGCGCCGTGACGGTCGGCGACCGCTGCGCCATTCACCCTGGCGCGTCTGTGCGGGCGGAGGGCGGTCCCATTGTGCTGGGCGAGCGCTGCTTCGTGGAGGACGGCGCCGTGTTGGTCAATGACGCGCCCGACGAGATGCGCATCGGGCGCGACAACTTGTTCGAGAGCGGCTGTGTGCTGCGCAGTGCGCGCGTGGGCGACGGCAACTGGTTCGAGCCCAAGGCGGAGGCGCGAGAGGGCTCCGTGATCGGCAGCAACTGCCTCATCGGCAGCGGCGTCGTGGTGGCCGCGGGCGAGCACGTGCCGGACAACTCCATCCTCGTGGCCGTGCAGACTCCGCAGGGCGACACGCACCGCGTGGTACGGCAGCAAAAGGACTACCTTATCAAGACCCACGCCGCGCTCATCCAGAAGTACGCGGACATTTTCCCCAGAGGCTCCAAGAGCCCCTACGCACTCGAGAAGCATCACGAACTGCGGCAATGAAGAGACGAGAAGAGAAGAGAAGAAAAGAATAAGTATACAACGAAGATAACAGGAAATGAGGTTGTGCTGGTGGAGTAGCAATGATAAGGACGTGTGAAGATGAAGCGGGGTTGAGTTGATCAGCTCCGCTGGCTGGCTGCTGACTGTTGATACGGATCCGTTTTTCGGTGAACGGACGCAGGTGTGATAAGCATTTTCTTCTTAGGATTCCAAGAGAATGGCTGCGTGGGTCAGGAGGGCGTGGTTGTTGAGTGGTGTTCTTGCTCTGGTAGCGTGTGGGGGTCTTGCAGATGCGGGTGCTGAGGAAGAGAGTAAGCTGCAGCCTGAGCCTGCGACGCAGGGGAATGGAACGTTGGGGGAGATGCGATTCCCCGTAGCGTTTGAAGCGGTCGTCAATCGCTCAGTGGTGTTGGAGCACATTCCAGAGACTCACGAGCTTCGCGTGCACAGTATTGACGAGGAGAAGGTTGTGGAGGTGGAAGGAAATGTTGAAGTTGAAGTGGAGGTGAATGAGTCAGCGGTTCGAAGCTGTAGCTCGACTGCCTCGGCTTGTCCTGCTGCGTTGAATGATACCGTGCTTGATGAAGATACTGTACCCCCGCCTTCGCTGGAGCCGACTGATCGCTTGGTGCGAGTCGATGGAGAGGAAGTCTCCGTGCTGTCGTTCCAAGACGTTATCGACAGCCCCGTGGGGAGTGTAGCAGTGCTGCCATTGTTCAAACCCGTAGGGTCGGTGCATGTCCTCTCCGGGTTCGCGCGAGTGGAGATATTGTCGCCGAAATTTCTCGAGTTTGAACCTGCGACGCCAGAGCGAGAGGAAGTAATAGCAGCCTGGCTCGAAGAGAAAGCGCGGTTGAAAGCAGAGCGAGAAGCTCGCGAGCGAGAGATTGCGAACAACAAAGAGCTTCAAGCGAGACTTGAACAGGAGCGCCGCGTGGCTGAAGCTCTCGCCAAGAAAGAACAAGAACTTCTCGAAAAGCTGGACAAGGAGGAATATGAGCGAACACGCATGACTCCGCATAACCTAGCTGCTGAAAAACGTCGAGATGGCTGGGAATTCCGCTACGAGGTCGAGTTCGCGACAATAGGCCCTATAGGGCTAAACTGGGACTTGAACACAAGGGACAAGGCTGTAGTGAGTCATTTGGAGTCGAAGCTGCCGGCCCAGAAGCTCAATGTGATTGCGCCGCGCGACCAGTTGATTGCATTGAACGGTATTGACACATCAAAAATGGGTCCCGAAGAGGTCGTGCAAGTGTATCTCAGCTCGGCTACTCCGCGCAAACTCGTGTTCCTCGTTCAAATGTCTGCTGAGCGTGCGGCTGCTAAAGCTGCGGAAAAACCTATCAAACGAATGGTGATGAACTGGACGTTAGCTTTCGACGCCCCTGAAGTGTTACGCGGATGGGAAGTGCGGTTGCACTTAGCTTCTTGGAGTACAGAGCCCGAGATGGAGATCACCGATAACAATGCTACTTTACCGATGAGACTGGCATTCGCGACGCCAATATCGGGGTGCAACACATTCTCAGATTCGCCTCAGGCATCTACGAATGAGAACGCGGGTGTTGTCTATCTCGCTTTTCGTGGAGTCTGCACGCTTATTGAAAAGGCGAACCATGCTAAAGCTGCAAACGGCAAGGCGCTTGTGATCGTGAACAATGTCAAGGACGAAGGCAGGTTCCAACCTACGACTGTTACTGATCGTGTGGAGATCCCCGTTGCTCTGTAAGGAGCACTCTTTAGCTTATGTTACCAAGCCAAAACTAATGGCGTGCATGTTGTGCATTTCTAGAATGTCGAAACTGGATGGAGAGCTTATCATGTCCGTGATGGAACACCAAGAAGCACGTAAGTGACCTTGACTTTTGCGTCCCGGAATTTATGTTCTCACTGTGATCCACCTTCTCTACTTCCCATGACACAGTGATTCGGATCTATGAAGAGCGGCCAGATCAAATCCCTAAACCTCATGAGCAGCCAAAGAAGCTTACTAACCAGGAGCTGGCCATCGCAACGGTACGTGGCACTGCATATTATACAATCCACAGCGCGTTATTGACACCTTCATCTCTCTACGTTAAACACAGAACGTGAAGAAGGCAGGTCGGAATATGACGCTTTGGTATATCAACACTTCGTCGACGATGGCAAATTCTAAAGCGGAAAGTGGTAACTCGTCCTCTTTTTCCGAGTCGTTCGAATTTCAGGTGTTGCCAGCGCTCTTTGGTGGCAAAATCCCTGCAGTCCCTTTCCGTGTTGTAGCGGCATATCCGCTAGAGACTGCGTGCCACTACAAAGGCCTCGGGATCCTCGCTACCCGTTCAGTCGTGGTGGTCAAACGCGGTGGGTGCTCGTTTGGGGCAAAACTAAGGTAATAACCGGATCGATTTCACTTGAGATCCGTGATACGCGAAGCTAACTATTGGCTTGCACACGTGTAGAGCTGTTCAGGACGTTGGCGGTGCCGGGATGCTGCTTGTCAATAGTGACGAATCGCTTATCCCGTTAATGACCGATTCAAAAGACCAAGAGGGACTCGTGATTTGGGGTGCCAGGTGGGTAAGCGTTCAGGTGTTGGTCGAATTTGCTCAGGGAACTCATTATTTTTCTGTATTATTTTGCATTCGACTCCATTCCCGGGGGCATCGGCTAAATCCATTCTATCGTGTCGCTGGCAGCATTGGCTTGCAGAATGGCACCACAATTCTCGATGTCTTAGCCAAGAGCAAGAACCTGCCGACACTCGTGAAAGTAGCCCCTCGCGACGACGGCAACGAGACTATTGCCACCCCAAATTAACTCGAGCACTCTAGTTGATGACACCACGCGCCTTGCCGCACTCGATGAAAGCGTCCACGGCCTTGTCGACGTCCTCAATGCTGTGAGCAGCCGAAAGCTGGACACGGATACGCGCCTGGCCCTTGGGCACGACCTGCAAGAAGCAAGCACGACACGTTAGAAATACGACGCTACAGACTGTAAATTTCGCGCAAGTTTTCAGACCGGGTAGCTGAAGCCGATAACGTAAATGCCGCGCTTGAGCATGTCGTCAGCCAGCTCGGAGGCAAGACGGGCATCGCCAAGCATCACAGGGGCGATCGGGTGGTCGCTGTAGAGTAAAATACACGATAACATCCTGTCAGTAAAACATTTTCGCGACCAACCAAGCACCTCCACATCACGAGCAAACGCACCGAGATCCCTTGAGCGTGAAGCCGGCAGCAGTCATGCGGTCGCGGAAGTGGTGTGTGTTGGCACGGATCTTGTCGACGAACTCGGACGACTCCGTGAGCATCTCGAAGACCTTGAGCGAGGCTCCGACCACCGACGGGCCCAGCGAGTTGGAGAAGAGGTACGGGCGCGAACGCTGACGCAGCAGGTCCACGACCTCCTTGCGGCCGGTGGTGTATCCGCCCGTGCTGCCGCCCAGAGCCTTGCCCAGCGTCGAGTTGATGACGTCCACCTTGCCGCTGATGCCGCAGTACTCGTCGCTGCCGCGTCCCGTGGGTCCGAAGAAGCCGGTCGCGTGGCACTCGTCGATGAAGAGCTGGGCGTCGTACTTCTCGGCCAGCGCCACGATCTCCTGCAGCGGGGCCACGTCGCCGTCCATGCTGAAGACGCCGTCCGTGGCGATGAGCCGCGTGCGGCAGTGCTGCGTGTCCTTGAGCTTCTGCTCGAGGTCGGCCATGTCCATGTGCTTGAAGCGGTGGCGCTCGGCCTTGCAGAGCCGGATGCCGTCGATGATGCTGGCGTGGTTGAGCTCGTCCGTGAGGATGGCGTCGTCCTTGTTGAGCACGGCCTCGAAGAGTCCGGCGTTGGCGTCGAAGCACGACGGGTACAGGATCGTGTCCTCCGTGCCGTGGAAGGCCGAGATGGCGGACTCCAGCTGCTTGTGGATGTCCTGCGTGCCGCAGATGAAGCGCACGGAGCTGAGCCCGAAGCCGCGCTCCTTGAGCGTGTCGGCGGCCGCCTGCTCCACCGCCGGGTGGTTGCTCAGGCCCAGGTAGTTGTTGGCGCAGAAGTTGAGCACGGCGTCGCCGCCCACCGAGATCTCGGCGCCCTGCGGGGACGCGATCACGCGCTCGCGCTTGTACGTGCCGGCGGCCTCGATCTCGGCCAGCTCGACGCGCAGGCGGTCCACGAAGCTGTTGCGGCTGGACGTCGAGGCGCAGCGGCGCAGAGAGCAGGAGGAGGACAGGCGGAGGGCGCGGGTCGGCAGCATTGTTGTCGGAGGCGAATGCGAAATGGGGCGACCGGACGCGAGCCACTTGATAAGATGCACCTTCGTCCACACTGTGGCGTCCTATCGATTGGCGATCCACCATCCTTGAAGCACTTTTTTGGGTACTGTATCCGTGGTAAAGTACCCAATTTTTGAGTACATTGCTAGTTGGTGTCTACCACACACACATAATATCGTGTGGACTACACAATTTAACGGTTGACAAGCAAAAGCCCCGTTGGTTGGCTGGCCACCAAGCGGTGCGTAGCCATTCGGCCATTCCTCTTCCTGTTGCAGGACCAAGTCCGTCGCTGTCTGTCGCTAGTCGTCGTCCGTCTCCCATGGGTAAGGCCAAGAAGCTCCGCACCATCAGCCACAAGAAGCGCGCGCCGCCCACGGGGGGCCCGTCCACGGCCGAGATCGAGGAGCTGCAGGCCATGGACTTCAGCGTCATGGCGGCCGACGAGGCGCAGCTGTTCAAGGGCCTCGTGGACCTGCAGGGCGCCGTGCGCGAGGCCACGTGCGTGGCCATCGCCACCATGTTCGGCGACGTGGAGAGCAGCGACGAGGCCGAGGCCAAGAGCCGCCGCAAGCTGCAGCGCATGGTGGACGCCGGCCTGCTCAAGAAGCTCATCCCGCGCGTCGTGGACCCGCTGCCCATGGTGCGCCAGCACGCGCTGGGCGCGCTGCGCAACATTAGCGTGACCGGCGGCCTGGAGCTGTGCGAGCTCATGACGACGCAGAACGTGGTCACGCCGCTCGTCAAGGTCATCACGGAGAACGCCACGGACAACGCGCTCGCCGGCAGCGGCGACCTGCGCGCCGTGCAGCTGCTGGAGCAGGCCGTGGCGCTGCTCAGCAACCTGTGCGAGAGCTGCCAGGCCGCCATCAACGAGCTGACGCAGGGGGAGCTGCTGCCGCCCATCTTCAAGATCGCGGCGCAGGCCCGCGCCCACGCGGCGCTGCACCTGGAGACGTTGAAGCTGCTGCTGCTGATCTCGGAGGGTAATGCACAGCTGAACGAGCTCATTGGCGCTAACGCGGCTTACCAGCAGACCATCGGCGCGATTATTCAGGCCCCGGCGGATCAGCTGTCGCTGCAGGTTCGACTGGAGGCGGTCGGAATCGCCATGAACCTGCAGGCTATTATGCAGGTGGAGGACAACGTGGCCCGCATGGTGCCCGTGCTGGAGGCGGCGCTGGCGTACGATGCCGTGAACGTGGTGCAGATGGCGCAGCAGGCATCCGACAACTATGAGCTCTCGCAGAAGACGCTGCTGGGAGACGACAACGTGGACGACGACACGTTGACGGCCGAGGAGGAACAGAAGATCACGGCCGCGCAGCTCAAGGTGCGCACCTGGCGCGACAGTGTGCACACGCTCACGTTGTCGCTGGAGCTGGTTGCTCAGCTCGCTGCGAGTGGGGACGACAACGACGACGAAGAGGAGTGGGCTAGTGATGACGAGGACGCCATGGAGGAGTACGCGGCGTCGCACATGGACACTGACGCGGCCATCAGCGCCAACGGCAGCCCCGTCTCGAAGTCGCTCGAGACGAGCCGCGTGTTCCCGCTCTGCGTGACGATTCTGCAGGGACTCGTGTCGATCCCGCAGCTCCCGACGAAGTCGATTGGTAAGTCTCTGTGTATTCGTCAGTGCAGGTTTAGTTCTTGAGCTTGCTAACCTGTGTTTTTGTCGTCTTTTTAACAGGCAAGGACTTCGAGAAGATGCGTATCCGCGTCTGCAATGCCATCAACAACCTCTTGCTCAGTGTGTCGTGGGAGGTGCTGGGTGAAGAGGTGGTGCCCCAGATTTTCCGCAACCTGAGCGCGCTGTACGGAAACCTGAACCGTGAAGTTGAGGCTGCTTCTGCCGCCCCGACCGACTTTTCGCTCGAGAGCAGCGCTGCGAACGACATCGAGGTCGCTGTGACTGCCGCCATGCTGTCTGCTCTGCGTCGCAGCACCGCTGAGAACCGTCAGCTGGCTGTTAGCGCCGAGGACGCCCAGCTCATCCTCAACTGCGCTGCCCAGGGACGTTCTCCTGAATCTCGCCTGAACGCTATCGGCATGATCGGCTGCGTGGGCAAGCGCTGCTCCAGTGCGGCTGAGAAGGAGGCTGTGGGCCGAGCTCTGGTGTCTCGGCTGGATGACTCGAGCCTGGAGGTCGTGGCTGAGACTTTGAACGCCATCTTTGACGTGTACGATGACGAGGAGTTCGACAACACGTTCTGCGCGCTCAACTTCCTCTCCGCACTAGAGCGCACGTCCAGCGCACTGAAGGCCAAGTTGAAGGCAGAGCAGAAGCAGCTAGACCGCGCTCTCGTGGCCCACGTGAAGGAGACCCGCCTGAACCTGCTGCGCTTCATCAAGTACAAGAAGAAGCACCTGTAACTACGCCAGTAAGCTTGATTTTTGTTTATTGCTACGCGTTGTGCGCCTCCCCTCTCCATTCGTTCCCTAGTTCCTGCATGGCACTCGAGCTCAGTAGTACGGGTCGGTGGAGTCGTAGAGCTGTACTCGAGAGCAGCGGTATCCGAGATTGATGAGGCGTTGTGCAGCCCGACCGGACGCGTAGTCTTTCGGCGATCCGTCTCGCCAGTACGTGACTCCAGCCAGCAGCGGACCGTTCAAGTACCAGCGGATTCCCGTCTCGGCGAATACGTCGTCCAAGCAGCTAGGCAGCACGAACTTCTGCGTCTGGCTGGAGGAAGAGGTCGTCGACGTTGTCACCACTGCGGACGACGCGAGCGTTGTGTTGCACACGCACTCGACCAAGCTAGGATACGTCATGGTCGATGCCGTGGTGGTGGAGGTCGACGTGCTCGAAGCAGCTCGCAGTGGCCTCGTGGACAGCGCGACGAAAGCGACCAAGATCCACAAGACGGCGGATATCCCGGTGACACGCATAGTTGGCAAGAAGTCGTCGTTGGAGCTTCGTTTCGTGCGAGGTGGAGAGTCACTCAACGACTGCTGGACTGGTAACCAACGGCCCTCGACGGCGTGAGGGCATTGCCATTTTCATTCTGCGGGGGTTCTGTGATCGCCATGCAGTTCACGCCGCAGCAACTCGTCGGTGCTGGACGGTACGCGCCTAGCACGCGCATCGGCAATTGGAATGAGGACCTGATGCTGGAGGAGGCGAGGATGAAGGAGTTCACACTGCGCAAGGCTCAGGGCTCGTTGCTGGCGACGCACACGCTCAAGGCGGCGTTTCTGAACCAGAAGGCGCCTCGCTCGTTCGAGCCCGACGGACGCATTCACTTCAACCAGGCCGTTGCGCTTGGCCACCTTGAGTCGGACGCGCTGCTGGCGTGCAACATCTTCGAGGAGACCCCATCGATCGGGTCAGAGGAGTACCTCGTCACCGCCATCTCTTCCAGTGCTTCCGTGTCACGCAACACGTTCCGCATCATATCGCCGCAAGCCTGGAAGACAGCGGTGGCTCGAGGTGACGGCTTCAAATTTGATGCCCCCGGTGAACCATTGCGCTACGACGAGCCGTTCCTGATCATGTGCAACGAGGCTCTAATCGCGGACGACAAGAGCGTGCTGCTCAAACCTCCTCTCTTCCTCAAGTCAGGCTTGAAGACGGAACAGTCCATGAGTCCCATCACGTACAAGCAGCGCGTGTGGCTGAGTGCTGAGGCCGACAGTGGTGCTCTCTGGACGTGCGTCAAGGCCGATCTAGCTGGAACCGAGAAGCTGCTCGCTGCAGGCCAGCCAGTGGTGGCCGGCGACCGCATTGCAGTTGTGCACAAGATGACGGGGCAAGCTCTACTGACTCAGAGCGGCGCGAAGCAGCCCACGGATTTTGGTGTGGAGCTCGAGGTCTGCACTCACGCTGCTAGAGGAGCTGGCAAGCGGCACCACCTTGCAGCCGAGATCGAGGGCACACGGACGCCAGACACTGAAGGCTTCCCCAACCTTTCATCCAACACTTGGACGTTCTTGCTTGCTCAATCGGCCCACGAAGCCCAAGACGACCGCACGTTGCCACAGATTGCCAGTGCCGCGTCCGTGATCGATGTGCTCCAACGCTGTCTTGCAGCAGACAGCTTGTACACGTTCCGGGGGTTCCTCGCTGCTCTCACTCGCGCTGACAGCAAAGGATCGGGCCATCTAAGCCACGAAGAGGCCAAGTGGGTGATCCGTCAGCAGTACAGCAGTCTTCCTCTGCGCGACGAGCATCTCGACTTGCTCTTCGACAGCTTCGACAAGCGCAAAGCCGGCTTCTTCCCGTTAGCGGACGTTCTCAAGGCGCTGCGGGTTCCAGTCCCGGAGAACCGTCGTGCGCTGATCGAAGCAGCTTATAACCGACTGCAGCAGCAAGCACCGGACGGAAAACTTACACTTGGAGCGCTATGTGCAGCCTACGACCCGTCCATCGACGCGCGAGTCGGCGCACAGCAACTATCGCCAAGCGATGCCGCTGCAGCGTATCGCAACCTCTGGCCCAACCAGGTTCGTGTGTATAGTGTTATTCTCCGGGTGTAGTGCTACTCGCTGACCTTGATGTATCTCCTTGCTCAGAATGCGAATGCTGAGGTATCGCTCCGCGACTTTATCGAGGTGTACTCGGACATTTCCATGGTCGTAGCCCACGACGCTCACTTTGAGCAACTTCTAGCTGAGAGCTGGAGATGAACAAGTGCATACTTCAACGGCAAAGAGACCTGATGTCCTATCGCAAAGTTATCCACAACAAAGTAATGAATATGCATTGATTTCATCGATTATGTTACCACGGACGGGTCCGGCACATGCCCTTTACGTTGTTCTCAATTTTCTTGAGATGCACCATCGCAGCCTCGGCCTTGCGCAACATTTCTTCGCCCCACGCATCAGTTCCTTCCATCGGTCTAGAGATTGGAGTTTCCTGAGCAACAGCGTTCGGAACACTGGGCTTCAGACCCACCGAGGTGGAGTCCGACTTTCGACTCACCAATTGGGGGCGAACCACCGGATGCGGCCTCGCAGTTCCGGTGGAACCAAGCCCAAACAATGGACGTCCGCTTGAAGAAATGCGAAAGCTGGAGGACCGACGATTCACTTGCTGTCGTCGCTGCTCGAGCATGCGGATCTTGCGGTAGTACATTTTCTTGAGTTGAATCATGTCGACGAACGTAGCGCCAAGAGCCGCAGTGATGACCTCAACGTGCTTGGAGAACGCATTGAGCGGGTCACCGTCCGTGTTGTACTTCATGATCTGTTTGAGACTCTTCTGGAAGCGCGAGGCGTACAGTTTCTTCTTCACCTCGTTGGGTAGACGCTGGAGAAACACATCAAACGCCGTTAGCAGGCGATTTGATTTTCTAGCTGTTGAGTAAAATATACGTACGTCTGACAGCGGCCTGTAGAAGACATTGGATCCTCGTTCTTGGTGCCAAATAAGCGAGTGTTTGTACGATTTGTTGTACCGGAAGGTGGCCTGCACCGCCATGACAGCACTGATATCCTTCTTGCCATAGAGCTCCATCCGGTAAAGGAACGCATGCACGCGCGCCTCCATAGTGGAGAAGGTGAACTTTTTAATGATGATAGAGAAGAACATGGCATCCAGCATCACTGCCAGGCACGCAGTTAAAGCAATTATAGCTCGACCTCTTCCAGTTTTGGGAGAAACATCTCCGTAGCTAAAGAGAACAACAGCAAACAAATGAGTTGAAATCAGCGAAAGAGACTTTAGGTAAACAGGAACCACGTACCCGATCGAGAGAAACGTCATAAAAACCATCCAGAGCGAATCAGACGAATATAACTCATAGCAAATTGCGTCTTCACTGCGCACAACCTCAGCGTCGTCGCTCTGCCACCAGCACTCGCCCTTGATAGTCTCCATGACGTGCAGTACGTAAGCGACCGTCGCGCCAAGTAGTGCGTAGAAGGTCAACAGCTTGTTGAGGGGGTTGTCGTCTAACACTTTCTTGATCACGAACTGGCGGTAGCTGAATTCTGTGCAGTAGTCGACATTCGTTAGCAATTACTACACAAGTGTAAACTCAAGTTTAAACTTACCCAAGTTTCCGCTGAAGCTTGCCACTTTCTCTTTCTGACGGATGGGATACGGATAGTATAGCCATTGCCCCCAACTAGTTGGGCGAAAGAACACCGCCACGCTCAGCAGAACGAACGTATCTCCACGGTCATTCGAGAAGAAGGTCTCGAGACCAGGAAACGGAAAAATTGCGGTAAACGCGAGCTCTAATGCATAGGCGGGAAGGAACTCCTGTGCCCACAAAACGGTCAGCCTCTCCCAAACCAACAGTCTAAATGAAGCATTCGTATCGCACCAATTTACTTCGGATCGTAGGTCTGTGGTGGCACTTGGTTTTCCAAAGCTGGTTGAAGCGGATGGCCAGCCGAGCCAACGCTAACACTGAGATGATAACCCGGATCACGTTTGCACTTACGAATGAGCCATCGCCAAGTGTATCGATGCACCCGGGGCGGCTCTCACACGCACGCTTTTCACGCTATGGATAATTTGGTGCAAAGGTTAGATGTTTACTGTAGCAGCTCCATCTATTTGGAAAGTATGAGCTTACCCAGTGTGGAGATCGGTAAGACCAATGCAGTTGCGCCACGGAAAGAAACATGATGGCGAATTCCAGCGCAGCCACCTTGATGTCGTTGTTGAAAACCAGTCGTTTTTGATACGTTCGAAGTACGGAGTTGCGCTGCATGAAGTAGGACCACCCCCTCTTGTCGTCGTGTATAAGTTTGGTCGGGTCGGGAACTTCGTGCTCGTCTTGGTCCTCATGGGTCAAGCTTTGGCGACGAACACCGCTCTCTTTCGTACTATCAACAGGGCCGAAATTGCTGCTGGTACGCACTGATCGCTCCGACACGGGCTTTAACCGCGTACTTGTATTCATCCCTCGGTTCATCTATACTGTCTGCTGCTTGATGAATGAGGGCGGTAACCACGCCACCTGTCCGTTTTGATGCTAATTTGGGCTTTATTTCCGTAGTTCTCTAACTGCACTACAGCGCTGTGACGGGCGACACGCGCGGCTTTGATCGCTTTTCAAAGAGCTGGACACCTGCATTAAGCTCTTCGCGGAAAACGAGCGCGTTGACGGAGCGATGGATGAGAACGGCAGCCGTGAACTGGTTCAGTCTGTAAACGGAGAAGTCGCTCTTGCGAATATTCCGAGAAGTCAAGTACTTCCGCCACCGCTTCTCCAGGTTGAGCGACCTGGGTAAAGCTTCCAGTTGCCGGCCGCTAAGCTACACATGATAATAGTCTTTCAGTGTGAGCATACGAATAAAAAATATCACAGTAGGGTACCCACCTCGTCAATGACAAACTTGCCTATTCGCCGGGTGACATCGTTGAAAAACACCTTGTTGCCGCGATAGATAGGCACATCCAGATACGCTGCAAATAATTGGTTAGCTCATGCTCAGAAAACTACTCAAGTCTGATCTTACCAACAAAATCCTGGATTTCGTTTGACGTTGGTCGAAGCATTGTGCCAAGCCCCATTGGAGGCTCTAACGTAGTAAGAAAATAAGGCAACACGTGCCATTCCAGAAACCCCGTCGCCTCAGGATCCAACTTCGACCAGTTGTTGACAAAGGCTTCGTACTACATAAAACACGATCAGTGTCGTTAGATTCAGACATCAATTTGCTGAGAGAGCATAAATCAAAAGCATACGTGTTGTGGTAGTAGCACACCGTCTTCGCGGTCCTTTTCTTTTGCGAACCCCTCCAAAATCACTGCGATGAAGATGTTGAGGAGGATGAATGTCACCAGCAGCGTAAAGCTGTACAGATAAACGAAGGCCACAGGCGAGCCACACCCATTTAGCGGGATACAGTCGGCATCGCTGCTGATTCCACATGAATTTGGATCGTAGGGTGGATCAGATATGCAGTCCTCTTGGTTTGCAAGCTCGTACATCATATCATTCCACCTTTCACCAGTAGCGCAGCGAACCTACGGCACAGAAGAGTTAGTTAAAGTTGGTAGGTGTGCAGCTAAGCTTATGAATGACAATTCAACTAGTACCAGTGTGATCATCGCCTTTAGCAGCGATTGGAAGTTTGCCGTTGGGGTTATCAGCTCTCCAAACTTGACTTTTGCAAAAAGTTGCACCCCCATAGCAGCGTAAATGAAAAACACGAGAAAGAGGAGTCCACCGATATTGGCGAGCGATGGCAGGGTTATCAACAATGTGTTGAACAATTGTCGCAATGAAGGCGCCGAATGCACCAGCCGAAATAAACGCCCAACTCGGAAACTTCGCACGGTCGACGCAGCAGCACCAACCGAACTTCCCCCGAACATTTGGTAAATTACGCCAAAGAGAGCGCCAAGTACGACAATGAAGTCGAAAACATTCCAGCGGTCTTTCCAATAGTACTTGCCCAATCCGATGATCTTTAACACAGCCTCAAGAGCAAAAACGGCTGAAAAAAAGTAATTGAGGTAATTTAACCCGGCCTCGTACAGATCTTCTTCGCCGAAATAGTCCATTGCCATGAAAGCTGTGTTTAATAGGACACAGCCCGTGATCATGAGCTCAAGAGTTGGGCTAAGCGCGATGCGAAACAATGTACGCCGTGTCAAATTGAGTGGCGCTTTCAGCCTTCGAACAGGTCGCAGGTTTAGCATCGCTTCGTTAATATTCAGCCACTCGCGCTGAATATGTGAGAGCAAGTAGGTCCCATCGAGTTTTTCCTTCATTTTGTTAAAGTTCTCGATCACAACACCCACAAAAAGCTGCATGACGAAGAATGTTCCCACTAATATAAACGAGATGAAGAAAAAACTCCAGCGTTCGTGGTGATTCGGGATCGGCTGCATGTCGATTTGAGTCGCGTCCACACTGGTGAGCATGATCGTCACCCAGCCTTCGGTTGTAGTCATCTCAAAGAAGGTTTGGATCCCGTGGATCACGTTGTCAAAGTTCTGCGGGATCGTCTTGGTCCAGGTTGCTCCGAGGAGCTGGCACATGTCACGCGATGTCAGGCGCTCGCCACTAGAGAATACCCTTTGAACGATTTCAGCCGGAGAGTTGTCGAACCAATTCTGTTCTGCGATCGTCAGATTGGTCCAGGCTCGTGGCGAGACGATAAACTCTTGCTGGGCGGTGGTTAAGGCATCAAATACGTCGCCTTGGCAGCTGTAAAACGTCCCCTTGAGGTTACTGACAGCTAAGATGCTGAAAATTAGGAACACCAGCAAGCAGACCATGATGACGTTGACGATCTGAGGGATGGAAGCAATCAGCGAGCTCACCACCAGCTTGAGTCCAGGGTTCCGGTTGATCATTCGAAGTGGACGCAGTGCACGAAATGCTCGAAGAGTTTTCACGAATTTGAATTGGGAGCTCCCTTGAAACATGAAGAACGCCGCGACGGCAGTGATGGCAAAGTCCATAATGTTCCAACTGTTGCGAAGATAAGCTCCTTTGTGGAGGATGAACCCGTACGCGATGATCTTGATCACAACTTCAATCATGAATAATACCGTCAAAACCGAATCGAACCAAGAGAGGACAGTTGCCAGCAAACTATCAGGCGAGTTGAGCGGGTTGTCGATGGCAAGCTGAACCGTGCTGATGACGATCAACGCCAACGATAAATTATCAAACTGTGGATGCAGAAGGAGTCCATTCGCTGCCTTGCGAATGGGATTGTCCAGTGCAAGGATGAAAAGTGACCGATGTACACCCAGTCGGTTCTTGAGAAAAGAGGAGCTTCGATGGCCCGAGGCTGTTGCTCCGTGGTCATTGAAGATATTTGACGTGGGTGAGACCGCCTCTCGCCGACTCCGAGTTGCTGTAAGGTTGCTTCGACTTCGCGTTCTACTTCGACTCTCTTCGTTGCTGGAGCGATAATCAATCTCGCGCAGAGAAGACACGTCACGTCGAGAGGATTGCGTTGCTGGGGCTACTCGTGATCGACGTTTCAATGCTTCGCGCTCGGCGTCTCGTTCTTCATCATTCGATTCATCAAAATTCCCGAGTAAAATAGCAAGGAAAAGGTTCAACACGATAAAGTTTCCCAGCACAACCAGTGAGACGAAATATAGCACGGAAGACCAGCCAGACGAGCGCCAACCATCCAGCATTACCACGTTCCAATTTTCACCTGTAAGGATCTAAAGTTTATCGTGGTATTAGTATTTGTGTTCGAAAACAAGGCGACCATTTGCTCAGCAATACGCACCTGAAACACAGTGACCACAGACCAGAGCATCGTATCGAAATTGGCCCTTGGCACGTAAGCAGCCTCGTGATTCCGATCTACGGGGAAGCCGTACTCGTCGAATCGAAACCGGTTCGCGAACGTTTGCATCCCTATCAATGCGTAGATATACAAGAAAAGCAAGAATAACACGCAGAAGTTGCCAACTTCGTGAAGAGTACTAATCATCGTTGTCAAAAGTTTCTGTAGCGAAGGCCACGATCTAGTAAAATAAAAAAACACGAAATGACATTAGTGAAGATTCTGGTAAACTTCTAACTTTTTCATGATATACAGCACTTACCGTGCGAGTTTGAATAGTGCGAAAAGTCGGAAAGATCGTAGGCCTGAGAACGACGCTGTCTTGGACGTTGTACTTTGTTGATGGATAAACGTAGGCGGGGAAAGTATCATCTCCGTGGCGCTAACTACGATAACCATCGCGTCGAACAGGTTGTACCGATCTGCCACCCAGCCTTTCCAGCCAAGTCCAGAGACTTTGAGTAATGCCTCAATGATGAAGGCCAACGTAAGAGCAAAGTTAATCTTCTCCACTGTCTCGTTGAGTTTCTGGTCGATAGGGTACTGATCCAGGGACAAAATGATGGTGTTGAGCAAAATCAAAATCGTCTGAAGGACATTGAACAGCCAATGATTCACGATCACACCCGAAAGTATCTGCATGCGTGACGTTGCAATCCGATTGCTGGCAACTTTCGCTGCTCGTAATGCAAGTAAGGCGGCCTTCGCTTTCTTCTGTGCCTTTCTCTCCTCTGCTTCGATATAAGACGCTTCCGAGAAGTTATCCCAAATGACGGCCAGCGTCAAGTTCAGCATGAAAAACGAGCCGAGTATAATGAAAGATACGAAATAAACAACAGCAACCGTTCCGTATCCTGCGTCCTGGAGCATGTACATGATGTCACTCCTGAAATAATGTTAGTAACCAATCCATGTGAGCATAAGCCATCAGAACGTACCAGCCTTCGCGCGTAATGCACTGGAAAATAGCCAAGGATGCTGACCCAATATTATCAAAGTGCAGGAACCCCCAGTTGAGATCCGCGCTGTAGGTCGAGCTTTCAAGAATGCGGCGAACGATGGAGCGGTCTGGGTGGGTAAATCGAAAATTCCCATAAGCGTCGTAGTCGGATCCGCATGTCTGATGCAGCACGAGTAAAAGTAAGTTTGAAAGTTTCAGTTTTGAACAGGGCCATCCAGTGCAGTAAAAACACCTACCTGCCCATCTGGGCACAAGCGAGACTGAACGCTGCTGAGAGCACATGTCCGAGCTGGAGATTCCTCAGCAACAGGCCAAAAGCAGACCCGCGGGGTTTTCCAAGGAGACGTATCGTGAGACCAAGACCCGTTGATAGGAATTTGGGTGTTGTTATCATCCACACACGGAAAGAGCGAGTAGTTTGCGAGTGCCATAGTTTTGTAATCGTCGAATTGAGTGAACGTAACTTCAGGGTCCAAACGCAAAGGATACGGCGTAAGTCGACACCGGGGATGTAGCACGCCACTCCATAACTGCACTCCAATCACTCCGTACAAGAAAAATAGGAAACTGAGAAATGCTACGACAGTGAGCAGCTCGGGAATAGATTTGAGCAGGGCAGAAACAAGCTTTTTCATGCCTTTGGAACACATAACCTGCGTTAAATTTCCTTATATATGGAACATTGGCAAGAATTTCTTACCGGCAACAGCGTTCAAGCTCCGTAATGGGCGCAATACGCGAAATATCCGAAGCATCGAAACATTTGGAATACCCGGGATAACGGCTAAAATACTGTTAGGAACCAACACACAAGGCAGACGTTTAGTACGCGTTTCAACCATAACTTCTAGAGTAGACGTACCCAATAAATACTACTATAAAGTCCATCCAGTTCCACGGATCCATTAAATACGCGCCTTGTTCGCCAAACAATCCCATGGCGACGATCTTCATAGTGCACTCAATCGCGAACAGGACGGTGAAAACTCTGTCGGCCGAATTAACGATGGCGTTCCGAACCGACTGAGAGCTGTCCAGATCTCCCTGCGCGTCCACTTGGCTGTAATCGGCAATTGCGAGCATGACCGAGTTCGCAAGAATCAAGAAGAGTATAAACTGATCGAACCGTTTCCACGTGATGCACCATATCAACGCTTGTCGGAAGCGACTGCGTTCGTGGAAGAACCCCAGCGAGCATGGTGAAAACTGGACACTCGCAGCAAAAATATACAAACTCAGTTGAGATAAATGTCAAAGGTCTAGATAGACTATGGCCGGAATACTCACAAGGAAGCGCTTCCTATGTGCGAAAAAGTTGTAGCGGTTCGCAATGTCGCTCGAGCCGTCGTCTCCAGGGTAGCAGCCAGGCTGTGAACAAATGCAATGCCAATTGAATCAGTCCGTCTCTAGCCTCTAATATCCGACGTCTACAGCTGCTCACCGCCGAGTTGATGAGCGCCTGGAAGACGTCGTTCTTGGCGCCCGTGTCGGGCTCCGGCGGGCCGATCGGCTTCGAGTTGGTCCGCGCCAAGTTGCGCGCGCGGTGCGCGTGCGTATCCGTGCGGAACTTCTGCAGCAACAGCCCCGTCGTGGTGCCATGCACCGACCTGCTACGGTACCGCAGCGTCTCGGAGCTCATGGTGACTACGCTGCACTGCAGGGCAAGACAGCAAGGCTTTCGCGTCGGTCGTTTCGCCATCCACGTTGAAGTAGAAACCGCCCGAAACCGGTCAATACCGGTTGAACGGTCAGGTTTGTAGTTGCGTATTTATTTTAGCCAATCGCGTGGCTTCACGTGTCTGCCCACCCATCTCGCCAAACGTATCTTGGAGCCATTATCCTAACTGAGCTGCTCGGAGCAACTACTGTAGACCAAGGAGGATGCGAGGCGTGGCGCTGCTGGTGTGCGCGGCGGCGGCGAGCCTGCTGGCCGGCGTGCAGGGCATGTACTCGAGCGAGGACAGCGTGAAGGTGCTGGACCCGGAGAGCTTCCGCGAGCAGGTGCAGCAGGACTCGGGCGTGTGGCTCGTCAAGGCTCTGGCCCCGGAGTGGGAGCAGGCCGCGTCCCGACCTCAAGGGATCCGTCAAGGTGGCTGCCATTGAGGCGACGGCCAATGAGCAGAAGACGGCCGAGTACGGCATTGAAGGATTCCCGACCATTAAGGTGTTCGGACCCAACGCCATGGGCCCGTCCGACGCCGACGACTACCAGGACGAGCGCACTGCCGCTGCCATCACGGAGTTCGGTCTCGCGGCGCTGGATGTGATGGGCGGCGGCCTGCGGATCAAGGAGCTAATCTCGGAGGAGACCCTGACGGACTTCTGCGAGGGCAAGTCGAGCTGCGTCATCAGCGTGCTGCCGTACATTACGGAAGGCGGCAAGAGTGCGCGTGAGAGCTACATTAAGACGCTCGAGGAGGCGGCCAAGCTGGTGCGCGGCAAGCCGTTCAAGTTCGGATGGATGCAGGGTGGTGACCAGCTCGACTTCGAGAGCCGCTTCGAGCTGACGTTCGGATACCCGTCGCTGGTGGCCATCAACCTCGACCGCAAGCGCTATGTCGTGCAGCGCGGCGCCTTCACGGCCGAAGCTATTAGCGAGTTCCTGCAGGGCGTGATGCAGGGCCGCGAGTCGACCGTCGGCTTCGACAAGCTGCCGGAGATCAAGACGGTCAAGCCGAGGGATGGCAAGGACGTGCAGCTGGACGAGATCGAGGAGGACGAGGACGACGATATCATGAACGAGATTCTGGGCAACGCCGCCGACTAGGACGAGATTTAGATTTTGGAGTGCACATTTAGAAGAACTTTGCGTGCATTCATTCACTTGTGTCGAGCATTCGTAAGACAGTTTGACGACAAATCAAATGTAGCCATGTGATTGGCTAATATTATGCGTGGTGTCCCTTGGCCGGGCCGTCTGCGTCGCCGTCGTGGCATGCACCAGCAACGGATAGCCGTGCTGACGAGCAGAATCGGCAGCATGAACGTGTATTTGTTTCGTTTTCGATTTCGTAGTAATGTGAAGTGCATCACAGTTATTTGGCCTAACTAGCGACCTACTAAATGCCAGGTCCTTCAAATGAAAGTGTGCATTATACATATTTTATGAGGTCCGAGGAGCTCTTCCATGAAGCCGCGTAGTCGGCGTAAGTAGGGAGATGCCATGCCCTTCGGAGGACACGACGCGGATGGTACACGGAGAACTGAATTGTGCTTGAGCGTACATTGAATAGCAAACGAGTAGAATGTACGCTCGAGCACTCTCCAGAAACTAGTCAACAAAGCCGAAACGGAAACACTACGTAGATTCAAGCTTAGCAGACAGCAATAGACTGGCGCGGTTATAAGCGCTCTAGATTTCAGAATCGCTGCCTCTTATGCTACGTAACTAACCCCGTTATTGAAGGAAGGCTTGCCCGCATCATGATACGTACAATGCAACCTGACAGTACGAAAACTCCTACAATATTTCCCTCCTGACACTATTCCTGTTGTGTTTGGGCACGGCGCGGCGAGGAAGGGTGGAGGTTGAAAGCAGTTGAGGGGGCGAAGCTGGTGTAGTGTAGTGCCGTTGAGGTGATGCTTGGGGTTCGAGGCAAATTGAAAAGTGAGATTGAGACTTAGAGGTAAAGACAGCTATCACTGCGAGACTGGCTGGCAGCAGAGGAGCTCTGCTGTCGAATCTCGGGCCCCATACACTACAAGTAATAGATCTAGAGCGCCTACAGCGCACCTCTGAATCTTGTACTTCGGCGGTGCGAGTAATCCCGTGCCGGCCGCATCAGATTCGAGTGCTCGGTCAACGCATCCAGCTTCTCCGTTCGGACGGAGGCATTTTGTTCACAAAGAGAGATTCGCTTGCCTGTGGCAAGCTGCGAAAACGCAAGGAGTGCGGCGCAATCCTTACAATTCCTTACCATCCAGGCACTGAAAAGCTCTGGGCGTGGCATTTTAAGAGCAACAGGTCACAACAGCCTTAGCGCTAAGGCTTCACGCAACGCCTGGTGCGGCCGCCGTGGCTGCAGCTAGAATATCATCCTGTTGTCGACGGACCTACGCGCCATGCAACTGCGTCGTCTTGGCGAACAAAGGTGCACCAACACAGCCTGCATCCGCACCGCTGTCGTGGTTGAGTGGACCCGAGCATGTGCATGCAGCTCTGCACGTCAAGTAGAGCTTTTGACCAATAATATGGCGCAAACTGGTGTCCGACAAACTGTCTTACGTTTTGAGTGATAAAATACAATGTAGCCACTGGTATACTAAAATCAAGATGTAACCAAAATGCGTTGATTGCAAAACGTAAGACGCTTTGTCTTACGGTATGCTCTCTAGGGACCAGTATCGTCTTACGAAAGAGCATGAATCAGAATGGATGTGAGTCTCGTGTACGCAGTGGTGTTCAACGATATCTTCTTAGCGTTAAGACGCAAATAAATGATTCTCTTCATCACTGCTCAGAATAAAAGGCAACACTCAGGCGATCGACTCATACCCCCAACGTCTGTACGCAGTTGGTATCTTTGACTTGATGCGTCGTCTCCGGAACTCCATGATCCCTATCAATGATCCCAACACGCTACTAACTATAGTGAATGTAGCAGCGTTTAAGCACGTTTTTCCTTTCCCACAGAGAACAACGACTGCAGAGAAGACCAGGGCGAGTGCCATGAGAACCAATTCTCCATAGAAGTACCATCGAAGCCATCCTGGTCTGACATCATCAAGTATGCTGCATCAATATCATGATACAGAAGTTGTAGGGGCAGAATAACGCACTTACGCTTGTACTTGTTGACTTGTTCCGGCTCGTCAGGACATTCCACGAGCACATGGATGTCTCCTTCAACGCGCTCGAAGTAGTGGCCAAAGTATGCAACGTTGCTGAGGTCCATTGTCTCGTCCAGCAGCAGGTGTTCTTGCATGAGATTTTTGACTCGATCTGGAAATCTTTTCGCCTTGAGCGCCTTTATATCTTCGTCTCGCGAGTCCAGCCACTTGTTGCCCTCCCTCGCGAGGTACAGCTTCAGCAGATCTGCATCAAAGGAGATCAAGCCGGGCTTTTTCTCCTTGATCTTGTCCTTCAGATCTCCGACAGTCTCGTTGATGTCAATATCCACAGGAAAGACACTCCCGACGCCAACGACCGCGCAGTACAGCTTCACCATCATGTTTCTTTTTTTGTGGAATGGCAGAATTTCTTCTCTGAGCGCAATTATTCTGCAATTCATTTCGCAATTCATTATGCAATTCATTGTTGGGTTGTTCTCTTCAATCATCTAACATGAAAGAGAGAGATGTTCCCCAGTACTTTTAACTTAACATGTAAGTACTGTACTGTGGAGTGCTGTGTCCGGCATGAGTTGCTCCGTCGCCAAAGTCCCCATTGTTTTCTGCAAATCTAAACTAAACTTATAAACTACTTCGAAGTAAATGCGGCGGAGTTTCGGAGTTCGGAGTTCGGTGTCGGATAGGTCGGCCCCAACATATCGCATGAACCGTAAAATGAAAGACACGAAAAAAAATACACAACGGCAACGGTTCCGTATCCTGCGTCCTGGAGCATGTACATGATGTCACTCCTGAAACAATGTTAGTAACCAATCCATGTGAGCATAAGCCATCGGAACGTACCAGCCTTCGCGCGTAATGCACTGGAAAATAGCCAAGGATGCTGACCCAATATTATCAAAGTGCAGGAACCCCCAGTTGAGATCCGCGCTGTAGGTCGAGCTTTCAAGAATGCGGCGAACGATGGAGCGGTCTGGGTGGGTAAATCGAAAATTCCCATAAGCGTCGTAGTCGGATCCGCATGTCTGATGCAGCACGAGTAAAAGTAAGTTTGAAAGTTTCAGTTTTGAACAGGGCCATCCAGTGCAGTAAAAACACCTACCTGCCCATCTGGGCACAAGCGAGACTGAACGCTGCTGAGAGCACATGTCCGAGCTGGAGATTCCTCAGCAACAGGCCAAAAGCAGACCCGCGGGGTTTTCCAAGGAGACGTATCGTGAGACCAAGACCCGTTGACAGGAATTTGGGTGTTGTTATCATCCACACACGGAAAGAGCGAGTAGTTTGCGAGTGCCATAGTTTTGTAATCGTCGAATTGAGTGAACGTAACTTCAGGGTCCAAACGCAAAGGATACGGCGTAAGTCGACACCGGGGATGTAGCACGCCACTCCATAACTGCACTCCAATCACTCCGTACAAGAAAAATAGGAAACTGAGAAATGCTACGACAGTGAGCAGCTCGGGAATAGATTTGAGCAGGGCAGAAACAAGCTTTTTCATGCCTTTGGAACACATAACCTGCGTTAAATTTCCTTATATATGGAACATTGGCAAGAATTTCTTACCGGCAACAGCGTTCAAGCTCCGTAATGGGCGCAATACGCGAAATATCCGAAGCATCGAAACATTTGGAATACCCGGGATAACGGCTAAAATACTGTTAGGAACCAACACACAAGGCAGACGTTTAGTACGCGTTTCAACCATAACTTCTAGAGTAGACGTACCCAATAAATACTACTATAAAGTCCATCCAGTTCCACGGATCCATTAAATACGCGCCTTGTTCGCCAAACAATCCCATGGCGACGATCTTCATAGTGCACTCAATCGCGAACAGGACGGTGAAAACTCTGTCGGCCGAATTAACGATGGCGTTCCGAACCGACTGAGAGCTGTCCAGATCTCCCTGCGCGTCCACTTGGCTGTAATCGGCAATTGCGAGCATGACCGAGTTCGCAAGAATCAAGAAGAGTATAAACTGATCGAACCGTTTCCACGTGATGCACCATATCAACGCTTGTCGGAAGCGACTGCGTTCGTGGAAGAACCCCAGCGAGCATGGTGAAAACTGGACACTCGCAGCAAAAATATACAAACTCAGTTGAGATATGAAGTGGAGTGTCGGTGTCGGATAACACGTCCTAAAACGATTCCTAAAGTGTCCTAATTGTCCTAAAAAACTCTCGAAAATTACCGTGAGATGTCCTAAAACTCGTATAATCCTTCGTAACAGAATATAATAAATTACGTCCTACGAGCTGTCCTAAAACCTAGTTTTATGAATATTACGCGTTTTATTGGTAACCACAATGTTTGGTACGCGTAATTTGGAGCGTTCGCAACGTTATTTACGCGTAATTACGGGCTCATCCTAGCCACTCGTCGAATGTCAGACCCCACAGTGCAGTGCTGCCAGCAATTTCACTTTTTGCAGCCTAAGTGTGAGAGCCCAACCTTCTTGTCATGGACCACGGCGGGTATTCATTCTGCGTTAAGCGCACATGCCCGGAAACAAACACGATCTACTACAGCTGCAAGAAGTTTCGTGAGGGATGCAAGGCAAGACTGATTGTCCGAGGAGGAGCCGTCGTCGCCGAGAAGAGTGTGCACAGCTGTAAGGATGAGACCAAGCCAGAAGTGGTGGACGTGCGCAAGGAGATGAGAGTGGAGCTCCAGCGCTCTAGCATCACCAAGATGTCAACCCCACCGGCGGTCCTGTGGCAAGAGGTGTACGACGATCTCAAGCTTCGCTACGGCGGAGAAGGTATTGCGCTCAAGATCATCCCTGCGAAGCCGGCCGTCTCTATCATCAAGCACACGCGCAAGGATTGCTCTGGCGGTGATGTCTTTGAAGCCATTCTGACCCAAGCTGTTCGGTGCGTGAGTGACATGGATGCGAGGGCCTTTCTTCAGTTCAGCGTGGTCCACCCCACCGCCGCGGGCACCGGAATGCAACGTCTGATCGGACTGGCCCATCCCGACTTGGCTCGAATTCTACGGTACCCGAAGATCACGCTGTTCATTGACGGAACATTTGCGGTGGTTCCTAAGCCGTTCAGTCAGTGTCTGATTGTGATGGCTTTCGAGCCTTCTGTCGACCTCTACGTGCCTGTTTGCTATGTACTGGTGCAAGGCAAGTCCCAAGAAACGTACTGGCGGGTTCTCAACGAGCTCGTGATCCTGAGCAACCGCCAGCTGGAGCCCGAACATGTCACGTGTGCCTTTGAGTCCGCCCTTATCAACGCTGTGCTGGAGCAATTTCCGACTGCGAACCTCGTTGGGTGCCTGTTCCACTGGAAACAGGCCCTCCGTCGGAAAATGCTTGAGCTGCGGCTACCCGAAGACCAAATCAAGGACGCTCTCAGCCCAAGAAAGCTCGACACTCTCACGGTTATCCCGGAGGACCAAATCGCTGAAAAGGTGCGGACTATTTTTTGGGGTGACCAATTTTTTGTGTCTGACCTATTCTGATAAATGGCTGCATTGTAGGGTGTGAGGTACGTGAGGAGTATTGTCGACGAGACCGGCGCGAAAACAAAATGGAATACTTTTTGGAAGTATTTCCTCAAGACCTGGACGCAGCGATTTGATGTCACGACCTGGAACGTTCATGAAATGGTGCGGTGCGGTGTTGACATCGTTAACCGCACCAACAATCCGCTGGAAAAGTACAATCGTGACTTCGCGTCGCGAGTGGGTACACACCCTAGCCTGCTTACCTTCATTGAAGGCACCAAGCAAGAAGCAGCCCGCTATCTCCAGCGCATTGACGACATCAAGAAGGGACTCCAGACGGCTCCGCAGCATGCTCCGCCAGTAGTGCCAGGCATCCCAGCTGGCTATGCAGACTTTAAGTAGGATAGTACGGTGTTCAGACGCTGATAATGCAGTCCTGCTTCAACGAGAGCCCTTGCTAACGAGTTGCCAAAACATTTCATTTGTCCTAATAGGACAGCTCCCAGTTATAGTCAACAAAGTGTCCTAATTGGACAACTGCCAGTTCTAGGCAGTTAAGTGTCCTAGTAGGACAGCTCTCGGTTATTACTCGACTAAGTGTCCTAATAGGACAGATCCTCATTTAGGTGAATTGTTGTTGTCCTATTAGGACAGATTTCGGTAAGTGAATCGTGGCTGTCCTATTAGGACAGCTCCTAACCAGCCCGTTCGTCCTAAAACGAGCTGTGTTGTCCTAATTTTTGGTACCGTTTATGAGCAAACTGCAAGTAATATACCGCATTTTTTAGGACAATAGGACATCTTAGGACGTCTATTAGGACGTGATATCTTTTACCGGAGTGTCCTCTTGGTGCTGCTCACACAGAGATGGAAGCAACGACAACACTCAGCTGGGCGGCAAAAGCCACCTTGTTGGTCGTGTGTATATTCTCAACTGAGGCCTAGATTCTTCTCTTTCACCTTTTGTCTTACTCCAACTGCAAGTAGTATAGTGGGGATCAGTATAATCCGCAACAGCCCCACCTACGGATTCCCATCAACTTGCATCTCCAAATCTTGCCCTTGGCAATGATCCCATTGCAGCTCTGTGTTTTTCAAATGCCGGACGTGTCAATGGCTTTGTAAAAGCATCGGCCACGTTATCAACTCCTGGCACCCGAAGCACGTCAATTTCCTTCAAATCGATGCGCTCACGCACGAAGTGGTGGCGCACATCGATGTGCTTGGTCCGAGAATGAAACACAGGGTTGCTGGCAAGCTTCTTTGCACTTTCGTTGTCAACAAAGACTTGGGATGGCTGAATTTGCTGCACCTGCAGCTCCTTCAGCATTTGGCGCAAGTGCACCACCTCCTGCACTAGTAGACTAAGAGCCATATATTCGGCCTCGGTCGTGTGCAGCGCGACGGTCTTCTCCGTCTGGCTGCTCCACGAAATGATGCACCCACAAAATTGAGTCACGTAGCCTGCAACAGACTTTCGATCATCAACTCGATTTGCAAAATCCGCATCTGCGTATGCTCTCAGATGATCATCCAGCTTTTGATCTGACCACGCTAGGCCACCAAGCTGGGCCCCCAGTCCGCTGTGTCTTTCAGGTAGCGCAATCCACGTTTTGCAGCTCTCCAATGCAACAGACCTGGGTTTTCTAAGAACTGACTGCACTCTCTAACTAGGTAGGCCAGATCGGGCCGGGTACCGAGCATCAGGTACATCAGGCTGCCAACCACAGCACGATATGGCTTCGATCTCATCAGTTGCCTTTCATCGTTTTCGGTCGGACACATGGCCTTGCTCAGCTTCAGATCCGCCGTGCTCGGCGTCTTGCAGCCATTGCAGTCCTGCATGTTGAACCGCTTGAGCACGGTCTCGGCATACTTCTGCTAACCAATGAACATCGTTCTCTCGGCCCGGTTCCGCGTGATCTCCCAGCCTAGAATGTAGTGTAACTCCCCGAGATCCTTCATCGCAAACCGGTCCTCGAACATCTTCTTCATCTTGTTGATGAGCTCCATCGACGGAGCAAACAAAATCAGATCATCAACATAGAGAGGGATGAAGACCAACTGCCCATCAATTACTTTAACAGCCACGCAGGCCTCCGACTGCAGCATCGTGAAGCCCTGCTCCTCCAAGAACGACTTGAGCAGCTGAAACCACACTCTGGGCGCCTGCTTCAAGCCGTACAGGCTCTTCTTCAATCTGCACACCCAGTCCTCTTTGCCTTTCACTTTGTAGCCTTCAGGCTGCTCCATATAGACCTCCACGTCAATCGCCCCATTCAAGAAAGCAGTAGTGACATCCATCTGATGCACTTCATAATCCCAGACAGCCGCCAGTGTCAAGAGAACACGCAGTGTCTCCAGCCTCACAACAGGCGAGTACACCTCTAGGTGGTCGATACCATAAATCTGCATGAAGCCCTTGATCACGAGCCTCGCTTTGAATCTTTCGATCTCTCCGTTCGCTAGATACTTGACGCGAAAGATCCAGCGATTCTGCAGCACTTTCATGTGCTTCTCACGCGGCACCAACTCCCAGGTATCGTTCTTCATCAACGAATCAAACTCATCATCAGCTGCATTTTTTCATTGCAATGAGTGCTCACTCTCCATAGCGTCACCGAAAGTATTTGGCTCTTCAAACTCGCCAGTACTCATGCAACAATAGTCCTCCCACCATGCAAGGATCAACTCGTTCGCCATAGCACGTTGCGACTCAGCTCGTGCTTTCCTCCATCCAGCAGGCAACGAGTTCACATCATCATCTGGATTTGTATTTTCGTAGGCAATGTAGACGTAGTCACCGAGCCACGTGGGCGGTTTACTTACCCGACCGCTCCGTGTCACTGGAGGGTCTTTAGGGCGAGTGCCTCTCGGGCCTGTGTACTCACGAAGTGCTGTGCAAGGAGGCGTTAATAGACGCCCCACACTCGCAGCATCACTCGACACTTGGCTGTCCGAGTCGGCCCGCTCAGCAGCCGATGACCTGCTGTCCACCTCTTCCACCTCTTGACTCCCTGGTAGAGCCCTCGTCTCGTCAGCAGCCGGTCCCTTGTGCCGCCCACTGCTGCGTTTCCTCTTTCTCCTTCTTTTGGAATTGCCTGGCACGCACTCACCTCGCAGGTGGTCTGCCTCATGTCCATTGACACGTTCCTCATCACGTTCTGCCACCTTGCTAGAACGATCACATCCAGATGCTGTAGAGCTCACTCCACGTCCTTCATCTCGTTCTGCCACCTTGCTAGAACGTCCACTTTCAAACACCGCAAACCGCACTCTCTTTGGTCGAGGCGCTGCGGCATCACCACCGGGGCCTCTCTTCTTGGACCCACATGCCCCATCTGACCGGACATCTTGCTCAACTGCCCCACCTGGTCGGTCATCACATCGGGTGTCATCAGCCCCACCAGTCCGATAATCACCTCCGTCTCTGGAGTCGCTGGCCCTACCAGTCCAGCAATCTCCATCATCACGATAACTACCTCCATCATTTGAGTCATCATGCATTTCATCCAGCATTGGCTCAATGTCATCCTCTACTGATCGATCAACGCCTAAATATTCCTTACCGGAGGCTGCACTTGGCGTTGATGCCGAGTCCATGAGCAATCGACCAGCTTTATTCTCATAGAACACGACAGTATGGCTGTAGAATGCCTTGTTGGTCTTGCTATCGAGCAAGCGATAGCCTCGCTTCTCTCGCGAATATCCAACGAAGACCGCCTCCCGTGCTTTCGCCTGCATCTTCCGTCTCTCCACCTTGTCGATGTACGACAGGACGGCGCAGCCGAACGTCCGCAACTTCTCATAAGCAGGAGTCTGACGGTGCCATACTGCATACGGTACCTCCATGCCTCAAACCGAGCTTGGTATAATGTTCACGGAGTATGCAGCTGTCATCGCTGCCTCACCCCACATTGCTTCAGGCAGGTCGAAGTGCACGAGCATGCATCGCATTCTCTCCGTAATGGTGCGGACCATTCTCTCCGCGACACCATTTTGCTCCGGAGTATGCTTGATGCTGCTGTCAAACTCCATACCATACTTCGTGTCACACGTACTTTGCAGCTTCTTGAACTCCTTTGCATTGTCTGACCTTAGCGCTTTCATTCTGACATGCTGCTGCGTCTTGACGCGTTGATAGTACTCCTCAAACTTCTGGTACACTTCCGAACGATGCTCCAGAAGATACACGGTGACAAACCGACTCGCATCATCAACGAACACGGCAAAGTACCGTTTACCACCGTAGGAGTGCTCTGCATACGGACCCCAAGCGTTCACATGGACCTTGTCGCCAACTAACCACTCGCGGGTCTGTGTCCGAGACTTCTTCATGCTCTTCCTCGTAAGTTTCCCCTTCACACAGGTCTCGCAATTGAAACGCACCGGGATACGCAAGTTCACATGTGGCAACGGCCACTGATCATGGCTGAACAGCGCATTAAACGCGTTCTTGCCAGGGTGCCCCAATCTTGAATGCCACAGCTCCAAACTACTCACTCGAGCTGGTAGCGCCACCATGGCTACCTCTTGGGGTCTCTCCAACTTCAAGCGATAGAGATTGGTATAATCAACTTGAGCGGTAGTCACACCAGCCTGTAAGATAACGTCAGCGCGATCTGCCTCATCAAAGTGTACCTTCACACGATCACGTTCAGGCAGATATTGGTTCAGTTGCCGTCGCACAGAATAGAGACTGCACTGCAGCTCTGGAGCATAACGAACTCCTCGCAGCGTCAGTGAGCACCTCCCACCAGTAGTCTCCAGCTCTTTAACCACAGTACCAATACCCTCAACACCCAGCGAGTTCTTTCCTCCAACTCGAATCCGGGCGCTAAGAGGCGTGAACTCCATGATATCAGTGAGCTGGTTCGAAATATGACTCGATGCACCAGAGTCCAGGTACCAGTTATCATGGGCTTTGTCTGCGACCGGCTTTTTCATTTTCATCACTTGAAGAATAACATACGCGCTGTCATCACTTTCATTAGCGTAGCTACTCGTTTCAGCAGCCTTAGCACTCTTTCCACTCATCTTCACACGCTTCTGAGCTTGGGTGCTGCTGCGATCCTCGGCTGGAGGTCGCTTGCCAAGAAACGGGCAATCAATCACATGATGCCCTGCTTCATGGCAGTGATAACAAGCACCACCTGGCTTTTGTCCGCTGCCGGCTTGGCCACGTCCAGCTCCACGTCCACCACCTTGGCTCCCGCGACTGCCAGAACCATGTCCACCACCGGAACCGCGCCCGTGTCCTCCAGATCGACCACCACGTCCACGGCCGCGACCACGTCCTCGACCTCTTCCTCCACCAGCAAAGAACGCCTTTTCTTCATCATCATTGTCCTTGGCGCCCTCTGCTTTCCGACCTTGGCGATGGTCGTAAGCCATCTCCAATGCGAGTTCAAGTTGTTCATAATTAGGAGGATCATCAGCATTTTGGGGCTTGTGACTGGCGAGAAACGTCTGTACAACATGATCATATTCGCGCGGCAGAGATCCAATCAATAGTGCTGGCTTTACATACTCGTCCACAGGACGCCCGACTCCAGCAATGGTCTCCATCAGCCGACGCATCTCGCTCAGGTGATCTGGCACATTGCCGTTGGGAGCGAGCCGTAGCCGACTGAGCTTGGCCCTCTCCTCAGCGTACTTCAGGTACGTATTGCCCATAAATCTCTTTTCAGGCGCTCCATGACACGAAACGGGGTGGGTTCATACTTCACAGTCTGCATTATGTTATTCGTCATCGCGTCGTAGATGATCTCCTTGGCGTGGGCCATCTCGCTCGTCCACGTCGCGTGCGTCTCCGCCTCCTTGCTCTCGTCCGGCTCGGGCAAGTCCTCCTTGCAGTACTTCCACGGCTTCTTCCTCTCCAGCTTAAGCTTCACTCTCTCGTGCCAGACCTCGTAGTGCTTGCCGTCAAACGGCGGGATCGTCCTCTTCTCCTCGTGTGACTCCTTGGGCGTCTTCTTCTGCTCCGCCATGACGTCCTAGTTGCTGTGCTCCCCTCACGTGAGCCTTGGGCTCATAACCTGAAGTGAAGTGTCCTCTTGGTGCTGCTCACACAGAAATGAAAGCAACGACAACACTCAGCTGGGCGGCAAAAGCCACCTTGTTGGTCGTGTGTATATTATCAACTGAGGCCTAGATTCTTCTCTTTCACCTTTTGTCTTACTCCAACTGCAAGTAGTATAGTGGGGATCAGTATAATCCGCAACAAGATAAATGTCAAAGGTCTAGATAGACTATGGCCGGAATACTCACAAGGAAGCGCTTCCTATGTGCGAAAAAGTTGTAGCGGTTCGCAATGTCGCTCGAGCCGTCGTCTCCAGGGTAGCAGCCAGGCTGTGAACAAATGCAATGCCAATTGAATCAGTCCGTCTCTAGCCTCTAATATCCGACGTCTACAGCTGCTCACCGCCGAGTTGATGAGCGCCTGGAAGACGTCGTTCTTGGCGCCCGTGTCGGGCTCCGGCGGGCCGATCGGCTTCGAGTTGGTCCGCGCCAAGTTGCGCGCGCGGTGCGCGTGCGTATCCGTGCGGAACTTCTGCAGCAACAGCCCCGTCGTGGTGCCATGCACCGACCTGCTACGGTACCGCAGCGTCTCGGAGCTCATGGTGACTACGCTGCACTGCAGGGCAAGACAGCAAGGCTTTCGCGTCGGTCGTTTCGCCATCCACGTTGAAGTAGAAACCGCCCGAAACCGGTCAATACCGGTTGAACGGTCAGGTTTGTAGTTTGCGTATTTATTTTAGCCAATCGCGTGGCTTCACGTGTCTGCCCACCCATCTCGCCAAACGTATCTTGGAGCCATTATCCTAACTGAGCTGCTCGGAGCAACTACTGTAGACCAAGGAGGATGCGAGGCGTGGCGCTGCTGGTGTGCGCGGCGGCGGCGAGCCTGCTGGCCGGCGTGCAGGGCATGTACTCGAGCGAGGACAGCGTGAAGGTGCTGGACCCGGAGAGCTTCCGCGAGCAGGTGCAGCAGGACTCGGGCGTGTGGCTCGTGGAGTTCTACGCGCCATGGTGCGGCCACTGCAAGCAGCTGGCGCCCGAGTACAAGAAGGCGGCCAAGGCGCTGGAGGGCGTCGTGAACGTGGCGGCCATCGACTGCCAGGAGCACGAGGAGTTCGTGCAGGAGTTCGCGGTGCGCGGCTTCCCCACCATCAAGATCTTCGGCGAGGACAAGACCAAGCCCACGACGTTCAGCGGCGACCGCACGGCCAAGGGCCTCGTGGACGCGGCGCTCACGGCCTCCCGCCGCGTGGTCAAGGCGCGTCTGTCGGACGGCTCGGAGAAGAAGAAGAAGAAGCCCAAGCCGCAGCAGCAGAAGAAGAAGTCGCCCAGCGGCAAGAGCGCAGTCATCACGCTCACGGACGACACGTTCGACGACACGGTGCTCAACAGCGGAGACATCTGGCTCGTGGAGTTCTACGCGCCGTGGTGCGGCCACTGCAAGCAGCTCGCCCCGGAGTGGGAGCAGGCCGCGTCGGACCTCAAGGGATCCGTCAAGGTGGCTGCCATTGAGGCGACGGCCAATGAGCAGAAGACGGCCGAGTACGGCATTGAAGGATTCCCGACCATTAAGGTGTTCGGACCCAACGCCATGGGCCCGTCCGACGCCGACGACTACCAGGGCGAGCGCACTGCCGCTGCCATCACGGAGTTCGGTCTCGCGGCGCTGGATGTGATGGGCGGCGGCCTGCGGATCAAGGAGCTAATCTCGGAGGAGACCCTGACGGACTTCTGCGAGGGCAAGTCGAGCTGCGTCATCAGCGTGCTGCCGCACATTACGGAAGGCGGCAAGAGTGCGCGTGAGAGCTACATTAAGACGCTCGAGGAGGCGGCCAAGCTGGTGCGCGGCAAGCCGTTCAAGTTCGGATGGATGCAGGGTGGTGACCAGCTCGACTTCGAGAGCCGCTTCGAGCTGACGTTCGGATACCCGTCGCTGGTGGCCATCAACCTCGACCGCAAGCGCTATGTGGTGCAGCGCGGCGCCTTCACGGCCGAAGCTATCAGCGAGTTCCTGCAGGGCGTGATGCAGGGCCGCGAGTCGACCGTCGGCTTCGACAAGCTGCCGGAGATCAAGACGGTCAAGCCGTGGGATGGCAAGGACGTGCAGCTGGACGAGATCGAGGAGGACGAGGACGACGATATCATGAACGAGATTCTGGGCAACGCCGCCGACAAGGACGAGCTTTAGGTTTGGAGTGCACATTTAGAAGAACGTTGCGTGCATTCCCATACGTACCTAATCAAACTTTCGGTTGCACTCTCTACCCCTCTTGCTTTTGAGAATTGCTGTTTGAAGTCGTGAGATCTGTTGGATCACAGCTCAACTTCTACATGCAAGCTAACGCGCGGCTGGTCCTTCTGGGGTATTGTCCTTCTGATACTGGTCAACCGTCGACGCGAAGACAAATTTGTCCCCCATGATCATACCATGTGGGCAGTCTCCGTAAAGACGAAGGAGGCCGTACCAACAAGCTGTGCCCACCAGGCGAGAGCTGTAGACGAAGGCCCCAGAATTGTCCTGCATGGCCAAATCAGCTGTAGCCTGCTGGTTGCAAGTCCAACCTCTCGAAGAGACCATGCGGTAGCAGGACAACATGACTTCAAGGTGTGCGGCCCAACAACTACAGTACAGTACATACCGGCACGCGACGCAATGCTTGACTCGTGCCCTGCGGAGCTGGTTAGTACCTGCCAGCACGCTGTGCACGGGGACCTCGCAAGACCAGCCAGCGGACGTCGTGTTCGTCGACGTACGCACCAACGTCACGCCCGCAAAGCGTTTCTCTGCGACCGTGTTTACCAAGCAGAAACACCACCGCAGCCAAAGCTGAGCTGGAGCAGCAAATGCACGCCGCCTACTCAAAAGCTAGCAAGCCTTCCGCCTTTAGAATAGGTCAACTACTGCCCATGTAGACGTCTTCTTTATTGCCGCTCGGAAAGAACCGCGAGACGCAGCGCCTAGATGAAGTGGAGCAAGCGCACGCGCCCCACGTTGAAGTGCGCCAGACATGCGACGTGTCGCTTCGTCGACCGGCGGACACCCGCGGCAATGAAAATCCACACGCGGTGCAGCAAGTTGCTGACAAAGGGGCTTGCCGCAAGCACCGCTGGGCATCCAACGGCGCCGCCGCAAACATCGCGGCCTCGACGCCTCGACGCCTCGACGCCTCGACGCCTCGACGCCTCGAACGCACATTCACGTCGCACTGGCGTTCGGCATACAAAGCGCCATATGAACGCCCGCAGCAGATCCCGATGAGTCGAAGATTCGTCAGCCGACCAATCGCAGGTCGGTGCGACGCTATTTCAGCCAATCCGCGCGCTGTCCACGCCAGCCATGTGCTAGTTCTTTGTCTCCGCGCTGCTTGGTTCTGCTTGCGGTTCAAGCCGCCGCCGAGTTCCTCAGTCTTCATTTCGCCGTCAAGCCCCAGCGCTCCACTAGCCCCAGCTTCCCCTCAAGCCCCCGCAGCCATGCCCAACCTCCTCAAGGACCTCGTCGCCATGGTGTCGCCCCAGGCCAAGCGCCCGCTGCAGTCGCCCTCGACCTCCAACCGCCTCTCGCCCGCCAAGCAGAACGTCGCCTTCGCCGACTTCGCCACGCGGAGAGAAGACGCGGCCGCGCCCGTGAGCGCGGCGCAGCAGCAAGAGCAAGCCAAGATGGACGCCTTCGTCTTCTTGAACATGATGCGGTAGGCCTTCGTCTACGGGGGAGGGGAGGAGGCAAGGGAAAACCATTACATGTACTGCCCCCGCCGCGACCTCCCCCCCCCCCCCCCCCCCCCTCCATCTCCCCGGAAAGCCCGAAAAACCGCCAGTACCATACGTCGATATCTATGACGGGGACTGCGAGTCTCCGCCGTGCATACGCTCTGCGGCCCCCTCTCTGTGAGTGGGCTCGCTTGCATCTAATAAATCTTTTCCCTAGCTCTCGTGCCTCGCACGGGAGCTCCCTTGCTTCTCGCCCACCGCCTCATTTGCATGATACTGCCACGTTGCAGACTTGACAAAACCGTAACTGCATGTAACATTGCAGTCCTGCATTGATGTTGCCATTCCGGCGATCCTGTCGGCCTGACTTGCCTAGTTTCGCTAGTTTAGATTTCTTTCGCGACTGAAACCGCTCAACGCGCCGTGTCGACTAACAAAGTTCTTGTGCGACTAGCACGGTCAGCGGTGCGGTGCCTGGGTGATCGAACACGCACTTGCAGCCTGCAAGTTGCAGGAGGCACAAATGTTAAACCAGCGATGTGATGCACGGCAAAGCTTGCTCTATTTGCCTCTTGCTCACAACAGCCTACAGCAGCGAAGCAGCCCAGTACATAGCGTGGCAGCGGCCTATGCGCTGACGACCTCGATCTCGAAGATAAGGTCGGCGTTGCTCGGGATGACTGGCGGTGAGCCCTCGCGGCCGTAGCCGAGCTTGGACGGGATGGTGATCGTGCGCTTGCTGCCCACGCGCATGCCCTCGATACCGATGTCCATGCCCTTGATGACGTCGCCGATGCCGTGGCGGAACGTGAACGGCTTCTTGCGGTTCTGCGTCGCGTCAAACTGCTTGCCGTTGGTCAGGCGGCCGCGGTAGACGATGCCCACCTTACGGCCACGCATCACGGGGCGGCCTTTGCCCACAGCGCTGCGGTTTTAAGAGGTAAAACAAACGTCATACGCATCAGATCAACATGTCCACATAGCAAGCAAGTCGAACTCTAACAACGTACATGTCCTCGATGGTGACGCCCTTGTGCACACGGGTGGCGACCTTGGCCTTCTTCGGAACCTCCAGAGACTCGGCGGGGGCAGCGCGCTTCTTGCTCTTGGCGATGTTAGCGGTCACCTCAGCCAGCTTCTCGGCGGTTTTCTTCTCCTTCTCCGCCTGCTTGGCAGCCTTGGCCTTCTTCTTCTCGGCCTCCTTCTCCTCCTTTGCCTTCTTCTCCGCCTCAGCGGCGGCGGCGGCCGCCTTCTTGGCTGCAGCCTCCTTCTTCGACTCCTTCTTGGGGGACTCCTTCTTGGGGGACTTCTTCTTCGACTCGGGCGCGTCGCTGTGAACACGCTCCTCGAGCACCTCGAAGCGGTTCTTCTTGGCCTCGTCGTTGAGCTCCTTCTCCTCTTCCTCGTTCTCGTCGACGTCGTCGTCGCTCGAGTCGTCGTCACCGCCGAACACCATCATCTCCTCCTCGTCGTCGCCCAGGTCGTCGAAGTCGTGCTCGTCGCCGCTGTCCTGTTCGTCTTCCACCTCGATGAAGCCCGTGAGATGGATGGCGTTGGGGCCGTCCACCACGAACTCGATGGCGCCGTCCATGGGCGTGAACGTCTGCGTCAAGTTCCACTGCTCCGCCACCTCGGGCGTCAGCGTGCACAGCGCAATCTTGGACGTCTTGGCCACCACGGATAGCGTGGAGCGGCCCTTGGTCGCGTCGGCGCCCAGCGCGGCCGAGTTGAGCTGCATGCAGAAGTCCTCGACCTCATTGGACCACTTGAGCGGGTGGCCAGGCTTCACCACGTGGCCGAAGAACCCGGGCACGGGCGCCACCTCCGTCGGCGCAGACTTCTTGCCCATCGTGTGTACAAGTTAGACGTCGCGTTCAACAATGAGCGTCTTCGCCGCCATCGATTTTCATCAGAATACCGGTATATTGGCTAAATACCGGTATTTGGTTGAAGTGCTATGTGAACCCCCTGCGATGATCAGTTCTTCTTACGCTCGGGTTTGAACTCCAGTCGACGGCCCTTTGCTGTCTTCTTGATCTGCCGAACAAAGTTTCATGTAACGTTAGGTTGGTATGAATTTCCCCCAGGTATAATGTGGAGAAACGTACCCGACACCCGCCGAGCGTGATCTGCTTGCCAGTTTCTAGTCGCTGGATGTCGGCTGCAAGGCGAGCTACAGATGCCAGTCGCGGGGGCGCGTCCTTGTCTCCAACATGCAAAATGATGATCGAAAGCAAACGGTAGAGCAGTTCATCGAACATGGCGGGGTCACGGAAAACAGCCATGCGTACGACCACCGAGTCTGGCTCCCAGGCCACTGTGTACTTCCGAAACATAGCGCGCTCTAGTGTCCGCACAAATAGCAATTAGGAATTCATTCATGAAAAGGATTGGTCAATGTACGTACCGATTCGTGCAAACTCTTTCTTGGCTTTCTCTGCGGTCTGCTGGAACTTGGAGAACAAGTCCACGGCGTCAGGTCCGTGTTCTCTTTCCACCCGCTGAAGTTCCTACTCGAGCATAATCCCACTGCGATTACTTTCCCTTTACTTAACGCCATCCTCGAGATATACTCCATCGGACTTACCTGACGGATTCGAACACGGTCATACACAAGGTCATCATTGGACGGGTCGTGTATCCAAGTTTGCTGGAATCGCTCGCAGGTTGCTATCAGCTGGTCCTTTGTGGCGGAGAGCAGCGGTCGGACAAGTGTTACAGCCTCCGCGGGCTTACTGTCACCTGTATTGCCTGCCGACTCGTCGAGAGAGCAGAACGGCACTTGGTTCGCAATGCCTGCGAGTCCGTTGACGCCGCTGGCCCGTCCGAGGCGGAAAAGCGTCGTCTCCAGTTGGTCGCCGAGGTTGTGTGCTACGAACAAGCAGCGCACGCGATACTCTTCGCACACCTGCTTCAACAAGTCGTATCGATACTGTCTCGCCTGCTCCTCCATCTTGCTCTCGCGCGGTTTCGCCGGTCTCGACGGATCCTTCAGCCCTCCTGCTTCGTCTTCAGAGTACCAGTGGCACACCTTCGTGACGTGCGTGATGCCGCCACGCTTGGCACAGATCTTGGCAACCTCCAGCGCTTCTCGGTTGCTCTCAGCACGTAGCTGGTGGTCTACTGTGACTGCCAAAAGCGAGGTCTTAATGCGATTCTTCTGCAGGTACTCTCTGAGCAGCAGCATCAACGCCATGCTGTCAGCGCCGCCGGAGACGGCCACTGCAATTGGAAACTCGCCCACCGGAGCGCTTCGACCTGGCAAGTTAAGTAAGAAGTACGTATAAGTGCCATATCATTGGCACTCGTCTCACAAAAAAAATATGGAGAGCGCGTAGCGTACCATTATCCTGCGGATACAGCACCTGGTGCAGCCTCTTCTTGGACAACCCGCACTTGCGCACGAACTCGGCGAAGTTCACAGCAGACACAGAAGTGTCGCTCTCTTTTTGGAGTGTGGAGTTAACCTTCGTGGATAAATGAGCAGCGAGGAGGCTGCAGGGCGAGCGCTGGGGCTGCGCGGCGCGGACGCATCGAACAGCGCGCGCGGACACCGTCGTCCACATAGCGAGTTGATATAACGCCCAAAATAAGAGTAACGGTTCCTAAAACAGCGAAGATTGGGCTGTAGTTGAAGTTAGGATTGGGTACAAGTACTTGCGCTATTTTTGCTGCGAGGACGAGGCCAGACTTGAGGACGATTGCAAGGCATTCGTCACGAGTGAAGCCTCTGCCTTCGCGATGGCGGGTTATTGTTGCTGCGCTCGCTCAGGAGGAGCAGGCCGAGGCGGTTTGCAGTTGGACATTCACGATGGAGCTGACGCAGGAGCTCGTGAAGAAGAAGGTCGAGCTGCTCGAGCAGCAGAAGGCCAAGGCCGCCAAGCTCAATGAGCTCCTTGACGGTGCGTACTAACTTACTGTAGCTGTAGTCAACAAGATCTAATGGTTGTCCGGTATTTTGTGCTGTCAGCTCCTGGGGGGTTCAATGAAGTGTCTCGCAAAACGTGCAAGAACCTGGAAGCTGCTATCACTGCGTCCAAGCGGCCCGGATACTTTGCGTATTACGAGCAGCCCGAAAACGTGAAAAACGTCCTGCGCACGGGCGGGATGCAACGACTGCAGGAGCAAATCGTCCACCTGCAGAAGCAGATCGACCAGCTCACTGAAAAGATAGAGAAGAGCGCTGAAGGACACGAGGTTGGTCACACCGGCATCACGATCACAAGCCTCAAGCATTGGCTTGCCACGTACGGCACGCCCAAGCCGCAGTCTACCTCCGACCTGTTCACCGTCTTCACACCGGACAAGAAGGTCTACGGTGGCACTGCTCACTACTCGGCCTTCCGTACCCAGGCCAGCACAATGAAGAAGGGCCGGCTGACCAAATGATTCACAACCGAAGATTTTAGCGTGGAACGCAACGCGTAAAGCCCAAATAAAAAGTAACTAGAACTGTTGGTATACGTGTTGAGCTTAACCTCTCCCTTGTAGAGAGCTACTGCCCGTTAGGATGTGCATGAAACACTTAGAACGAGGCGTACTTGCCGAGCTTCTCGACGTTGCGGAAGTCCTCGCCGGCGTAGCGAGCCTTGGCGCCAAGCTCCTCCTCGATACGCAGAAGCTGGTTGTACTTGGCCAGACGCTCCGAACGGCACGGCGCGCCAGTCTTGATCTGGCCAGCGCTCAGACCCACAGCCAGGTCAGCGATGAACGTGTCCTCCGTCTCACCGCTGCGGTGGCTCGCCATGATGGCCCAGCCAGCCTTCTTCGCCATCGTCACGGCCTCAATCGACTCCGTGATGCTGCCGATCTGGTTCACCTTCAGCAGAAGAGCGTTGCAAGCCTTCTGCTCGATGGCCTTCTTCACACGCGTAGGGTTCGTCACCGTCAGGTCGTCGCCCACGATCTGCACGTCCTCGCCAACCTTGGCCGTGAACTTCACCCACGAAGCCCAGTCGTCCTGGTCGAACGGGTCCTCGATCGACACGATCTTGCTCGAGCCCGCGCACTTGGCGATGAAGCCCTCGTACACCTCCTGCAGCTTGTCGGCAGAGATCTTCTCCGACTCGGGGGCGTTCTCGTTCTTGAAGTCAAGGTTGTAGCGAGCGTCCTCGGCGCCAGTGTAGAACTCCGACGCGGCGACGTCCATGCCCAGACGCACCTGGTTCGTGTAGCCGGCGGCCTTGATGGCCTCCTCGATCAGGTCGATGGCCTCGCCGTTCGACTGGATGTTCGGCGCGAAACCACCCTCGTCGCCCACGGCCGTGGCGTCCAGGCCGTAGCGGCCCTTGATCACCTTCTTCAGGTTGTGGTACACCTCCGAGCCGATCTTCATGGCCTCCGTGAAGCTCGTGGCGCCCACGGGCAGGATCATGAACTCCTGCATGGCCAGCTTGTTGCCGGCGTGCGAGCCACCGTTGATGATGTTGAACGACGGCACAGGCAGGCACGGCGTCGGGTTGCCGGCCAGGTCGGCGATGTACTGCCACAGGGGCTGCTTCTTGGCGGCGGCACCGGCGCGGCACAGCGCCAGCGACACGCCCAGGATGGCGTTGGCGCCCAGTTTCTTCTTGCACCAGCCCCACTCGTTCTGCGTGCCGTCAAGCTCCTCCACCATGTAGCGGTCAAGCTCACCCTGCTTGGTCACGTCCTTGCCGATGAGAGCGGGGGCGATGATCTCGTTCACGTTCTTCACGGCGTTGAGCACGCCCTTGCCCATGTAGGCCTTGCCACCGTCGCGCATCTCCAGGGCCTCGAACTCGCCCGTGGAGGCTCCGCTGGGGACGGCGGCGCGGTACTGGCCCAGCTCCGTGGTCAGGTCGACCTCGACGGTCGGGTTGCCACGCGAGTCGAAGATCTGGCGGGCCTTGATGGACACAATCGACACCATTGTAGAAAGAGGGAGGGGCTTGTTTTCAGGAACTTGAGGCTTGGGAGGCCAATTCGGAAATGAGCCTTGCTGGGATGCTTGAATCTCCCTTCACTCACCCCCTCCGATCTTTCGCCCCTCCTCGAAGTGGGGGCTTTCTATGACGATCTGGTCTAATTTAAGGTAAGGGGACTCTTAGAAACGGCTTAGAAATGGCTGGTAGTGTTGAGTTCCCGTCATGGAGACCAGTGTTGAGCAGCAAGCGCGGTGACGAGGGCACAGATCTGAATAGCAGTAGGTTGTTGCACTGCTCAGGGTGTTGTTGTCTGGTGTAGATAGCGCTGCGGTCTCCGAAGACGGCCGATACGTCAGGGCCTAGATTAATGTATGTTTCGAGTCCTAGGATAGGCTTATGCCTAGGCGCTGCTTGGGTGGCGCGTGTCTCTTGCGACGCCTCGCGCCGCGGCGTTTATGACCGCTACGGCCAAGAGGGCCGATGCAGCGTGTGCATAACGGCCAAGACTCGCAATGGCGGCTTGATTGCACGGCTAAACCACGGTGAGGAAGCAAAGACAACGGCGTTAAAGCGGTCCGACGACGCTTATCAAATGCGGGGGATTTCAGCATTCCTGCACTGGTCTTGTCGATGCGGATGAAGCCACGCAGCTGTGGGAACGGGGGGTGAACAACTCGCTTGGCAAGCGCTCTGCATCTTCGTTATGACCCACGGATAATGCGTTCGGGATCTCCAGTGAAGATTCTCCACGCGCGCTGCCCAGCTTGCAGCAAGCAAGCCTTGCTTTCTCGGAAAAAGACCAGGCAAGCACCACTTGGTTCGCCACATGCAGCTTCGGCTCTGTCGGACATAGGAACGCTGAGTTTGCTACGGCTGCGCGGCGTTGCAGCAGTGTCGGCCGCCGCCATGAGAGATTCCAACGCAGCACAGCTGGAAGTGATGATGTGTCTTGGGTCTCCGAGGCTCGCTCGACCCCTCGCCATCTTGCTGGCGTCGAAGGTAGGCCAAATCTAGCGACTCCTGCTCCCTCTCCGCAGCTACTAGGATACATGAACACAATTCTACCGCGGCCTAATGCGCCTACCGCTAGTGCTGCAGCAAGATGCAGCCTGGAACACAGCGTCGAGGCCATTGGTCATACGTAGCTTAGTATCTTGTGACGCCTATTCCCGTCCATTCAAATGGAATGACGTCAGAACAGTATCTTGGAATCAGACAACTTCAACATGGGCAATACAATGAGACCATAAAATCTATGTCCATTAATTCGAATCACGCCTTCGCGTCGCCAGCGATGCCCGTAACACTAGAACTAATTGACGAAACTATACGCCACAAGTGCGTGCATCCTTCTACTGTAGCGCCCCGCATTTAGAACGAGGCGTACACTGCGTCCAAGCGGCCCGGATACTTTGCGTATTACGAGCAGCCCGAAAACGTGAAAAACGTCCTGCGCACGGGCGAGATGCAACGACTGCAGGAGCAAATCGTCCACCTGCAGAAGCAGATCGACCAGCTCACTGAAAAGATAGAGAAGAGCGCTGAAGGATACGAGGTTGGTCACACCGGCATCACGATCACAAGCCTCAAGCATTGGCTTGCCACGTACGGCACGCCCAAGCCGCAGTCTACCTCCGACCTGTTCACCGTCTTCACACCGGACAAGAAGGTCTACGGTGGCACTGCTCACTACTCGGCCTTCCGTACCCAGGCCAGCACAATGAAGAAGGGCCGGCTGACCAAATGATTCACAACCGAAGATTTTAGCGTGGAACGCAACGCGTAAAGCCCAAATAAAAAGTAACTAGAACTGTTGGTATACGTGTTGAGCTTAACCTCTCCCTTGTAGAGAGCTACTGCCCGTTAGGATGTGCATGAAACACTTAGAACGAGGCGTACTTGCCGAGCTTCTCGACGTTGCGGAAGTCCTCGCCGGCGTAGCGAGCCTTGGCGCCAAGCTCCTCCTCGATACGCAGAAGCTGGTTGTACTTGGCCAGACGCTCCGAACGGCACGGCGCGCCAGTCTTGATCTGGCCAGCGCTCAGACCCACAGCCAGGTCAGCGATGAACGTGTCCTCCGTCTCACCGCTGCGGTGGCTCGCCATGATGGCCCAGCCAGCCTTCTTCGCCATCGTCACGGCCTCAATCGACTCCGTGATGCTGCCGATCTGGTTCACCTTCAGCAGAAGAGCGTTGCAAGCCTTCTGCTCGATGGCCTTCTTCACACGCGTAGGGTTCGTCACCGTCAGGTCGTCGCCCACGATCTGCACGTCCTCGCCAACCTTGGCCGTGAACTTCACCCACGAAGCCCAGTCGTCCTGGTCGAACGGGTCCTCGATCGACACGATCTTGCTCGAGCCCGCGCACTTGGCGATGAAGCCCTCGTACACCTCCTGCAGCTTGTCGGCAGAGATCTTCTCCGACTCGGGGGCGTTCTCGTTCTTGAAGTCAAGGTTGTAGCGAGCGTCCTCGGCGCCAGTGTAGAACTCCGACGCGGCGACGTCCATGCCCAGACGCACCTGGTTCGTGTAGCCGGCGGCCTTGATGGCCTCCTCGATCAGGTCGATGGCCTCGCCGTTCGACTGGATGTTCGGCGCGAAACCACCCTCGTCGCCCACGGCCGTGGCGTCCAGGCCGTAGCGGCCCTTGATCACCTTCTTCAGGTTGTGGTACACCTCCGAGCCGATCTTCATGGCCTCCGTGAAGCTCGTGGCGCCCACGGGCAGGATCATGAACTCCTGCATGGCCAGCTTGTTGCCGGCGTGCGAGCCACCGTTGATGATGTTGAACGACGGCACAGGCAGGCACGGCGTCGGGTTGCCGGCCAGGTCGGCGATGTACTGCCACAGGGGCTGCTTCTTGGCGGCGGCACCGGCGCGGCACAGCGCCAGCGACACGCCCAGGATGGCGTTGGCGCCCAGTTTCTTCTTGCACCAGCCCCACTCGTTCTGCGTGCCGTCAAGCTCCTCCACCATGTAGCGGTCAAGCTCACCCTGCTTGGTCACGTCCTTGCCGATGAGAGCGGGGGCGATGATCTCGTTCACGTTCTTCACGGCGTTGAGCACGCCCTTGCCCATGTAGGCCTTGCCACCGTCGCGCATCTCCAGGGCCTCGAACTCGCCCGTGGAGGCTCCGCTGGGGACGGCGGCGCGGTACTGGCCCAGCTCCGTGGTCAGGTCGACCTCGACGGTCGGGTTGCCACGCGAGTCGAAGATCTGGCGGGCCTTGATGGCCACAATCGACACCATTGTCGAGATGGAGGGGTGGAGTGGAAGTGGTTGCTTCTTGAACTGAGGCTTGATACGCCAATTCGTAAATGAGCTCCTCACCTCGGTTGCCATTGACAAGCGTCCGCGGCCGAGACGCCTCGGCCGAGGTGCACTGAGACGCTGGCCGGGGTACGTGGCGGACTTCTGCTTGGTGCGCGGATCTGGTTGGCTCTTGTCCCGTTTAGTTGCAAGAGCAACGCGCGCGCGGGCCACGGCCGGGGCGAGGATACTTGTCCTTGTTGGCAACACGTCACCGAGCGCGGAGTGCGGGTTGATTGCACGATGGGCCATCGTCGATGGCGCGCCCAGAGCGCAAAGACATCGGCTTCGGGCGGAGGTCTCCATTCGTTTCCCCTCCCGTGTCGCGCTCGAGCTCTACAGTCTCGTCATGGCATGGCATGGCTGGGGCGGACAAACAACGCGATTGATTTTAATAAGGGAAGCGGACAAGGACGCTGTCGGAGACGCAGACGCGCAGCGGCGCCATGCTGTTGGCCATGAGCAAACGATAGCTCGCCGGCCGGCATCTCGAACAGGACGGTGCCACCCGAGCCGTGTCATGCCGAGCCACTCGGGGGCAACAGTATTCAACTTGTGCTCACGGTCTCTTGTCGCAAACTGGCGCCCTGATTGGCCGCCGAGTGGCCCAGCCACGACGCTGGCGCGTCGCCCGCCAGCCTTCATCGTCAATGCCCTCATCGCGCGTTGTGGAATGCAGCAGCTCTTCCTCATGCCGCTACGTATCCGGCATGTGGCTTGGCCTTTGCCTTTGCCTTGCACTAGCCGAGCGCCACCGCTACGCGGCGGGGAGTTTTAGTTAGTTGGCGCTTCACTCGCTATATTCGCTCCGCTATTGGAGCAGGCTGCCTACGCTTCGCTACGACAGTGGCGGACCCGTTCCGCTCGCCTCGTCGGCTCGCTGCACTACTCTCAATGTTTAGTTATTGTACCTTTCGGTCATTTTGCCGAGTCCTACGTAGGACTTTGGAGGTCAGTTAATCTGAGGTTGGCGGTCTCTAAATCTGATATGCAAATCTTGGACGAGTCCGATGAGCGGTCTCCCGGAGTCTCTCCGTTCAATGGACTCCGGTTGGAGTCCTAGCCAAGCAAGCTTTGTTTAGAGAAGCAAGCAATGCCGGAACCCGCGAAGGCGAAGGGCGGAGACTGGAGTGTTTAACGTATCGACTGCATCGTGTTTCCCTAAGTTTATTTTGCGTTTGACATACGCCGTATTAGAATCAGCTCGTATGAAAGTCCTGCCACAAGACTTGGCAGGAGTCCTTCGTAAGACCTCAAACCCCGAATGCCGTGAAAATGGGCGACATTCGGGCTTTCGGCTGTTTGTAGGACCTGCGCAAGTGCTTCCATCGGACTAGCAATTCTTGGTCCTAATTCCCTACGAGGGACCTACTAATCTGCTCCGATAACCTAGCCCCATCTTAGTAGGTAGCTATTTTGCACTGAAAAGCACAATACTACTACAGAGGTTGGGCGGGCCCTGCGGTCCCGCAATATCGTATGAGGGGGTCGCCTTCGGCGACGGGCTGCGCTCGGCAGCAAAAGGTACAGTGTGCCGCCTTCGCTGCGCTGGGCAGCAATTTCAGCCAATAGGAATTCACGTGATCTACACACCGACAGCGCGTCGTTCTGATTGATACTTAGGACTAGCCGAGCGCCGCCGCTACGCGGCGGTAGTTATGTGGTTAGTTGCAGTAGATAGGGCTGCCCACCTCCGCTTCGCTCCGGTGGGCTAATTAGTCGGGCGTGTTTGTGTAAAGCTCATTAAGAATCCAAAATGAATTGCAAAAGAACACGTAGTATCCAAAGTTATATGTAGAGTGACTTTTTCCACCGTGACTACGCCGTCTCAAAAATCTGCCTGTACACGATATTCGCTGTGTACGCTCCGTCATCTTCTTCTAACTCGGGGTATTCAATCAACGCCTTGATCTTGGGGCGCGCAGTAACCCGGGAGAGCGCGACATACAGCTGGCCGTGTGAGAAGCAGGGAGACGCCAGGTACAATCCGAGGTTAAACACCGTTTGTCCTTGGGCCTTGTTGATCGTCATCGCGAATGCAGGCTGTACCGGGAACTGCTTGCGCCTCAAGCGAAACGGGAAGTCTCGAGCGCTGTCATCACTTATGAATACAATCCTGGGAATCAACACGTCTTTTCCGCGACGCTCCCCCGTCATGATCGTGGCGTGGATGACATGAGGTTTAGCGCCACCACCCGTAGTCGCGTGCCGTTGCAAAGGCCTAAGCCCGGGTTCAAGTTTCGCATGAGCATGATTGGTGCTCCCACCTTAAGCGTCAGTCGGTGTGGCGGGATACCGTTGATGCTGACAGAATTCAGGACTTCTTGGTCGAAAAAGTTGCTGTCTTGGTCGTCTTGTACCGAACCAATGGAGAGATAATCTTGGGCATCACCTTCCAGGCGCGCAGACACCGCATCGTTAATACGTTGGACCATAGCATTCGTCGTCGTCAAGATAGCACGGCTCGCGAAGTAGTCATCAGTTGCGATGTCCGGGTTATTGATATCAGCGTATATGGCGTCAACCATCCGAGTAAGCCCAATTGGGATAGCGCCTGGCACGATCTCAGCGTCCACGTCGGGTACTTCAGGCGGGTTCTCGACCAACATGTCGCGCGGTATCTTCATATAGTCGCCTCCAAGAGCAGGGTTCACCTCGTGTCTGCCTTCGCCAACTTGTAATAGGAATTCCGAAAAGGCTGCCAGTTCAGCCGCTGTACTTGCGCTGTGGGCCGATCGCACTCGCATATTCTCGGTGAGGTGTACTTGTTCGAAGTGCTGCCACAGACATGACGACTTCAGACAGGCGTCAATCGTTTCTGCGGGCGTGCCTCTCACAACGACGGGAAGAATTTGCTGAAAATCTCCTGACATACGAACGTTTTGTCTCCGAACGGTTCTTGCTCATTGTCCATGATGTTGCGTAGACTCCGGTCGACAGCTTCGAAGGCGTGGCGGTGTATCATTGGCGCCTCGTCCCAAATGATCAGACTGGCCTCTTGAATTAACCTCCGGAGCTTGGACTGCTTGTAAATCGAGCAAGTCTAGTATTCATTCAACTTGAGAGGAATCTTGAACGTAGAGTGTGCGGTACGCCCACCCATCAGCAGTAAAGCAGCAATTCCGCTAGACGCCACCGCAATCGCGATTTTCCCAGAAAGACGGACACTCGCGAGGATATGCTTCAGCAGTGTCGATTTTCCGGTTCCACCTGGTCCGTCGATGAAGAATAGCTTCTTTCCAACTTGGGGACATTCCACTGCGTCCATAACCCTCTCATAGATAGCACGCTGCCCTTCGTTTAGTTCGCTGGTACGGTCATGAACACTTTGTAATATGTCGTGGTCATAGCCCTTTAGTTCCCGACGGATAAGGTTGTTTTCCAGCAGAGATTCCAGCACCAAAGCCCGATGCTCGCTCAACTGCGGGAGGTCGAAGTC